GTGGGTGTGGGTGTCGGCGTGGTTGTATGTGCGGAGAGAGTCAGAGTGCCTGATAAAGGAAAAGATTCTCAAACCCACACCCATACTCACCGCACGCTCACACCCACATCCACACGTACACCCATACCCGCATATATATCATATGTTATATGTGTGATCTTTGGATCGTCAGAATAGTTTATTTACTCGATTTAAGTCGTCTAATGCGACCCAAGAAGATGGTCGAAATAGTGATCACGGTGTTCTTTTTTATTCATACTGTAATTTATTGAAATACTGTCAGATAAAAACTCTAGCAGTCTGTTTTAAGTTTACATGGAGATCGTTAAACATAAACATTAAGATTAATATAATGTTTTTTCTTCTTACCATCATAATTAACATTTTCGACCGTAAATTCAACACCTGTTCTTAACAATATTTCCTCTTCTTCTGGAAATTGTGAATAGTCACTAATATCAATAGCCTTCTTTTGTCTTGAATAGATCTTTTTTAGTTGCATAATGAACACTGTATTAGTATCGAAAAATTCAGCAAATTCTTGACTTTTACTTGTTGAACTAAAACCAGACCATCGGTATGATATGCTATTTTTCGCAGCCTCTTTGTAATCATCGATCATAGACAATGATAAATTCATTCCACGGTAAACTGTTATACCATGAACTTCGACTGATGAAGGATGTTGGAAACAAAGACATAGAAGGCGAACAAATGGTCCGTATATTTTGATTTTTGAATGATCAGCTTCGCGTAAAAATTGATTGAGGTGTGAATAGAGAAATGTTTGCATTGAATAGATTCGTAGGCATTCTTGACAAACTTCATTAGAAGACAAATCCATGAGTTCGAACAATGATTTGATTAAAATTTCAGATTCTGGTTGTTTTCCCAGCTCGTTCCCGACTTTTTTTAATCCTGTGGCCAATAACTGAAGCTCATGCTTAATAGCTGGTCTTTCTGTAATAGGATCAAAGAAAAGACTTTCATATCTGAAAACAATGTATGATATTTAATCAGGGAAACATCAAAACAACAGTTCAAACAGGTCGACTTCGCGACACCGATATTACCTGTGTATATTTAGGCAATACTCTCTGGGTGTGAGACATTCTTCAACAACTGGAACAGGATTCTTCGATTCCCCATTATCAAACGTCTTTGCCTTTAATGCTTCAATAACATTGAAACGACCAGGCCGACGTCGTTCAGTAGATTGAATACTAACAACTTCTTCTTGTTCAATTTGATTCGATGATAATGGTGATATGTTTATATTCATTATTGTATCAGTAGGATGATGCATCTTAAAACCAATTCAAAACAATGAGTGCACAAAGAAACATGGATATAACCTAGTCCAAGATAGTTTTGAAGCCATATATACTCTGGCAATCTAATTCTTTTAGTTAGATCAACCTTAAGCTTTTATTGAAATAAAAATAAATAACGCTCGTCGATAAAACTCGTTTGACCATCGACTGAATTTCATTCAGGATTTTGATCAATCCCTTTCAAAAATAATGTTTTTACTTTCCTCAAAAGAGCACCTATACTACGCAACACAGAAGGTTTCTTTGATTGTCGGCGTTTCTCTAGAGCGTTACTCCTAACTCATTCCTTACCCGTCGTCTCCCTGCGTTCTATCATACGCCAAACATTCATTTACAGCATGAGCTCAGTTGTCTCACATTCTGAAGATCGAGTATCATTCGCCAGGTAATTATTCAAAACCTACGGATCTATTATTCTTTCATAATCTGATATAATATTCGTCCGCCGAAAACCATTCGTCTATTCTCGCCTTTCACGAAATAGACAACTATCGGATTCTCTCTAAATTACTCAGCATCGATCGGATATTAACTAGCATTCAAGCATTTTTTTCATCAAAACTGTTCATGCGTTCGAATGAAGAATGATCTTGAGCCCACAAACACCGTAGGGCTTTATTATTTCAGATATGAACAATCTGTTTCAGTAATTCTCTGCAGCTACAATTGTCTCATTCGTCGACTTCCTTAGCTTTGATCTGATTTCTGTAACTATGAGTGTTTAGAGAGAGGGAATCCCGAGACAAAGCTACCATTGGGAATCAAGGTGTATCTTACTCCCACACCAGTCAACACCTATGCTTTTGCGAAGAAAACTGATGAATCGGCTTTCGAGAGTTCTCTTCTCCTTTATCAAGAGAGACCTTCATTTTTGACAGTAAAACTCTGGGTCTTCCAATATGATAAGAAAGAACCGATCGCTTCTGCTGCCATTGCCAGAAAAAGGGTCCCATCTCGTTCTAGGAGACTTATTCTGGTGTGATGAAGACAGAGTATCGAGTTTCTCTATCAACAATGATCAGCAATTCACGGGAATCAAGTTAGCAGGTCACGAGAGGACAAATTTTCTGTTTGCCGAGCTACGAAATGGTTTTCATGGTATTGGGACTTGTGTAATGTTTTTTCTATCTCTGATCGGCGACAAACACTCAGACAAACTATCTTTTTCACGCCAAACTCCCTTCAGACGAGGAAACACACTTAAAATACGAAATAATACAATGTACTTACGTTACTCAGATCTTTTTGTGCTCCCACAGGAACCCCAACTGTCGTAGCGTATGTTCTTGTCCATTCTTTTGCTTTTCTGTTATATTCTGTGCGGTCTTCTTGGTATAAAAAGGCAGCCTCAGGCACAAAAAAATCATCAGTATTTGGATCTGATAACAAAAAAACAATGGATAGTAAAGTGTTATCTATAGTTAGTGCCGTAGCCCATTGGTTACGAAGAAGGTCCAAACATATGTCGCCTTTCGAGCTTATATTTGGATGATATATTTTTGTTTTAAATTTTATTATTGGTGGCTTGAATGGATATTCTACTGGAAAGCGTATATCGAGTACGAATACACCATTTTCATATGGTGTACCCACGGGTCCTTGCATCAGAGCTTCCCAGTGTTTGTAATCTTTACTTTCAGAGTCAAGGGAAACGCTAAGAATATCGTCCGACCGATACTTAAGTTTTTTTATTTCATTTCGGAGGCGTTTGAAGCAATCTTCTAAAAGATTACAAGACGCGTTTTTTGTAAAAAAAAAGTTTGGAAACATTTTACTCACCTCGTCGGTTCGCACCGTTACTATTTGCAAATTCTTCTTCTGTTAACTTTAGAAATCGGTGTGCTATTGCCATTTAGATTCCAATATTTGAATATCTTTCACCGAGACAAAAAAAGAGAATGTAGAAACTTTTAATAGAAGCTTCAAGAGAAAGGTGTAGGTGCCGGTTGGGGTATAGGCGTTGGTCGAGAGACCATGGGTGCTGCTATGTGATGTGGATGTGCGTGTAAGAGAAGAAGACGGTACCGTACACCCACCTACCCACATCCACCCACACCAACACCCACATATCCACACACACCCTCAAGATGGTCTTGTTTTTCAGTCTTAACTAAATCGGATCGTATAAGAGAATTGTCTCGAGTACTGTGCAACTTTTTTGATACTTTTATCTGTGTTTTATCTATTGCAGAGAACTTGATCGTAGCTGATAGAGTTAGTGCGGTAAAGTTCTATTACATTTTCGATTAAACTAGTTCATGATTTAGTTGAATAAAATAACATGTTGACGAAGTTTTAAAGAATAAGTCTTTAGTTAATGACAGACATAATCAAGATCTAATGAGTGAGAAAAATAACGTGCGCGAGAGAAAAGTCATAGAATACTTTACGTATAATATAGTGACTAAGAGCATCTGCATGTCACTCAATTATTCACTGATTCAACTGTTCGATTATTTCACTTTTCACGTATTTAACCATGTATTCAACTGCTCAATCTTTCTATTACCATTATACTCAACGTAGGCTTTAACCGTTGAAGTATTCGATGATTTAACTTTTTGACTTTTCTATTGATCACATTTGCATGGTGTTAGTGTGGTTATTAGAACTCGAAACTAATATTATAGCCTGAAAAGTTTTCGTTGTGGTTATTTGTTATGATTATGAAACTATTGCTTTCATCGTTACGTTACGCGATATATTCAGACAAACAAAGCCTCTAAAAAAATGCGTTTAAAATTCGTAAATACACCGTTTTTACGTATCAGAAACGTAAAAACGCCATTATTACGAATTCTTAACGCGTTTCTACACAATTTTTTGGAAATCGTTTTACTGCGTTAAAATTTACTCTATAGTTACTCGTTGAAACGCAGAATTCAACGTGGTTTTACACGTTATTTTGTGAGTTTTAACGCGTTAATCACAGTAAACAAAGCTAACGGAGATAAAAATCGTAAAAATGTGCGCTTTTCCCGATTTTATTTTCGTTAAAATTTCAAAATTTCAACGCGTATTTCTCCGTTTTTTTTGAGTTTTGTCTGTCTGGGTAGTCAAGAGACTAGTATCTTCACACTTATTCTTGCGCTAAATTCTGAACTTCGGAAGGTATTTAGTGTGGTGAAGTAGAATATTTACTTTTTACTGACGCTAAGGTATACGAAGATGAGACTATTTTGCTCACCTTCACTATCACGACTAGCTAAAAACTCTACTGAATCAATAAGTACTCGGATTCATCTTCGATCTTTACATCTATCCACCGAAAAACCAAAAAGTAACACCACACTTCCTACTGAGTTATGAAACAATTTCCTTCTGTTCGTATGAGAGTGACAATAATTTTTTCTGAAAAAGAAAATGTAATAATGAGAGCAAAAAATATTCCTTTCATTATTGAGAATGTAAGAACGATGATAGACAAGTTTTTTTTCTTTGCGTAAAAGACTGAAGTAAAAAGAAATGCGTTTTTTTCAGGAAGGAGTGTATAGGAATGAGAACAAGAAAAATACGTCTGCCAATGAGAATACATGAATGATGATAGACAAGTTTTTTCTGGGAAAGAGTCTATGAATAAGGGTATAAATAAGTTTTTTTTCTGGAAGGAGAATGTAGAAATGACTACAAAAACATTTTTGCAACAAGAAGAATATAATTACGATGATGAACAAATTTTTTCTGGGAAAAAGTGTAACAACACAAACAAAAAACAATTTTTTCAGGAGATAGACTGTAGGAATGACAGTAAGTTGTGTTCGCAGAAAATGTCTGCATGTTTTGCTCACTTCCTGCAACCAAAAACACAAGGAATCCCTACAAGATCTTTGTCAAATTCTCTAGAATATAGAACGGAGATACCAACGAGGTGTCATAGGAAATACGACTTGTTTTTTAAATTGATTTAACTCTTCGCATCATACATATTTTGATAGAGGGTGTACGAACGGTATAAATATGATACCCACATCCACACCCACGCCCTTATGTTTGATAAAGTTCAAGAATTATTAATTGAGATAAACTTACAATTGAATGCTGTACTACAACAAGATCTTCTCCTGACATAAGAATGACTTCCAATCGTCTTAATGCCAATGATTATGTCAAATTTGATCGATACGAACAATCGTTGGTTATTTTCTTTTCAAGAATTTCAACTTGAACTAAATTCATAATGAATTTATAGAAGAATTTCCTTTTCTCTATAAGAAATTAATCTTACTTTTATTCATGGAATTTATTTACACGAATTAATAACTAACCGTTCCAAGTTTGGAAGATTGAAACACTAATAAAATCTTGTTTCACACATTGATTTCATTGTTAGTAATTGAAGATTAATAAATGATGAAAATTGATAAAAGGAATAAGTTATCTTTTTAAATACGACCCATATATTAACTAGAGATAATAATTGAAGTTGATCATAATAGTCACTAATAGAATATATTTGAGAACAAAATGCAACTGTCTACGTATCGTATTTTCTATGTAATAGTTCTTTGACAAGAATGCTATATTAATATATATATATATATATATATATATATATTCACCAAAGTTCGTTAACACTTTGGACAAGATGATCTTCTATTCAATGTAGAAGTTTACAGATAAAACATAACTAATACTAATAATAACTAATTCAGAATATTCATCAATCGGGAGTATGTCCCGAAAATTTCAAAGAAAATACCTCGCAATAAAAAACTCTTTGACTCTCAAACAATTTTATTTATATCAACATTAAAAGTTTTTTTCTTAAATATTTATTCAAGGTTATTAACAAAAACAAAACTTATTTCTATTTGAAGTAAATATGATAACGTTGTCGCTGAATTGTATAATCTAATAAAAGTTTTTCATCATAAATCATTTGATTTAATTGTTTTATCATTTGATCATCTGCTGTTCTTATAAAAATACATAATAAATGTAAATATTCATAATGTTTTTGATTAATTTCTTTTAAAATTGGTTCAATATTTATATTTTTTATACATTCAACACTAAGATATTCCATTTGAGGACAAAATGACATGAGAAAATAAATATCTTTAATAGTAGATGCCGTGTCCAAATAAACATATTTTATATTTTTTGCATGTTCGAATGCAGATGTTGTAGGATATTCTTGATTTAAAGCTGAAGTATCTCGATAAAATTCTAAAGAATATAAATTTATTGAGATAAGATCAGGTAATAAATGTAGTATTTGCATTAAACTTTCATTAAGAATGTGTTGCTCAATATTTAAATGAGAAATTTGTGTGACATTTAAAACACATTTAATTCGATTGAATAGAATATTAGCAGGTTCACCAGAATAAACATATTTGATTGTCAATTGAGTTGATTTAGAATGTTCATGAGAAGAATTTATATAATTATACCATCTTTTTCTAAAAAAAGAAAAGAAAATAAATTGAAAAGGATATAACTAAACGTTACTTGTATGAACGGACATAATATTGAATATTATATTCATAAATCTCTATATCGAAAATCAAATTTCGTTGAATCCAAAATGGTGAATTGAATTGATTTCTTTCTCCATCATAAATCGGACAATTACGACCATATCCTGATTCACGAAAACATAAAGAAAATTTTTCTAATAGAGGAAAATTTTGTGAAATTAGTTTTTCCCAACGATAAGCATAAAGATAAGTTATATCTAGATGTGAATAAGCAATAATATGTAAAATTTTTAATTTCGAATTCATTTCTTCCATAAAAAATTCAATTTCATCAAAGTCTAATTAATTTGTAAATAATGATAAATCAATGAGATTATTTAAATTCACTGATAGCATATCTTCTATATCTGAATCATCTGTACTTCCATGTGAAAGCTTAAGGCGACGAAGATTTGGTGTATGGAATATTAATGCATTAAGTTCATCAAATGTATACCAATGAGCTATATTTTAATATTCAATTGTACTGATTTGGTTATTATTTGAAATTGGAATTAATATTGAACATTCACCTCCACATAAACAAAGTTCATTTGATTTTAATTTTGGCAATGAAAATATTAATTGATAAATCTGACTTAAATCTTCAATTGAATCTGTTGTTTGGATATTTAATGAATATTCAAACAAAAATCGAATCATCTGTAACATTTAGTTTTTCATTAAGTCAAGGACAATCAATTAAATGGCATCAAAATCTTTCATTTATTTATGTTTCTGCTCATCAAAATAATATTATTGAAGAGATTCATAAGAATATTTTATCAAAAGGTTTAAAAAAGATTTAATTTTTATAACGAAAAAATTATCGTTTCTCGATGAATCGAAACAACCACAACATTATAAAAAGCAAGCTATTCTATGTTTTGATTTCTCAAAACGTATTGATAATTGGCGAACTACTACAAAAAAATATAATCAACTTGATCAATGGATTTGGGATAAAGATGATGGAATATTTACTAGACCATTTATAACTTTGTATCCAAATATATCAAATTATTTCATTGATGAATATCCTCAACTTAACATGCGTACAAATGTTATGGGAATTTATAATTTACTTTGGAACAATATTTTAATAATCTTTCAATGGCGAGGTTTCTTCAGGAGGCAATGTCAAAACGAATGATATTTATATAAAAATACTTGAATTAAATATTTCATAAATCCACATTCATATCTTAATTGATTAACAATAAAATTGAGCTTCAATAACTGAATTAGGTGCTTGAATAGGATATAATTTAATAAATTTCCATCCAGTTTTATTTAATAAATCTTCATATTCATATTGTGTTCTTTCTCTTGCATTATCAGTTAGAATGGCCATAGCCATATCAAGTCCGTATGTTTGCCAATTACTTGTAGCACCTTCTGGGAAAATAATATGTTCAACAATAAATATTGTTATTAATGAATTTTTTTTATTTTCATTTGCTTGACGAATTGATGATAAAACTTTTAAACATTTATTATCGTTAAAACCATGTAAAATATGTTTAAGTATATATGCATCGGCTAATGGAATAGTTGCGAAATCAAGCATATCACCAGAAATAAAACCCCATTTATCATTAGATACTTCACGTGATATAAATTCTTCACCATTATTAACTTCATTAATAATTGGAGATAAATCGAAAACAATTCCATATTGAATATTTGAATATTTTTTAAGAATTTGTGCTAAAAATGTTCCACGATTTCCTCCAAGATCAACTATAGTTTTAAATCGACTAAAATCAATACCATCAACTAATTTAATACCTGCTTCTATTGACATTGTTGTCATAGCACCATTATAAATTGATAAAAATTCTTTATCATTACATTTATTTAATAATGTAAACATATCAAAACTATCAACTTTATCATCAGTTTGATTATAGACAATTTTATGAAATTGTAAACTTGCATTAGTAAGTACTGATCCAAACATAAAACGAATAAGATCTCGAACATGTGATGGATGATCTGATGTCATCATTTGACCAGATTCAGTTAAAATAAAATGTTTATCATCATTAATCAATTTAACAATTCCACCATATACACAAACATTTAATATTCGTTTAAGTAAATCATTATTCCATTTTTGTTTATCATTATTAACAATTTCTTCTATTGTTAAACCAGTATCTAATTGAGCATGAATTAATCGATCAGCTAAACCTAATTCAACAAATGTATAAATAGCCCAATTAATAAAATGATGATATGTCATCGATAAAAATTTTGGTAAACCATCAATAGTTAATGGTGAGATTGGAGCAAAAGCCATTAAAATAGATAAGAATTATTATTGTGTCTTTCGATATAATTCGAAATAAAGAAAGAAAAAAAAAATAAACGAATTATTTATTTCTATTTTGATATTGACTTAGATAAAAAAAATTACATATGTGTAAATTAATACTTTTCATTTTGTATTGCCATTGGATCAAGTTAAAAAAAGAAAAATTAATCCCCTTTATATTACTCGTTAAAGTAAATATAAAATATTATCTTAGTCATTAAAGTCTGTATAGGAAAATCGTAAATTAATCGCAAATTATTGAAATATCCTAAACACTGTTGATGTAATACCCATTAATCAACGATTTTTTTTCACTTGAATAAATACTTCATTCTACAATTTTCTATAGTTTATCCGTAGATAAATCTTGAGGGTGTGGGTGCTGTTACATCATCTTTAATGTGTACTATGTGCACTTTAAATGCTTGCACACCATTTTAGATGGAAAAAAGAAGAAATTTATTCAATATAAATTGGATAAAGCTGAGGAAGAGCATTATTAAAACCTCCACCATTAAAAGTTGGAATAAGAGTTGTTTTAGAACCATCTTTAACACGAGTTATTGTTAAGATTTGTTTTTCTTCAAAATTTTTATCATCGAAAGATAATTCTTCTGGCGAAAATGTAAAACAATCACTGCATTCTTTTGATTTCCATTGTATACGAACAGTATCATTTCCATTGATTCGATGTGGTGGAGTAATGAGCCAAATTTCTACTTTTACACTTTGATTTAAATCTATCTTTGATGTTTGTGGATTATAATAAAGACCAAGATTAAGATCTCGACAAGTTAAATACCAATCTTTTGGTATTGATTCAAAATATTTATCAATTGGTTCTCCTACTGATATAATTTGATAAGGTGTAGTTTCTTGAATGACATTCCAACCACGACGAATAACTGCAGTTGATCGAAGAGGAATTTGTGTATTTTTTTGAAAATAAATTTCTTGACATGGATACATTTCTCCACTATCTACTGAACATGTTGTATTTGCAAACCAATAATCTTCAGCTCTTGACGAATCATTTGAATATTTCATTTCATAAGAAAATATATTATAACTTTTAATTTCAAATGAAGTATGATTCACCCACCAATGAGCAGGAAATGAATTATATGCATTTCCCCCATATTTCCAATACGTACCATAAAAGCAATCGGAAGGAACAGAATTTGTTACTAGTTGAACATAATATTTTGATTCAGGTGTATCAGGAATTGTATAGGGAAGTTTCTTCGAAACATAGGATGATGTTCGTCCTGAGTCACCATAAGCAAGCGTGTAATAAGCACGTTGATTAATTTCATCAATTGCCATTATTGATACACCATTATTTGAAGAAAAGACAATTTGAGGTGGGAAATATGGTTGTGCACTTTCGGCAACATAACACGAAAGAACGAACGATATTAAACACAACAAGATTTTCATTATCTAAAATCTGTAATACTTTTAATTTTCGACGATCAAAAAAAAATAAATCGTTATAGAATGATACGATTTAATAAAAAGTAAGAAAATAATGCTTTGAAAACATTTTATCGATATATTTATCTTTTATTGTTTTCAGCTGTTCTTATATCACATGAAGCAGTTCTATTATCAATCCCTTCGATATTGATTTTTTCTCATTGTTTTGTGAATGATAAGAAGCTTTAATATCCCCTGCTTACGTATTTTTATTATAATTTTTTCTTTCTATAGTATCGGTAATCACTAATAGATGTCCCTGATATATGGAGAGAATAGAGAATGAAACAACGAACGAGCAAAACTGTTCGTGCGTCGTACACAGATTAGTACTGCCGTTCGCTACTACCTCATTTTTCTTTCTTTCTACAGTATCGGTAATCACTAAAAGACGTCCGTGATATACGAAGAGAATAGAGAAAGAAATAATAAACGCACATGAAGGCGTACTTTTAGACAGTATTTAATGGAGTGTGAAGCAAAGCATTTATGTATTGCTTGGTGAGTTTTTTTAAAATTCTCCGAGGTACGTATTAAAAGTTGTCATTTTCTCTCCCAATGATCGAAAAATTGAGAAAGAACAACGTTTTGAGTAAACGTAAGTTTTTCTTTTGGGGTAATAGTTTTTGATTTTTGATAATGTTTATGATAAGTTACTATGAGATAGATTTTATTTTAAAAATATTAGTATTTTTGATATTATATCACACTTTCCTGCAAAGATTTTAATAAGTTGAAGGTCTAAAATATCTTAAAGAAACAGTTTCAGTTTCTTTTCTAAAATTCGCCTATTAAAAATAATTAAATTTGGAACCATCTTGAGGGTGTGTGGATGTGGGTGTCAATGATATAGAAGACGATGCATCCACACCCACAAGAAATTTGAATGTAATTAAACATGTAAACTAAATTTTCTGTTAAATTTCAGAGAAACATGTCTATCGACATAGGCTCAATAAAACACTTTAAACCGCTATTAAACACAAGTAATCTTCCTCGCGAAGAACCTTATCGATACGATGGTTTTAAAACCGAATCAAAGATCCTTCCAAAAGGGCACAAGAAACGAGAAGATGCACGTGCCTTTCCAGAGGCGGTCCAGTGGGATCGTGATCAACCTGTCAAGCTTCATGATGGAATAACAATCTATTGTGACATCTTTCGTCCAGCTGACTTAGTCGACGAAAAGCTACCGGCAATCTTGAACTGGTCACCTTATGGAAAAAATGGAAGTGGTGCGCTAAATCTACATGTCATACCCTTTCAAGCATGTCGTCCTCAGTCAACTAGATCAGATTATGAAAGTTTCGAAGGTCTTGATCCGGCTGAATGGTGTAAACGTGGATACGCTATTATCAATGCCGATCCTCGAGGATGCTACGACTCAGAGGGTGATATCAGAAATATGGGAACACATGAAGGTCAAGATGGAGCTGATCTTGTTGAATGGATTGGATCTCAACAGTGGTGCAATGGATATGTTGGATTGGCTGGCAACTCCTGGCTCGCAATAGCTCAATGGTGGATAGCTGCCGAGCAGCCAAAACATCTCGCTGCCATTGCACCTTGGGAAGGAGCTTCTGATCTTTATAGAGAAGTGATCTGTTTGGGTGGAGTTCCACACATTGATTTTCACGAGATATTAAACTCAATATTCATTTCCAATGGCACAGTAGAAGATCAAAGTGCAATGATCAGAGAACATCCCTTATACAATGAGTACTGGGAAGACAAGCGTGCTCAATTCGACAAAATTCTAGTGCCGATGTACATAACGGCATCATATTCGACTGGTCTACATACTATGGGTTCTATTCGGGCGTTCACAGAGGCCAAATCATCGAAGAAATGGCTAAGAATTCATCCTACTCAGGAATGGTATGACTTGTACGCACCCGAAAACATCGATGATCTTGATAAATTCTTCAGTAAGTATCTGAAAAAGACAAATAACGATTGGGAATTGACTGCCAAAGTGCGACTCTCTATTCTGAAATTCAATGGAGAACCCGTATTTAATCAGAAAGAAGAGAACTATCCAATTCCCAATACTGAATACAAGAGATTCTACCTAGACAACGATACATCAACTATGATTCCCAGTTCACATACAAAATACAGCGCATTGACTTACAATGCTGAAAGTATCGATATAAAAGATGAATTAATGTGGAAACTTGTTTTCGACGGAAAAACACGACTCGTAGGCTTCTCGAAGGCAGTTCTCTACGTCTCCACAAAGTCCCATAATGAACTCGATATTTACGTCCAACTTCGCAAGTTTGATGCATCAGGTAAAATCATCGATCACATCAACTTTCCCAAAGAAGCACTTCGTGCTTGCGGAATGAAAGACGAGAGTGAAATTCTCAATACGAATATTTTCAAATATCGTGGACCGAAAGGTGCATTGAGAGTTTCTCATCACATCACCAAAATAGAAGATGGCGGCGATGATATCTCGCCGAAATATAAACATGATCGGTCCAAGCCACTAATTCCAGGTGAGATTATCATGGTTGAAATACCATTTTGGCCAATTGGAATTGATTTTGAAGCTGGAGAAGGTGTTGCTTTAGTTCTTGCCGGACATGAGTTGCCATATCCTGAGTTCCCTCAAATGAAACCAAGTACTCAGAACAAAGGTTTTGCTACTATTCATGCCGGTGATCATTATCCTAGTTTTTTGCAACTACCTTTCGTTAGTTTTAAATAATGACAATTCATTGTGACATTTTTATTATAGTTTTGCTGTTCTGTCTTGCTTAAAAGAATATAGAAGAAAAAATAAACGGTAATATGAATCTTCATTTTATTTATGCCAAGGGTATCTATTGTTCTTATCAAATAAAGTATAAGGCTTCCATTTCTCTTTTTTTATCATGAAAAGAGAAAAAAAAATGATAGTTATTATTTTATTATTATACGTTGATTGAAAAGAAACATTGTTTGTTTTTCTGTCTAACTTCGTCTCAATGAAAGTAATTCTATTGATTAGTTTCGTCGAACTGCTGTTGACTCTGGTCAGTTCATTAGATATAAAGCATGAAATGAACTATTTGAAGAATTTTGCTATTAACTCATCTGAAGATGCTATAGCTTATCTCAACAAATTCGGTTACAATGCTACGAAATGCGGACAAAATGGAGAGAATAATATTTGCCCATCTAATATGGAATCAATGTTAGAAACATTTCAAAATTTCTATAATTTGCCCATTACCAAAAAACTCGACTCGAAGACATTGAAGCTAATGAGTATCGCCCGATGTGAAATAGAAGACAAGCTCTTTATATCGAGCAAACAACGGTAAGTCCTTTATAAAACAAACAGCTTCATCTGATTTCTATACATTGAGCATTTATGCAGAACTTATTGGGTCTAACTATCATTTAACCTACATTTAGATTCAAGCTGAAGAACATTTTCAAATGGAAGTTAACTAATACTGATCTTCCTGAGCATATAGTAGTTAAAATTCTTGAACAAGTCCGACATTCATTCAATGATTGGGCTAAATACACGTCGATAATATTTCAAGAAACAGTAGCAAATGACAATGCTGACTTGAATTTCGTCGTCACTGATCAATCTCACAAACGGCATGATACATTAGATGGCAAGCTAAAATATACAATTGAACTGGTTTCCGACAACAGTCGTTTTGAAATGATAAAACCATGGATGAATGAGTAAATATCTGCCACTCAATACAATATATAAACACATATTTTTTAGATACAATCTTCGTTTTATAACAACACATCAAATAGGACATTTTCTTGGACTAGATCATTGCAATGATACATCATCAATTATGTTTCCATACTATCAGAACATACAACTAAAACATTTCTCGACAGAAAACGTGACTACTAAATATGGAAAGTTGATATCAGCATTCGAATCTAAAAAAGGTCGAAAGAAAATACTTTCATTCTATTTGAACTAAATTAAATATATTCTACCTTTAGTTCTAAAAGCTGCAGCGGAAGTAGTACCAACAAAAACAAATAAGACTTCTGATAAATTGATCAAATCTCGAAAAGAAAATGGTCGTTATACAAATTCCTTCAATCCAAAATTTAAATTTCCCAGTCCGGCACTTGCTATCAAGTGGAAAATGAGTACAGGAGTCAATACACAGCTAGCATATTCAAAAAAAGAACTTGATAAATTTTTACCGATCATTCGACATAACAATTCTGAAGAACTATTTCGAACAACATCAGGTATACGATTTATCTGGATTGGACATGCAACATGTTATATTCAAATGAATAATTTTCGATTTCTTCTTGATCCGATTTTCAGGTAAGTGTAGATCTTTTATTTTTATTTTGAAAGAAAAAGCAACGATTTATGACAGTAAACGATGTGGTATAACTTCATTGATCGGACCAAAACGGTTTCGTCCGCCAGCATTAACAGTCAATGATCTACCTGAAAATCTCGATGCAATACTGATTTCACATAATCATTTTGATCATCTAGATTTTCGTAGTGTACTCGATTTAAATAAACGTTATGGTGCACGGTTAACATGGTTTTGTGGTCTTGGTTTACGAAAATGGTTTCTTAAAATGGGCATACGAAATGTGATTGAATTGGATTGGTGGCAAAAATATCATTTTGCAGTAAATAAAACAATCCTTTTTTGTTACCACTTTCAGTCTTTAACTTTGATTTTAGAAAAAAGAAATAAACATTGCCTTCTGTCCAGCTCAACATTGGTAATGTTAATAAGCTTGTTTTTCTTTCTCTAGTAACTATAGATACTCGTGATTCTAGGAGTCGTCGTACTGCATTTGATATGAATAGATCCTTATGGGGTGGTTATGCTATTTGGAATACTCAACATAAATTTTATTATGCTGGTGATACAGGTTATACTCATAATATCTCAATTTTTCAACAAATTGGCAAACAATATGGTCCCTTCGATTTAAGTGCTATACCAATCGGTGCTTATGAACCACGATGGATGATGGAAGCCCAACATGTATCACCGGATGAAGCTGTTCGAATACATATAGATGTTAAATCAAAACAATCGATTGGCGTGCATTGGGGTACATTCGCTTTAGCGAATGAATATTTTATGGAACCACCGTTCAAACTTTCTCAAGCCGTTAAAAACAATCTACTTAATTCTTCATCATTTATTGTACTGAAACATGGTGAAGTGTTTGCTATATCTTAATTGAACTCAGTTACTATTATTCATCATTTGTTTGAATGTCTTAAACTTTGATCGTGTTAGTAGAGAAATAAACCATCTTAAGTCTTTAAAAAAATATATCTGAACAGAGAAAGACACGAGAGATATAGTGGACGAGCCTCGTGTGAATGCAAGTTTGTGGGTGTGGGTGAGGGTGTGGACAGGAGAAGAATGCAATAGCCAAATCCACGCCCTCAAGATGCTTGGCTTTAAGGCATGCGCACTCTGCTGTTATCTCGTAAATGAACTTGTTCTATGCTGTTGTCCACTGAGTAATTGCACTTCACTCATACGTTTGACCGTCTTTAGCTAAAATTGAGTCAGTGAATAATTCCAATGTAATTGGACATCATAAATGTTGATGGTCACTTATTTCATATTCGATTCTGCTTTTCTATCATATTTACGTGCATGGTGTTCGTGTAGAACTACTTATCTATGTTGGAAAAAAGTTTTCTTCTTTATCTCTTTAGTCATTATTTTCTTATTCACAATGATATTATTTACTTTAAAAAAAATGAGAAGATAACTCAAGTGTTGTGCAACTGTGATGAGTAATGAGAAGACTATTAGATTAGAAACAAAAAAAATGTAACAAATACTCGAACTGAAACTACCAAGTGGGGAAAACGCTGGCTTTACATGTATGCTAACTAAGAGTGAGGAGAATGGTGTAAGATAAACTGCCATGATCATATGGTTTCGACCTTGCGCACGGATCTATACGGATGGCTTTAGATTAATCTGAATTTCAAAATAAAAATCCAAATCAATATAATTAAATTGTTGTTTTTAGTTACAAAATAATATATAATAGTATGAATTTCAATCTCATCACATCCACAGTTCCACACACTCGTAAATATGCCATCAAGATAGTTGCCATATCATCTTTCCAAATTTTCAAGGATAGCATCTACTTTGAGAGATATCTGTACTATTCAGTAAATCTTTAAGGTGTATGTGTGATGGTGATTGTGGAATGGATGAGGATGCTGATGACCTGTCATTGCCCATGCCCACACCATCGTTGTTGTATCATTATCTGTTTCATGCAACGAAACAGTACGACTGATAACGTCAGTCAACCTTCGTGGTAATTTCCAAATGCGAAAGATTTTTGTCATATAAAAGAGAACGTATGTGTGCATAAAGAGCATTTTTAAAATTAGCTCATAGCAATGCGGTGGTTGTGCTGTGTTCTCTCTCTTTTGTTAATTACTATCACTAACGTCTTCGCACAATGCAACTCGAATGAGTGCATAATTGACACTGATTCTACCTCAATCAACGTCTTTCCGATTACCAACATTGACGACGGCATTCTACCAATTGATCTCCCGTTCATCCATACACAAATACTCAAAGAACTACTGCTCACTACTGACTTTACCGAAGAAACATCCAAAAGAGAATTTGTCGACCTCTACAAAGAGTTAGCCGACAATAAGGAGGTCAATGATCTTGTTAAATTTGACCGTGACTATGAGAAACATTCAGCCATCTGGTGGTACACTTATCCTAGCTACATACATGATTTACTCAATGAGGCTCTGCACATTCAAAATGTCACGAATCTATTGCATATGGGTTTCTTCATTCAAAAACTGCATCGTCAGCTGAAACACATTCGTGTGACTGTAGACGATGTAGCCAGTGACTTCACTGTGTATCGTGGTCAAGGTTTGAGCTATGATGATTATAACAAACTGAAGACGAGCACCAGTGGATTACTGTCATTCAACACGTTCCTTTGGGCAAATACTGATCGTGAGGCGGCTTTTGGCAATATTCAGCGAGTGCTTCGCGATGGATTTAATACGGCTGTGATATTTTCCATCACGATCGATCCATCAGTAGATGTCTCAACTCCATACGCCTGTCTCGATGAGTTTAACTACTTCGAACACTCTAAGAATGGGTACCTGTTTTCCATAAACACTGTCTTCACCATCGAGGGCGTGGAAAAAGTCGCTGATCGTGAAGGTATCTTACTCGTTAAATTACGTCTAACGAACATCAACAATAAGCGAGCACAACAACTCATCCAAGACACACGAAAGTCAGTCAAAGGATCTAGTACCATGATTCAATTGATCAAATTGATGACCCTTATGGAGCATTATTCGACAGCAGAGGCCATCCTCAATCGGTTACTAAACGAAAGTGACGAAAATGATCACCGCTCGATGACACTTATTCATTATTTGATCGGCGATGTCTGTATGAAGAGCGGCAATCTTTCAGGTGCTATTGCTTCTTTCGAGCGTGGATTGAAATTTTACTCACTACTTGAAGAAAAGAACTATTCAACAATTCAAGAGACAATATTTACGATTGCTACTCTTCTTCACAGACAGAAGAAGTTCGATGCTGCCATCGAGAAGTATCAGCAAGGACTGTTCCTAGAGCTGCAAGAGCCCGTTAATAATTATGAACAATTGTCAAGGTATTGCACCGAGATTAGTGTTGTGCTGCGTAGTCAAGCAAAGTATAAAGATGCACTAGAATTTCAAGAGAAATCTCTTGCTATTATCCTCGAATACTTATCACACGACTCGACCAGTATTGGAATGTCTTATTGGCATATGAGCGATATTTACAAACAAATGAAAGATTACAATATGGCAGTCACCTATTACGACAAGAGTTTGTTTCATCTTCAGCAGAGCAGCCCAATATCCTGGGAGACAGTCACGTTGGCTCTCTTCGATGTCGCGCGAATGCTTAAAGAGATTGATCGAACAGATGAAGCTATGCACTACGTGAAGCAGGGAGTGACCATTTCACGTCGAATCTATCCTGAAAACCATGTAACTCGACAAGTATTCGAAATCCTATTGAAACAACTAACAGTTGACACTGCATAAATGTCTATCCTGCCTATCCAGTTATCCCATAAATTAAATTTAAGAAAGGATACGTACTATAAGAATCATCCTTATGTTTTTGTGTTCCCCAAAATAACACTTTTTTCTACGACAGTTAAACTATTTTCTCAAATAAACATGAACAATACGTAACTATTTAGTCAGTGAATAAGTGAGGGTGTGGGTGTGGGTATGAATGTAGAGTGTGAACGAATAAAGATAACATACAAACCCTCACCCACACCCTCAAGACTACTTATATCGAATCATATGAATACGAATGTATACTTTTTAAGCGATGTATTCAATAAAAAAAGCTATTTTAATATTCAGAATAGACGAAAATGGATGGGTTGTTTTTATATAATAGAAGTTAATAGAATATTTTAGAAGCCTGAGGCAAAATAAACATCTTTTTAGATTATCAGATGTCGCTTATTATCAGCAATAATTTCGAAATGAAAATTCAGTATAGAGGAATAAAATCTATAATATTGCGTATCCAAATATATACGTAAAAGGATGACATAACACTAGTCATATTCTTTTTCTTTTTGTTTTAGTTAAAATGTTTATTAAAAGTAACTTTGAATCATTACCAAATGAATTATTTATCGAATGTTTTCAATACCTTAATGCATCGGATATTTTTCGTTCATTTGATCAATTAAATTCTCGTTTTCATTTACTTATTCGAAATTGTCCATTATACGTTAATTTTCATGAATTTAAAAAACTCAACTTCAACGAATTTTGTCAAGTAATTTCATCAAATCCAGAATTGAAACAAAATATTATTTCTTTACAATTATCGAATGATAAAACATATGGACAAATTCGATCATTTCTTTCATTATTTTCATTAAATGAATTTCTTAATCTTCGATCATTATCTTTAATTGGTATTCAAAATTATTGTTGTCAACAATTATTACATGCATTACCATTTTTATCTAATTTACATCAACTTTCTTGTACTCCAACAAGAGGAGATTTTCCGGATATATCACCTGCTTTACTACAATCAAACATACGAATACTAACAATACCAAGTGTTTATTTATGCTCCACATTTACTGATAATATAACGATGACAATTATATCGTTAACCATTCATCATTGTAGTGCATTTGATTTATGTAAATTATTGAAATACACAACAGTATTAAAATATTTGAAAATTAAACAATTATATGATTATCAATCAAATGATATAGTTCCGAATAACACTAAAAATGCTTGTCATTTAAAACAATTCATCATCAAGTATGCTAATGTTACATTTGAAAGTCTTAAATTAATACTTCAATGTCTACCAAGTTTGGAAATCTTTTCAATATATTCACAAGATAATATTGAAATGATTGATGCTAATCGATGGCAAAATTTGATTGAGATTTATTTACCAGTCTTAACAGTATTCAAGTTTTGTTTTGGTGAGTTTTCTGTTTATTCATATGAAGAAAAACTGATTAAAATTACACAATTTCAAAGTGATTTTTGGCATCAAAAACATCAATGGTATATCGATTTTAAAATTGATTACTTTTCATTAATTGTTTATACACTTCCATACGTACATAATGATTATACGTTAACAACTGCTGATCATGCATCTGATAATTCAAAGCAGTTTGATAACCTAGATGAATTTGATAGTTCAGATCGATTTGACAGTTCCGATCGATTCGATAATGTCAATGAACTATCTATATGGACAAGAATGATTCGTAGTGATTCATCTTTTTATTTCAAAAATGTCAAAACGTTACGATTAACAAGTGGAATTGAGGGTGAAGGTGAAACAGACGAGTATGAACTACAAACATATGATCTTCAGTTTCTTGATATGATTGTTAATTTATCAAATATCCAGCATTTAATAATTGCTGAAGAATGTTACATGTCATCATCAGAAGTATTATTAAATATATTAGAACAATTACCAGTTGTATCATCGTTAACTATTCGTAGACTTCAGTTGATTCCATATCTCGATAATTATCAATTATGCAAATGGTTAAATGAAAAAATTAAAACATTGGATATTTCTTCGAGATGAAACCGGAGTCGTAATCATAATCAATTTGATAATGAGAATCTATATAGTAAATCATTTTTAAATGTTGAACATCTTATATGTGATATTCAAACACTTGATGAGTTATTATTGATTTTATCCAAATGTTCAAAATTATCAACGTTGAACATTGGAAACATAAATGAAGAAATCTATACATGGATTCAAAAGAATGCATCGACATTAAACATTTATATTTATTTTTAGTTTTTTCCTAAAGAAATTGATGATAATTAACGATAGATTTGTATTATAACTTTGTGATTTTGTCGTCCTATTGAATAAATATATTGAAATATTTAATGATGTCTGAAATATAAAATTAAAAAGTAAGAAATGAGTGAATCACTTCGATAAAATAGCTGTCCACATCTTCAGGATGTGAGAGCGAAAATGTAGATTGAGTAGTCATGATGATTAATCAGTATTATACATTTTTCGAACTCATCTTTCATTTTACAGTGGAGTTTATATATATATACCCTTAAATATATCACATCATAGTTTTTGAAGAAGAGGATCATGAAAGATGCATTCATACATGGAAGTAAAATATGATATGATCTTCGATATAAGAATCTCTTTGTCTATGTCTTACAATTTATAAGCATGCGGACTACAAGGCACATATATATTTAATGAAAAGATAAAATCATGTTAATGACTTGTAGATGTGACCACAAGCAAGTCACATCATCTTTCATATTTCGTTCTCACCATTATGGAATTTTATATCAAATCAATATTGTGTATATTTAAATACTGAGTTCTCATGTCTATTCTTTTATAAAAGAAAATCATTAAATTTTAATTCAAATTAACTTTTCATTTCAATATGAATTATTTTACACAATTTTTGCATATATTTCCTTCTGCTAGTATTAATATAAAATCACAACATTTCGATAAGTACTTTACTTATTATAACAAACACAGTAATTGGTTTTTACCTTTACTCACACTGTCGTTTAGATCGAAACAGTAGAAAAAAAAGATCTTACGTAATGTTTTTTTTTTAAATTTGTAAAATACTAAACTTTTGTATATCAGGCGAAGATGATACTTCTGAAGAATATTTCTTGAGTTTGTCCGTTGAAATAAAAACTCTTTGATGATACCATCAAAGGAAAAAAATAATTAACTAAGTTTAATATAATAGTTGAATTAGGCAAAAATATTTTTCTCAGAACTTTGTATGATACCATTTGATAGAGTTTTTCCCAGAAGATGCGAACACAGATAATAAGGAGTTATGAAACCAAAGAAGTTCTGACAACTTTATAAGTTCCTTCGGTCTATGGAAGCTTTTTGAAAGAAGTAGAGATGAATGATGAATTTCCAGCTATATTGATGATTGAATAGCCATGGCGAGATGGAACCCATCGTTCGTTATTTTAGATGCAACAAATTCTTTCTCTGTCTTTCAGAAAAGTGTCAGCTAATTCGAACGATAAACGTGACTTATATTTAATTTAGCATTTTAATGTCTTGCGAAACTTTAGAAAGATGAATAACTTCTATTCATATGTCCTTGATGATAATTTGATTATCAATCGTCGACGGATTCGATGTTTTTTGAGGAAAAATATGTAAAAAAGAGTGATACAACAGAAAATGGTTATGTTATTGTTGATATCCAGTGATTAACTGTTCCATTACTTTTTTTCATTTTTATCGTTATGAAAAAATATATCGAGAATGAGATAAAATAAATTAAACTTTTTCTTCTTTAAATTTTATTGTTTTATCAAATGTTTATTGCAAAAAAAAAAGAATCTGATTAATGTGCATACATAAATCTATGAAACAAACAAAGTTCAGAAAAAAATATGTGATGTATTCGAACGACATCACTCGAGCAAAACCTATAAGAGAAAAAAATCCCCAGTAAAAGAACTAGGTCGTAAAAATATGCACCTTTATTTTTTTATCTCAAGCAGAAAATGGAAAGGAAAGACAAAACTGTATAGTGCAGCGTTATGAAAAAAAATGTGCGTAAAAGGCATTTATTCATGGCCATCTCGTCAACGTGTGTATGAAATAGCACAGTATATTGATTCACATTAATAAACATTACTTGGAAAAAACCAAGTTACTTTATTGAAAATAAATAAGTAGGGTAACTTTTGCTCTACATACATAAAAACAACTTCAATATATCCCAGTATGACTTTCCATTGTAAGTATACCTAGTTATTCTCTTTCTCGTAGAGAAGAGTTCAGTAAACATAAATTGTTTGTTTGCTTGCTTGCTTGTGACCGCAGGGTCAAAAAACCATCGAACATCGATTTTTCGTGAAGGTCATTTCTAGACGTGTTTCGATACGAGGACTTCGAATCTGACGTTAATTTTTTATAATTTTTTAAAAAAAAAAATTTTTTATATAAAATTTGATGATATGGTTTTTGAGGTCAGGTCTAGACCCTATCAATATATTAAAATTTTTTTTCGTTTGAAAGAGCGGGTCGCAATGCAGATCGCCACAGAGTCCTTTTTTTTTAAATTAAGTTATGTTATTACTACTATTTAAAAAAAAGAGGAAAATCCATTTTTTTCATGTCAGCTATGGAATTGTGATCGAACCTTATGAATCAAATTTGGAAAGCAATGAAGTTTCTAACTGGTTTCTGATCAAGTAGTGGTTGTGAAAAGTCGCGAATAAGCTCTTTATAGAGTCTAGAATAGATCTTTGCTCATCTTCATTATGCTTTAAGTATAGGTACTGTTTGTTTTTTTATTAATTTCCTTTATTTACTGGTGTTACAATGAATTCTAAGTATGTGTTGATTCAGTTTTTGATTTTGTTTGCAATTTGAGAATATGAATTTGCGTTTCAGATAATTTTCTAATCAAAGATTCATAACTGAAGTGAACAGAAATTAAAGTAAGATCTCGATTGGTTGTCGGGAGTTTGAATAATCTTTAATGTTTCTCTCTTCTTCTAATTCAAGTTAACACTTGATAAAATATACATTGAACAGTATGCGATTAATTAGTATGAAATAAAAACTTATTTTAAAAATTTCAATCAGACGTTTCGATGAATTTTTTTGGTATATTTTCTTATTTTAGTGGCACAAATATACAATGTACCAACAACAAAAACATTTTCAGAAGAAACTCCAATACCTGAATTAGGAGTTGAAACACCACAACCTGAAGAATTACGTGTTGAACTTAATCGTATTAATGATTAGAATTTCAATATATTTCGTATTGAAGCAATAAGTGGTGAACGACCATTAACAGCGATAACATATCGAATATTTCAAGAACGTGATTTAATAAGAACATTTTCTATTGAACCTCATAAATTACTTTCCTACTTATTCGCACTTGAAGATAGTTATCAACAAGTGCCATATCATAATAAACTTCATGGAGCTGATGTTTGTCAGTCAATGCATGTCTTGCTCAATAGTTCGGGAATCAAAGTAAGAGAGAAAACCAAAACATTTTGTTTTTATTATTTCCTTTCGAATAATAAAATTAAAGGACGTGTTCAACGAATTCGAGATCCTGGCGGCGATATTCGCAGCAGTAGTGCACGATGTCCACCATTCCGGTCTAACAAATCCATTTTTAATTAAAACTAGTATGTATTTCAAAGTGAGATTCTATACAACGAAGCTATCATTTTTTAAGATAATAATAATGATAAAAAAAAACTTGGCTTCGGTAAATATACATGGTTTTCTTTATCTTTTAGAAAACGATTTAGCGATTCTGTACAATAATGAAAGTGTACTTGAAAATCATCATGTAGCTGTTGCATTTAAATTATTACAAGCTGATGAAAGAAATATTTTTTCAAATTTATCAGCTGAGCAAATGGAGACATTACGTAAAAGGGTTGTTGACATGGTCTTAGCAACTGATATGGCTAAACATAAGACATTGTTAGCTGATTTCCAAAACTTACTTGAAGCAAAAAAGATGTCGGGAAATGATTATCTCACGCTGGAATCATATGATGATCGAATTCTGGTGTTGAAAAACTTGATACATTGTGCTGATCTATCAAATATGACAAAACCATTAGATACATATTCTAAATGGATTGATCGATTAATGGTAGAATTTTGGAAACAAGGTGATGCAGAACGTGATCTTGGTTTGGACATCTCACCTATGTGTGTGAGAAGTCCAACTACGAAAGACAAGCATCAGGTTAGTTAACTTTGCCGAAGAAATCGATATTCAAAATTGATTTTTTTTTAATAGATTGGTTTTATTAACTCTTTTGTACATCCATTATGGGAAACATGGGGAAGTTTGGTATATCCAGATGCAAATACTATTTTGGAAACATTAGCACAAAACCGTGAATGGCATGAAGCTAGCCTTGCAGCTTTAACATCTTCAACAACTGATAATTCGTAATCTCATGATGATAAACAAAATTGAATTCAACCGATATCATCAAAACCAACATCTCCATCTCATATGCTATCTGACATTCTAAAATCATCTTCATTAGATTCATCAATAATAAGTGCAAGTTTAGTGAATAATTAACACATTTCCACATCATAAGATCAATGAAAGTTCATTTTGTTTCGTCTTTTATTTCTCATTCTTAATCAAATCTCTTTTCCGTGTAATACGGCCTTTTGCTATAATGTCCTATTCTTCCTTTTTTTTCTATATTCAGTATTTGAGCTGATCTCTTTTTTTTCTTTCTTACTCGATTAGAATAAAAATACACACAAACAAAAGGAAACCAGACAAATCTAATAACTATTGAAGAATGAACTATATCATAAAGAACAGAACATGAGATATTCGATGATGAAGAGTCAATTCATCCGGTAACTTTAATACTGCCAAATAAAAATCTATCAATTACGGTGAAAAGAAGGTTTTTAACATTTCCTCCAATAATTAATCGACAAATTCGATGCAGAATCGAATGGTTTGTGTAGATTACCCATACAATAAAAAAAACATATTTTTGTTGATTAATCAGTTTTAGTCTAAAAATCATAGTTTTTGATTGCAATTTTAGACTTATTGCAGCAAGAAATAGTAGGTACAATGCCAGATCAACCTGAAACAGATGCAGTAGCAGAAATAGAATTTTTAGACTAATGGACAATCTTGTATTACATGTAACAACGATGATGGACAGAAACTTTTGATTTTACAAAATCTTGCATTGCAGACAAATAAACGTGATGAATCAAGCGAAAATCCTTTTCAAGAAAACATTGTCGAGTCCATAATGATTTTCTCAATATTCTATTGAGGAGTGCGTCGATACAGATACAACTTGTATTCATGTATCGATACATGTATCGTAGTACATGGATGCATGTAAGTACATGACTGTTTGAGTAGGCCTAGGGGAAATGATCGATACAAGTTGTATCTGTATCCACGCATCTATGCCACCTGATGAAACTTATTAGAAGTCGAAATCCGGATAGTGATGTCTTTTTTATTCATAAGCCTCATCTGTTGCGAATATGAAGATTATCTGTTTTAATTTTGAAATTGATTTGATAGATATTGATTTATCTATTAAGTTCATTTTAGTTTGATTTCAAATCATACAGAGTAACTTTGACCACCTGATGAGACTTATTAAACCCCCAAATCCAGATAGTGGTGTCTCTTTTATTCATGAACCTCACACCCACACCCATACCCTCTCAGATCCATGTCTTTAAGTGATTCAGAAATACACAACATAGCCAATACATTACAAGAGAATCAAATGAACTTTATCGTGTCATCTTTCTTATGTACATTGCATTGTTTCTTATAGACATTAATTGATCTAAATATTCCTAGGAATGAATTTAGGATTAGAGCTAGGTGTTAAATATTTAAGTAATGAATTGAAAGAAAATAAAGTATAGTGGTCAACTTTTTTGTTTATCTCTCTGAATGAGTTAAATTTGGAAAATTTTCTCAGAATTATTCAATGTAATTCATGGATATGATTGCATCTATTGATCACATAGAAAACCATTTCGTTGATTTGAATAATTAATTATTTTTACCTGAAATTATTAGATTAAGTTGTTTTAATAAATGATATGATTGTATTTGATGAAAATTTTGAAAAGAATTCAGAAACAAAGTAACATATTGAAGTTAAAGTGAATGTTGAAAAATTTCTATCTTGAGGGTGTGACGGTGAGGGTGTGGAAATAACACCCTCACCCTCACCCTCACCCTCAAGACCCGGAAAATTCTATATTAAAAATAAGGACGTTCTGTTTAGCCCGCTATAATATTAAGTGTAATAATGTCAAACGTCTGAGTTCGGAAAGTTGTTCGAGCCATTGCATCCCTGCCCAACACCCTATTTCACCTCCGCATACACCTCCAACGCATCATGCAACTGCCCAAAAAGACCCCCATGCCAACTTCTCACCTCCTCCCATTCACTCTGCGGTAGAGTCACACGCATCATCCGCAGCCACGCACCGACGATCAAGTCCGCATAGCTAGCCCTCGTTCCGAGTAGAAAGGGCCCACTAGTGTCCTTCAAGAATAGCTTAGCCAAACCACCCAACATATTCCGGAACGAATCCTTCATCTTCTCTCGCGCCTCACCAACCAATGCAAAGTCCTCCCAACACGTAACACCCGCGCGCCGGACGAATTCCGCCTTACTGATCTCGGCAGTAGCTGGATCGAACGGAAAACCATGAAGCGTAAGCTGCACATGTGCGGTAAAGGCCGCGTCGACGTTCACATTGAACTTGGCGTATTCAGGAAATTCACTCTCGCGACAGTCCGATAGCGGTACAAGTGACGCATGCTCGGGCGTGTAGATGTAGTCGATCGTCTGAGGAGGAAAAAGGTCGCCCGCACCCGAGTTCGGATACGTCTTCTGAAGGTAGACCGCGATGTCGAAGGAGTCGCCGACCAACGAATCAGTGGCAGGATCCTCGATGATAGGCAGGGTAAAGAAGTCGGTGCCATCGGCAAATTTGCGACAGGCTGGTACTTTGAGACTACTGCGAACTTTTGCAACGTCGGGTAAAGCCACCCATGAGGTCGAGTATGGGAGACCTTTGAAGTTGAGTGCCAGTCGAGTTTTCCATGGGTTTGGTGAGCAGCAGTTTTTCTCCACGGGGGGACGCATGGTGATGTCATAGAAGACGATAGAGCTGGATTGAGTTGAGGTCGTCGGCATGGCGAATGATGGAAATGTGATAGGAAGACTTTTCTCCTATAGGGTGGATATTGTGTCTTTGAAGAGGAAAATGACTTGATGGTTCAATAGAATATATCTATCAAGAAAAAAATAAGCAGAATTATAGGTGATGAAGAAAAACAGTAAACGTTGCGTCAAAAGAGTTACAAACTTCTTACACAGTATATATTCTTTTTTAGTTTATTTATCTTAGCAGATTTGCTGCCTAGTTCGCTCCTAGACTAAGATTGTGTTTTCGCTCAACTACTACTAATACGAAGATCACGAAAGTAGCGTTTCTATGGAATCAAAGTTCACGTTACTCTTTCGATTACACATAGTGTAGGAAGCCAAAACGCTTTTTTTTGCTCGACAAACTGATGTAAAATTCAGCTGTTGACAATAGAGTGTTCTAAAAAACGATTCACAAATACATATGGCATTGCTACCTGGAATATATTAGTTCATTATCGAACATGGTGCAACTGCGAGGAAAGCAGTTGCAAGCCCCAAAAAGCAACCTAAACTATATAGAGAACAGTCTTTACAAGGACACATAATGACGACGTCCTACAATATGCTGATACGTTCCTTAATTTTTAGTTTAATTAAATGATATGACTCTTAAATACAGCGTTCATAACAATGTAATACTCTACTGAAAGTAATAAAATTGTGACATCTCTCACGAATGAATCAGTATGTGTCATTACTACTTACGATTTCAATAATTCTCACTACGTAAAAATATCTAAGAATAAAAGCAGGCAACAACTTGCAAGTAAAGATAAAATCGCACACTCTGTTATTCACAACCCACAGTAAATAACATCGAAAAGAAAAAACATAAAAAGAAAAAAACGTAAAAATAAAAAAACATACAAATAAAAAAACATAAAAAGAAAACGTGGTGCATATCTTCTTTTCATTCCTTTCTATCGGCGTCGTTATTAGAAAAACGGCTGAAATTACAACGGCAGTCATAAGTTTTTTTTCCTTCCGAGCGCAGTGAAAATGGTTGCCGTTTTTGTTACACAAGAAATATACCGCCGCCGCCGTCGTCATCATCGTCGTCGTCGTCGCAGTTGCCTTAAAAAGACTATAATTTGAAACGAGTAGAGAATAAGAAAAAAATCATTATTCGTTCTCTTTCTATATTGGTCCCATTTTTCTTTTCAAATTTACTGTAGCTTGTGTCGCTCTCTCAAGACAATATCATACTCAAATCTATTTAATTCAATATTGAACTTAAAAACAAAGAACAAGTGTCTCATTCTCAAACTCAAAATGAGACGTGTGCATCTTGAGGGTGTGGGTGTGGGTGTGGGTGTATCAGGTCTTTAGTTCCAAACCCACATCCACACCTCACCCACCCACCCACCCATACCACACCATACCCTGAAATGATGAAGTCTTCAATATCAATATGATTGTTGTTTGTAGTCACTTTCAGAAGAGACGTTCTTTCATTTTAATTATTACAAACGTTGAAATCAGTGGATTTTTTCAAGAAACTTTTCAAACCAAAAGGCCTTTTTTTCCTCATTTAGTCTTTTAAATAACAAAGAAATGCGATGGAAATATCAAATGAATAAGTACATTGATTGTTCATTAATTCAGTCTTTTTTATTTCCATCATTTCTGCTCTGATCATCATTCCAAATATCAAGGATTAAGTATTTCACATTGTACTGTTTATTGATACATTATTGTGTTGTTCTAACTTCAGTAAGATGTTTTCGATATTGTTGAAGTTTAGAATTGTCTGAAAACATTCTGCTCTTTTCAAGTAGAATAGCTTGTCTGTATGAAACAGCGGCTTCCTCACTTTCCTGGATATTCTGATATATCTGACCCATACTGAAGTAAACCATTCCTAAGTTTGGATGTTTGATTTGTGGATGTCTTTCTAAGTTGTACTGCACTTTTTTATAAAAGTGAAGTGCTTTGGTATTCTCATTCATATTTTTATAAACTCGAGCAATATTATCGTAGGTATTAGTGAGTTCTGCAATATTCGACGAATAAAGTTGAGAAAGAATTCCTAATGCTTTTTCGTAATACGAAAGTGCCATTGAATAATCTTCAAGCTTTTCATTTGCTTGGCCGATATGAATATCATTAATAGCTTTGTCTATATTGCTTGATGAACGGTTACGTTGTTGCCATTTACCCACTTTGTAAAACAATCGTAGGGCTTTCGAACTTTTTCCCGTGTGGAGATAAATCTTACCAATATTTGAATAAGTTTCACACAGATCTGTCTCATTCCGTGGTACAGCTTTTTTCTGAATACTCAGTAGTCTTTGATAGAACTGTAAGGCTTCCGAATATTGTTTTAAATATTCATACGTTTCAGCCATATTTTTATATGTTCTTGTGAATGCGACATCATATGCGCGGTACTTGTCTTTTTGAATATCCAGAGCCATTTGAAAACTCTCCAAGGCTTTCGAGTAGTCCTCTGTGTGTATGTACATCTCACCAATATTATTGTAGATCGTAATTAAATCGAAGTTATTTGAATCAGGATATTGTAGATATATGTTTAGAGCTTTGTTATAGAAGATAAGTGCATTCTCATAATCGCCTTTTCCTTGTTCGTTTAATGAACCAAGCATATGATAACGATACCCAAGACTGGATTCATCATCTTCAGTTGTGTTTTCGATAAGCATTTGAAAAATTTCTTCTGCTTTACTAAATTTCCCTATTTTTAACAAAAATTTACCAAGTCTATCCCATCCCGATGAACCTTGTGTTGCTTCACGAATAAACTCAGTCATTTTTTTTAACTCTGGATCGTTGTCACTTGTTAATGAAAGTTGTACTTTCCAATATCGATCATCCAGTTTCTCTATTTCATTAATTCGAAATATACTGTGCATGGCAAATAAAACCTCTTCTTCTTCAGGATACCGACTTTCGCTAGCTATCCAAGCCCACTGAGTAGGTGTAAATATAGTCGGATTTACTTCTATCTCAAACAGAATACCAACTATTTCATGATTTTGCGGACAGCCTTCACCGAACAAATTACTTACGTTCAACTTCATACTAGTCGATAGGAAATTATTAAAAGAATAAAGACCACCTTTCCTCTCACATAATTGGTTAAAATCCATCTCTGAAAGTGCTTGACCTCGATGAACAATCATTTTTTCCGTTGGTGGTTTATATCGTGCTTCAATTTGTTTTTGAAGGTCTCGTATAAAGAACCCTGCTTTGATAATAATGTAAATATCCTGTTTTCGAAGTGCTCTATTAATCATCTTGTAGACAAAAGACTCGCGAGTATACCACCAAATTGACTTACGTGAGACATAATCTCTCTCGAATTTAGCGATCTTTTCGAGATCACGGGTGTCACAGTATTCTCGACAGAACTGAGCAAGTGCTTGTTTAGCTCGATCATCGTATGGTATTTCGAAGAGTATTTCTGTCAGTAATTTTGTATACATAAATGATACATCAAGATACTCTAACTCTACATTTGATATACCAGTTGTAATAGAATCTCGACGATGTTGCCGAATATCATATTTAAGTATTTCACAAAACGGTTGTATAGCAGGATAGATACCTTTGATTTTACTCCAACTTTTAATCCATGACTTGTTTTTAGGTGTCTTTTCCCCTAAAATATATATGGTATGGACCTGACGCAAGGGATGAATATCGCGCATTGTTGTTTGAGCGAGGTCGTTCGATATAACTAAGAGTATTATTTCATTAGTTTTCTCTGTTACAAAATTAATGCATTTTTTAGGATCCGTGAACATGTTAGTTGGATCAATACCTAGTGATAATAGAGTAAGACGGTCCTTGGCAGGTAGCAGAGGCGTATTAGTATTGGAAATCAAACTAACAGATCTCACGTGTTGGGGTAAAAGATCTTTGGAGTGTTTTTGACCATTTACACTAACATGAGTCGTTCCCAGTGTACAACTTGTAACAATACGTATCTCTTTAGAGCCACCACCAATTTCAGGAGTGAGAGTAGAAGAAGTATCAATAGTTTTAACAAATGACACCTTTTTGCCATTTTTTGTGCTAATAACTGATGGTGGTGTACGTTTCTTGTCTCTAAGTGTCCTATTTTTTGAGTTCGCAGAAACTTTCCCCTTAAGTGCTGGATGCCGACGCGGCGAATTTGTCGAAGTGACAGGTGATGGATGGAGAGATCTATGTAGCGAATCCAGTTTATGATAACTAGTTGCATAGCTTCGTTTGTTCGACACATCAGATGTTGTAATCGATATTTCCTCGAGAAGAATCGGTTTCAACGCAGTTAGCGGTTTCCCAACCACTACAAAGCTCGGTGCTACCAGTGTTTCAGGCGGTTTATGAAATGTTCGATGTTTTGTTTGAACTCGTCTAAAGATCATCAGATTGAGATTGAGGATACAGGATGGTTGTACAGGCAGGTATACTTAAAGATAAATCTACAAAGACTATTTATTAGATATCTGGTTCGTAGATGATCTTATCTTCTAGTTAAAAATATTTCGACTTGATGATGAATACAATTAAATAATTCCTGATTAGCTAACAACCACCATTCATGCTTATTTAATAACGAGAGTTCTAAGCAAGGCTGTTTGCACAATTATTACGAGATGAAAGGGGGAAACAGGGAATCACTACTAGTCTCAAGTATACGAAAGAAAGTTTGATTCTACCTATCCGACAAGTTTGAGAAAATAGAGGTGTTAAGTTTCGCTAAAGAAAATCGAACTTTTCTTAATTATGGAGAATACTATAATATATTCCTCACTAGGAGTGTCACTTTTGCGTCTCGTTCCATTTTATCCATCTCAGGGAAACACAAATACAACTCACTGATACCGACCATCAAAAAAATTGCAGTTGTCGACTTTGTTTCAAGAGAAAACTGTTACTTTGAAAAGAAAATAGTGTACATGCACATGATCAAGAGAAGAATGATGTGATGAAAAGAAGTAAATTTTAAAAGCATTTCATGCTTTGAAAGCGTTTTGTGTTAAAGAAAATAAAAGTGTCGAGTATTAAAGCAAAAGTGTCTTTATTGAAAAACAATCAACGAAAAAATCCAACTTGTACGATTAACAGGGAATTTTATAAATCAATCCCTTTTGTTTTCATTTTTCTGCGAACAAATTTTTCCAAGTTGACGTTAGTATTTCATGCACACCTTTCTTTCTATGTTGGAAAATTGAACGACAGCTTGCCTTGCAAAGCTGTGTGACAGAGCGCAAGTAAAGACAGGCTCATCGTCACTCCCGATAAAATCACGCCATCTTCCATCTTGAGGGTGTGAGTGTGGGTGCGGCTGTTTTATTCATATGTCGCTTACACACACCCACACCCACACCCTTTATTTGATATACTCGGTTTAAAATATGATTTAATAGTTGTTGATGATATGCAATCTACACAATCAATTCAACAAGAAAGAATGTTTATCTTCATATCTATTCTTAAGCTTTTTTTACTTTGATCTTCTGTCTTATTTTTATTTTCATATTGAATTAAAGACTATGTTAAGTTTGTCTGGAACAGGAATTATTTTAAAATCTAGCACATATTGTTTAATTAGATTAAAAAGATAGAAATTATAATGTATAAAATGCATGTGGATTAACAAAATCCAAGATTAGACCTTTCGGTGTCCTTAATTATTTTAATGGCTTTTGTCCTTTTAGTCAGGTGTTGGTGTGAGTGACGGATAAAATAATCATCCATACTCACCTTCATCCACTTTCAAGACTATTTTGAGGATCTAGATCATGCATCCACCTTTCAGTCATATTAACAAGTTAATTAAGATAAGGTCTGACATCACATATATTTTATATTTTTTATTAATTAGTATAAATTCCGTTTAATACAAATAATTTCATATAACTGTATATGAGCTATGATGTAATTCTATCCAGTTTCTAATCCGTCACATTTACAACTCCAAGAAGAAACAATAAGAGCATGACGAATATGAGAATAAAAATTTCATTTCGTTCTTTTGTTCACATCGACACAAAGATTTCTCGTTGATAAGTTAAATAAAGATCACGTGATACATGATTATTTGTAATGACAAGTAGCAAATTTATATTTGTTTATTTTATACAATTTAAAACCAATATTATTGAATTCATTGATTATTCAGTGATCATATCGAAGTCGAATAATTATTATCAGGATCAGTAACAAGAATACATTTAATTGTTGTGAACATTTTAAAACTAATATATAATATTTATATTCTTATTGAAGACTATATGAAAAATGAATATTTTCTACGCAAATTCTATTCATTGATTTGACTTATTTCTAAGTACATATTTCAAGTCACTCAATTAATTAAAAGTCATACAGTAAATGAATAAGCATTTTCCAACAAATCTATTCTACTATTTCATTCTCATTTCGAACTAACAATTTTCAGTTAATATGTAAATTGAAAATCACAATGTAAATGAAAAATTATAATCTGAATAATTCTTTTATTCGTATTTTCATTCATTTCAAAATTTTGTTTTCTTCAAGTTAATGGATAATCAAAGATCACATAAAAATTGAATATTTTGTATGTTTCCAATTACCACCTTTTTGTCCTGTTCATTTATTTTGTCTACTTTGCTGACAAAACTATTAAATTGTCAAGTATATTGTACATGATATTATAAATAATTATTACGCAATGAGCTGAATTTAGCCATTTATTTTGTTGACTTTGAATTAATCAAGTTCTCTAACGATGATATAGTTTGAAGACGACATAACAGTTGAATAATCATTTGCCAATCAAATTTTTGTTCACTTATTACAAACATATTACGATATAGATCTTAAATTTACAAATTGATCGAAGATCACATGCTAAATGAATTATCAGTACGACAGCGACCACAAATTACACAAGAACGTTTTTCAACTACACTATGTATTCTGAGAAGAATGTTCGGAGTCGTCATCTATAATTGACGATCACATAGAATGTTAATAATCGCGACGAAAATCATATTTATCTATGATTATCATTTTGAAATAAATATTTTATATGTGTGAGATGAATTGAAAGCTATATTATAAATGAATAACTTGAACGACCACCACAAAGACAACTCTATTCTTCTACTTTGTTCATTTGATGATATAGATCATTGTTATATAACATGATCAAGGATCATATATCCTATGAATACTATTAAAGGGTAGATTCTCGTCTCCTATGAGATTCTAAATAATAAAATTCAAGATTACCATTTCGGTATCGAAAACAACTTACCGGTAGATGATCTCTTTGAAATTGATGACGTTAATGGAGCGAAAATAGTTAATGCTGTGCAATGTCGTGTTTCTTCTATTATAAAGATGCATTATAACCTATTGTTTATTCAAGATAAGCATAAAAAACTTACTATGATGATTATCTTTGTCTGTTGATATTGACAAGGTATGTATTGGAGTTATAGATGGTTGTAATAGTTTATCATGATAATTGGCTACTTCTGCTAAATGTATAATGTTAAGACCACCAGGAAGATCTGTTACATTATCAACAACACGTAATTGAATGCCTGGACCCAATAATATTTCATCTTCACCAGGATAATTTGTATAATGAGAAATATCTTTACCATGTACAGCTTCAATTAAGAAAAGTGTTGATCGATCTGTAGTAGATAAATAATCTTTGATAACATCTATCGATAATGAACATGAACTAATATTCCACCAGGTTAATTCTTCATTCTTCTTTAATTCGTGACCAATATCACCGACTACACCTCGCCAAATATTTCTACTTACAGTAGGTAATTTATCGAGTGCTGTATGGAGAAGTTTTAAATAGGGAAACCAGAGTTTTAAAGAAGATTGATCTTCACATAATAATGCCCGATTTAATACACGATAGAAACTATTTTCACCTCCTTCCATCGTATATAAATATAATGCAGCTGATTCATCATGAGTAAGATTGTCTTCTGCTGGAAAATGACACAATTTTTTAGCTGCATGAATAGAACGATCTAATTGTTCGATAAGAGGTACAATAAACTTTAAAGCTTCTTCTAATGATACAAGTTTTTCACTCTGATAGTCACAAATAGGTGGAAGTGCTTTCTTACTAAAATCACCGTCAATAAATCGATTCATTACGTGTCTCTTTTTGTATATGACGATGTGTAATAACAAAAAAGAATAGTGTAATTTCAATGACACACGTTTCTTTTTCTCCTGCACGATAGAATAGAAAAAAATCGATACGGATGACATGACGCACGTTGCTTATTTGCTTCAATATATATGTTAGTACGTTAAAAAAAAGTCAGGATTCAACTTTCATTTAAGCATGTAATTTACATATATTTATTATTAATTTTATTTCTTTCAGTTAGTATTTGTAATCATAATTTTCTTCTATCCGTAACACATGAATATATTTGAAAGATAGAGTGATCGAATAGAATTTAAAATACTCATCCAAAAACATAACTTATTAACAAACAATTATTATTTTTGAGTTTATAATTCATGAAAGATTTGTTTAAGTTGAGCTATCTATAGCAGCACATACATGGTGATAGATGATAAGATTATTTTTCTATTTTTATTGAGTTTATTACTCTTGAGGTTTAGAATTAAAATAAATAAACTTTTCTCGATTGTTCGTACGGAATATCCATATGTTTTTTTTTTAATTTCAAAAGAAATAAAAAGAAAAGAACAATAAATGCATAACAATCTGAACTACAGAACACAGATAAAAAAAATGAAAGAACTGGAATAAATGAGATGTATCGTTTGAATTGTTATTCAGTAATTATAGACATATCATGAGTATTTTGCGTACTTGTCGAACTCTGACCATTTTCTTGATTTGGTGCTAATAATTGTGAAATTAATTTATCTTGATAACATCCTTCGACAAATTCTGCCATTGTTAATGAATTACAATTTCTTTCAGATATATTATCAAATATTTTCATCATACTTCGTTTAGCTGAAAGAACTAATTGTTCAATATTAAAATTATCTTCAACCATTGGTTGATGATTAAATCTTACAATTGCATCAATCACTTCTAAACATTCCATACGTGTTAATAAACCATTTCCATCAATATCAAATACTTGAAATAACCATTCAAGTTTTGTTTGTATTGAACTTGATGATGATGTTATCGATAAACCAATAAGAAATTCTCGAAAATCAACTGTATTCGATCTATCAAGATCAAACGCACGAAATATATGTCGAGCAAAACGTTCAGCATTAGCATTTGGACATAAAGTTTTATACATAGATACGAATTGTTTTCGTGTCATATAACCATTTGGACAATCACCTAGAAATTTTTGATGCCTTGAAAAAAATGAAATTTATAGAAGTTTTGATCGTTTTCAATTTATTTACCATTGGAGAATTTGTTCACGATCAAAATTTGTGACTGTAGATAATATTTGAATTTCCTTATCAGATAATGTTTTGTGTGTTTTTGTTATTCGTCGAAAGACTGATTGGAAACCATTTCCCATTTTATTAAGAAATCCATATCGTCTTCGTGTACTTACTGTACTATATAATGAACAAATTGATGAATGTCTAGAATTAACAGTTGCATTTGATTGTAATGATGCACTTGACTCTGATCGATTTATTGAATCTAATGATACTAATTCAGCCATTATTTTATCTTGAAAAAGAAATTCTCGAAATTTTATTTTTATATAATTATCTATGAATTCTATTTGTTTTGTTTCTTTTCCTCATACCGATCTTTTTTTTTCGTCACAGTAGAAAATCGATTTTATCACAATAACAAAAAAAAATAGAGAATAATAGAAGAAAAGAAAATCATCTGATAACAACAATCATATAAGTGTAACATTAGCCAATGAACAATATTTCTGTATATGTGATAAATGTTCTGTTGATAAACCATTTTTCATTATACTAAGAAACTAAAAAAAAACAAAAAATTCAAATAATTTTTCTTATAGAATAAACGATTATAAAAACAAACTTGATCCGGATGTGATGCTGTTAATGTTTGTAAACATTTTGCTAGATGAATTCGAGCATCAGGTATACTATTTCCAAATATATCTGTATGAGGTTTTTTTGCAAACGCCAAACATGAAAAAGCTGGAGTATAATCTTAAATAATACATAGATATATATATATATGTAGGTGTATAACATCATTAAATGACGTCAGTTTTGTTTTTATTTCTTTCTTTCTGTTTAAGTATAGGCGTATACATATCGTGCTTACCTGGCGTATCGTCTAATCCAACAAGTAATTCTTCTTCAGCTTCATCTTGTAATTGTTTTTTTCTCTCAGCAGCGGACATTGTTTGTAATTCATTACTTGATTCAAATAATTGAAGTAATGATTGTAATAAAGGTAACCATAAATTTGTAAAATAAACTCCACTTATCATTGGTAATGGATCACATAATAAATGTGTTACACCAATCGCACATAATTTCTTATCATTTTCATCAATTTTTGCTAATTCAGGTAGAAATAAACGTTCAACTACCATTTGAAACATACTAAAAACAGAAGATTCGATGTTTTTTTTTTGGGAAATTTTCATTTTACTTTGTTTGAATAATATCAACTTGTGTAATAAGTTCTTGTGCACCATATTTAACAATAAAGTAACAAAAGAAAATAATAATACATTTTATTAATTTCTGTGTTTTAGCTTTTGTTAAACGTGTAAATATAACAACAAATATATCTTTTAAATAATTATCTAAATGTATTCGTGGTAAATGAACAATTAATGAATTTAATATAGCAAATCCTTCATGATCATGAACTTTCGATTGGGAAACAAGACGTTGAAATATACCGAGAACAGTTGTCTATTTGCAAATTAAAATCTATTGAAAAACATTTCTTAAAATAAAATTTATTTACTAATTTTTCTAGGACAATGGTTTCTGCGGCTTTTTCAATATAAGCTTGTAAAAGTCTTGATAATGCTGGAATATTTCCACTACGATCCCAAAATGCTGGTGTTAATATGGATTGAAATAATATTCGATAAGCATCAGGTAATGGTATTGAACCTAATCGATGTGATTCTAATAGAAATCCAAGAATTTGTAACACATATGGAACAAATTCTAAATAGGAAAATTTAATAGATACAAATAATAGAAAAGAAAATTTTTTGTTTTTACCAGCAATATCGTCAGCAAATATTGGTGTAAATACTGGAAACAGAACTTGTTCAAATTGACTAAGTACACCGGGATTTTGTGTTACACTTGTACGGATTAATACAGTTATTGTTTCGAATAAATAATGATTGAAATTAGGTTTATTAGGATTCTAAACATTATTAATCGTAAAATTATTGAATAGAAATACTCTATACTAACTCGACATGATCGTCGTAAAATAAGAACTAATTTATCCATTAATTGATTCAAATAGGGTAGAACACCATCTTGAAGTGCTGATGATAATCTCATAACAGCTCGCATAACATATTCATTTTCATAGGATTTCTCTGATGTTAATATTCGAAATAAATTATCAAACATTGATTGTGCATGTGGAATTAAATCATTCTTTGTTATTCTTTAAAAAAAAAGAAAAACAAATAAATAAATCGGAACTATTTATTTAATTACGCTGTATGTTTATGATCAGCAGAATGTCGAACAAGTAATAAACGTTCAATAGCATGTGCTGCATAAGTTTGTACAACAATATTACTCGATGATAAATATCGAGCACATTCAGGCAAAGATTTTACTAAAGCATCACGTTCAAGTTGATTTCGTACGTGAATTAAAAATTTTAAACAATCAGCTTTTATTAAAGGAAGACTATTTACTAAAGAAAAATAAATTAATGATAATGAAATTAACCAAAAAAAATCAAAGATATTCTACCGTCAGGACTTTGAAGTTCTGGAAATATACTATTGGAATAAAAAGCTGGAATACTAATAAATGAACTTGTTTTTGTAATACCGAACTAAAGAATAATCAAAAACTAGAATAGTACAAAAAGAAATTTGTTTTGAACCAACTTTTTGTGTTTCGCCTTTTGAAGCCAATGCTAAGACAAGAAAAATACATGTATCTTTTTTAGACCAATTTTGTATTGGATTTTGTAAATATTCCTAAAGATAAATATTTAATTTTTTAAAATAAAAAATTCAGATGAAGAGTTTACCTTTTGCATTACATCAATATATTGACTATAGATCCCAACAACTTGCGATTCAAAAAAGATACAAAGTGCTTGAAGAAAATCACAAGCAGCTCGACGTCTTGTTGCTGAATCTGTATAATAAACAAACATAAATATTTTTATAATACTCATGAGTGGTTAACCATTAAAAGCCGAAGAGGGTTTCTGTGACAATGAAAAAAAAAGACCTATTGTTCTGTCTAACAGGCACTTGAGAATGTTGTATTTCACTCTCTATGATCTATCCGATCTTCTTAGTTCGGAAAAGTACTGGTTTGAATTATTAGCTCTTACTACGTTTCTTATTGCAATGTCCCTGAGAAAGGACATCCGGCTTTTAAAGGTTAATCTTATCAACGTAGTAGAAGAATTTCTTACCTGATTTTTCGATATCTTTTCGAATATATTCTTCTGGATTATCTTCAAATTCTTCTACATCCGATTCTAAATAAAATAAGTTTACTAATAAGATTTTTACAAAATAAAATTCGATTTTTAACCTCGTAAAAATAAATTCGGTAATATAACTTGTTCACATACAATTTTTAATGTATCACCACCTTCAAACATACTACAATGATGACTTCGAGCAGCTAATGTTGATAAAAATCGCATTGCTGTACTAATAAGCTAAAAATATAAAAATAAAAGTTCTATTTATAATTTTAAATTAGAAAGAAAATAAATTTTACATCATCAAAACATGGTGAAAGATTTAATCGTGTTAATAAAGACCATATTGCTAAAGCAAATTGTTGTGCAAATGGTTTAAATTCATCACTATAATTATCTGCATAAAGTGCAACAGCTCGACAAATTTCTGTTTTCACTTGATCTAATATACCGGGATCATGTCTCTAAATATTTTCAAAAATTTATTTCAAAACTGAAAAGAAAAAGGAAAACTTTCGCATACATCAGAATGAAGTTGTGGATGATCGTATGATAAAAGTGTCATGAAATGTGTCATGTAAAGTGTTATATTGTCCTCAAAATGTTCTGGTAATTCCTTAACGCGAAAAAAAAATATTTTAATTTCAAAGAAAAATCAAACAATTACCTGAGCATTTAGATCATAGAAGATTTTAATTGAAACATATAATGAATCAAAAATATTTTTCATTTCTACTATATCTGATTCTTTTTGTGGATAATATGCCATTAATGACTAAAAATACATAGGAGAATTTTGTTTTTGAAAATAAATTCGTGATTTACTTTAAATAATTCTGTAAAAGCTGGTGCAAATTTTTCAAGAACTAATTTAATTTCTAACCATAATTCATCTGATTTTTGTTCGTATCTATATCGTTCAAAAAGTGAATGAGCTGTTTTTAAAACCCCATTTATTGATTGAAAAGAATTTTGCGATGATGGTTGTTGAAATTGTCTAACCATTGTATCAAGTAATGTTGTCCATTGATCAGGAAAATCACATTGACCAATAACTGTTATAGCATCAGATAATTGTTGTTGAATATGTTCAGGTGATCGTGTCATTAAATCAATAATATGTTCTTTTATATGATTACGATCACGAATTGATATTGGATTTGTTGTTGATGATGAGGCATCAAGTGATGGCCAATTACGTTTTATAAAATTTTTAAATGTTATTACTGATGCTCGACGAATTTCATCAGGTGTTGTTGAACGTTCACAAAGTGTCAATAGAAGAGATGAATAATTTTCATTTCGTTCAATTTGTTTTAAAGTTTTTTCAGCTAAATAAAAAAAAAAGATTTTTTTCCCCAATTTATTAAATATAGAAAAAAATGAAGTTTTTTTTACCTTCTGATCGTTCATCACCATTTGGAGATAAAGTTTTACGTAGATAAGTTGCAAGTGCTTCAAGATTTTGATCATTTATTTCCATTATGAATTGTTTATTAGTGTAATTATATCTAAAATTGACTAAATTTTAGTCATTTTGATAGTTGAAATACTATCTTCATTCATAGTTAGATATTATCGAAATATTACGTGGTTAGATAATGTTTTTAAAAAAGCGTCAGTTTCTCGAGGATATCTTTTTTTGAATGAAATAATCTATCACTTTTGGCGGTATCATTAACACTTTTTGAGTAAAATTTTTTAAAGTGTTACCGGAGAAATGAATACATTAGATAATTATGAGACGCTATTGAACAGTCCTATCTATGAATCATCTTCAACGCATCTTTTATTTAAATTTGAAACAGAATGATGTCACATAAGTGTTGAATGATTCTTTAATATATGAGAAAAAAAAGGAAAGGAAAAGAAGAATTAAACTAAGTTAAATATATATGAATTAACCAACGAACTGTGTGATATTGATGAGTCATTATTTTTCAATAATTTTCTTACCTTTTGTAATCTAATAATCAAGTTATTAAGTTCGTACTCGTATTACTTATTTATACTCGAAAACCATGTAAATCTTCCTATGATTCGCTAATGCTCGAAAGACATAAAATCGAATCTATTATAGAGGGCGTTGATTAACATTATTAGTTTCTATCCGTTCGGATTCTATAATTAAATCTTGAAAACTACTCAAAACTGAACTGTTCAATAAATTTTGATTCTTTCATTCTTGATTCGAAAGCCGAGTTCTAACTATGCTATACTTTGTAAGAGATTAAAATATCATATTAACACTTTCAAAATATAAGTATGAGTGATAAGAAAGACATTGTATGAAATTATTATACTACATTAGTTTTATATCGCTATATAATCTCGAAACTTGTTTTGAATTGTATTGTCTATCATGTATTAATATTTCCAGTTCACTAAAAGTTCTTGACGAAATGCTATTTTAGAAGTCACTTGTTGAATAACAGTACTTAACAAACATTAAACAATAGCAACAATTGTTTAAATTCATAATGACACATGCCATCTCATAAACACATATGCAGATCTTTATTGGATATTCATTCCCTTAAATTCCATTGGAAGCATTATTCGGTGAGTATCTTTTATGTCATTAAAACAAAGCCAACCAACAAGGCTGCTCATCATTATTAGTCCGCTTCGCAAGCTGCTAATATTTTTACTAATGACTTATTCCTCAGCAGAAATGAATTCATTCTTCATTGGCCTTAAATTCAATAATAAATGTAAAATATACACTTTCATTTCGGAACCTTAAAAGTTACATAAAATATTAAAGTAAAGAGTAAACTTGAATCATGATAAATTGTGACTTGTTACTTTCAATACTATAATTCGTTGAGTGTATATCTCAATTTTGTTATATATATTTAATTTATGAATGAAAAATGAACATTATATTTTCAAAAGTACCGTCATCAAAATAGATATTTCCATGTGTCTACAATTCATATATAAAAATGATGGATAATTTTGTGTTCGTCAACTGGATTAGCCAATTGAAAAATAGAAATATAGTAAAGGACACATTGCTTTGTTCGGATTGGTTATTGATCGTTCTTGAATATTCATATGATATGAAAAATGCATAAAACATAATCATTCACTCAAAAGACAACGAACAAAATGAGTGATTGTGTTCAAGTTAATTTACGAATTACTACAAATAGTAATCAAGGTAGTATTTTAAAAAGATTTTTTCTTAAAAATTCAATTCAATTTGTTTTTCTTTTTAACAACAGGAAATCGAAAATATATGGGTAAGTTAAAATATTTATTTATCATAAATAATAAAATATAATTTAAATTTATTTTTTGTAGAAGATACATATGCAATTGCTCTTCAACGTTTAAATCCAACAGATAAAGAAAGTCCAATTTCCTTAGCTTATTTTGGTATATTTGATGGTCATGGTGGAAAAGAAGCAGCTGAATTTGCTCGACAACATTTATGTCAACATATTCTTGAACATGATGAATTTTGGTCAGAAACTTCTGATGATAAACAAATTCTTGGAGCTATTCGAAAAGGTTTTCTTTCATGTCATAACGATATGTGGAATCATGTAGAAAAATGGGCAAAAACATCATCTGGTTTAACTAGTACCTCAGGTTACAAAAAAAAACAAATCTTATTTATTTTATATGCCCAAAAAATTCTAGGTTGTACTGCAAGTGTAATATTTGTACGTGGAAATAAATTATATATTGGACATGTTGGAGATTCATCGATAGTTATCGGTGAAGGTGATACATTATATAAATGTTGGAAAGCAAATCGTATAACACGTGATCATAAACCAGAAGATCCATCCGAATTAAAACGTATACGTGAAAGTGGTGGAAATGTTCTTTGTAAAGCTGGTGTTCATCGTGTTGTTTGGAATAGACAAAAATTAATAACATCATCGAATTATTATCGAAATGAACATTTAAGAACAACGGTTGAATATGAACAAATACCATTTTTAGCTGTATCACGTGCATTAGGAGATTTATGGAGTTTAAACAAACAAACAAATCTTTATTCTGTTTCACCTGAACCTGAATTAACTGTTATTGAAATTGATCCAAATAAACATCGATGTTTAGTATTAGCCAGTGATGGATTATGGAATATGATTACACCAGAAGTAGCTGTAGAAATTGTTAGAAATTGTGATGTGAAAACAGAAGAAATGATTTTAAATTCAGAGGTTTGAATATTTTCTTGAAATCTATTTACGAAAAACAACTAATTTTTATAGGATGATGATGATCGTCCATTTCGTAATCCATCACATGAACTTGTACAAAAAGCATTAGTTTTATGGCGAGAGCGAATGTTACGTGCTGATAATATAACTTGTATTACAGTTATGCTTGATCCACCTGGTCCACCATTTAGTGAATGTATTTTAAATAAGAAAAAACAAATGTCTTTATCAACATGTAAGTTAATTTCGTTTTTTTTCTATTAAGAAATTATTATTTTAATAGCTTCAGCTTGTTTGGAAGATACTAATGAAACATCACCAATGAATACGGATCAAACACCACGAAAACCTAAAATCGGTGTACAACGTAAAGAACATATTCTTACACCAATTTCAAATGGTTCAACACCAATACGAGTAAGTTTGTTTTTTATATCGGCACATAGCCATCGAATCATATGGAACTTCTTTTTTTAATTTAGACTCCTAAACGTCCTGCATCGGATGATGTCACTGAAATATTCGATGATACACCACGTCGTAAATTAATAAAAATCAATCAACAAAAAGAGAATGATACATCACCAGTTTTAGCAACTGAACAAGTTCTTCCTTCGATTCCTTTGACAAATAATGATGAAGATTTTTCACCTGAAATTCAACAAACACCAACAGCTTTTACATTGGATGATGATTTAACACGAAAAGTTGAAGAATGTTTTCGTAATAATCCTAATGAACAACAATCAGATATTGAAATGATGGACGCTGATGAACCAAATAGTAATAATAATGCGAAACAAAAACCTTCTACACGTCGTCGTTCTCGTTTTCGTTTTTCATTTTCAAATAATCATCATTCACCTGAGCAACAACAACAACAACAACAAGATGAAGAAGATTTAACAAAAAAATCTCGTTTATTTCGAACGCATTCGGCTTCGATAATAAATCATGAAAATGATGATAAAATAAATGCAACACGTCGACGAAAATCATATAGTACGACTGGATTAGCAAATGAACTTAAAAATATTCCAAATAATCCAACTGAACAAATACCAAATATTGATAAAGTATTATAAATTTAACGAAGAAATTATTTTTATTTATTTTTATTATTATTTAGAAATCAACAAAAGCCAAACCATCATTAGCAAATCGGGTTAAACGAGCTTTTTTCCGTCCACATCGTAATACAATCTCTTCTTCATAATCTGTTTGTATATCCGCAAAGTAAAGAATGATATATATTCTATTTGATGGAATTATCCGACATAGTCACATTTATTTTTTCTCATAAATTGTAACTTCAATGAAGATAAATATTGTATAGATATATGTATGTATGTATGTATTATTATTTTGTTGTTTATTATGTATACAGTAGTTAATCATGGAAATTTCTAAAATATAAATTGTTTTCGTTTTTTTCGTATTATTAAAATAACATAGGAAATATAGAAACGAAAATATATTTGTTTTTCTTTGTCATTCATTTCTAGATGTGGAATGTTCATTCAAGATTTTTAGCGCGAACAGTTTGGGTTCGAAATGGTGAAGTAGATTTAGCTTATCGAGCTTTAAATCGGTAAAAATATTTATTTAATTTTTTAATAAATAAAAACACTTCTTCTTCTTCTTCTTTTAGAGTTTTAAATAACGAAGAAGTTTTTAAAACTGCACGTTTATGGGAACGATATGAAAAACCATTTCGTAAACGAGGTCGACTTTGCTATGAAAAGTATATTTTGTATTCCTTAATTAATTAATGAAATAATTTCTGTCATTTTGTAGAGCACATGAAATTTACAACAATGAAATGGAACGAAAAATAAAATTTCTCATGCGTAAAAATCGTGCTAATCCATGGCCATGGAATTAATAATCGGATGAAAAGAATTTGTTTCGTTTTGTTTTTTTTCCCGTTTTTCTGTCAATCCCATTTGTTACTTTAAATCGTATCCATAGAACAGATGTTTTCTTTTGTAGATAAGATAACAATGGGATTTTTTCAAGGAATTAAAGGTAAAATAATTAATTTTATTAAAATATTTAATTTAATCGTTTTCTTTTGTTTTAGGGTAAATATTTATACTGATGAAATATGAATAATTCTCATTGTTTGTTTTGTGTAGTGTGGTTCTTCTGGCTTTTCTTGCCTCAGTTGGTCTTACATTACTTATCTTAGGTTGTGCATTAGCACAATAGTATGTATTTATTCTATTTTTTTGTTTGTACATAATAATTCTATTTATTTGAAGTAACTGGTGGCCAACATTTGTCATTATATTTTATGTTCTTTGTCCAATTCCATTAGCAATAGGACGCCGATGCACATCAGATAGTGCTTATGGTACAAGTGATTCAAGTCCATGTACAGATTTAATGTGGTTTATAACAAGTGCTATTGTTATTTCAGCATTTGGTTTACCAGCTGTTCTCTGTCACGCAGGGGCGGTAAATAATATTGATTATTTTTAACAAATACGAAATCTTGTTTTTTTTAAATTAGATTCATGCTGGTTCAATGGCATTTATAATGGCAGCTAATCTAGTTATATTTACAACGATTACAATTTATTTCGTAACATTTGGTTCAGATGATAGTTTACCCAGTTTTTAAGAAAACAAAATTCGAAGTGCAGATGGAGGATATCTATATCATTTTGTATAATTATTTCATTTACTTTTCTCACTTTATTCTAAACCCTATTTGTATATAACCTCGTCTCTCATCCAATACTACAGTTTTTTTCTTCTCATCTAAAGAAATGCATTATTTGTTGTATTTTCATTGTTGTTCGTATATACCTTTAGCTAATAAACGAATGAAAACGTATGTAGTTATCAATAAAAATCAATTACAAGCTAGATAATTTCAAAGTTTTGTGTTTAAATTAGTATAATCGAAAAATAAGTTTTACAATTATTAATAAATAGGAAAACTAATATAAAATTTTCGTTTAATCTTGCAAGTGTTCCAAAAATACTATTCTATAGTTAATACAATCTACTACGAAATGTTATATTAAAGATTCATTTCTTTCTTAAACACTTGAAATTGTTTCATTAACATTTACTATATATATATGTAGCCTTCATGATGAAATGTACGAATAGAAATACATCATTGCCAATATTCATAAAAAAGGCATTATCAGTAATTTATTGAACATAACTATACGAGAAGTTTATTGTTGATGTTTCGAAATCTAATGATTTTTTAATTAGTCATTCATTCCTCTTTTGTATTTCAATCTATAATCTTCTAAGTTCATCCAATATAAACAACAGAAAAAACATTTATAATTAAATTCAAATTAAAAAAAGAAACGATAAGTTATTTGTTCGTTGTTATTCTATGACAAGCATTTATCAAATAAAATACAATAGCATGAAATTTATTTATTCAATGTTCTTTTCGTCTAGTGTTTTTTTTCTTCTCTTTTGATTGTTAAGTGAACAAGCAGAAAAATATAATGCACCACCTATTCTTTTCTCTTTCTTTTTGTATTCATCGTTTATTCATTAGCTAGTCAATATGATTATATAAAAGAAAAAACGAAATATAAAAACTTGTTATCGTATTTATCATATGTTAATATCATTTCGAGTGTAAAGATATACACATTTATTCCATTTTTGTTCATTGATAATGCAAGACAACTTGGTTGATGGTTATATACGACATGAATTTCGATCTGTTCTTAATATTCTTATACATTTTTCATTTTCACTTACACAATTAGTAAGTGTACTTGCTATAATAGGTTTACAAATAGCATTAACACTTACACAAACATGTCCATATCGTTTTGGTATTGGTTTTTGGTCATTTCCTTTTCTACTTATTTCTCCACTTAGTATTTGGTTAGTTATTTGGAGACGTAATTCAATCGTTTGTTTTATTGCTATTCTTATTCATTTTTGTTCAACACTTTTTGCAACAGCTATTATTATTATTAGTTTTCTTGTATTAATTGGTCAAATCAATTTTTTATGTTCTATATCATCGTTAAATTCATTTTATATTATGTTAAATAGTTCATTAATTGGTATAACGATTTTCTTTAAAATATTTAATTATGGTGAAATTATTTTACTTTATTTACTTATACGAAATAATGATGAAACATCAGCAATATTTAATGAAGATTATTTTGAAAATGATGATCCCTTAGTATCAAATGTTATCAATGTTAATATATGGCGTTCATGGGCAGCAGTTATTGATGAAACACAAAAAAGTCCAGATATCTTTTTTGCTTAAATTAAAATATAGATTACACAAAAACAAAAAATAATGGTAGAAATTTGTAATTGTTTTTAATTATATGTTAATTAAAAGAGATGAGATATATGTGATAAATAAATTATTGTAAATAAAAAATTAATAATTTAAATATATATAATACGACATAGTCTATCAACTTATTTTAGTGCCAGTTATGAATTACATATCGATACTATAATAACTGTCTAATTAATTAGAATAGAAAGTAATTAGAGACGATTTTTTGCAAAAAAAAATATGTTTCAATAGTAGTAGATTTGAAAAGGTAATGTCATTGTCTATAGAGTAACTAAAGAATAACATTCGAATAAAATGAACTTGAACAAAAAATAAACATTTATCGGTACTTGGCAGAATAATAATTCTATACAATAGTTATAACTATTATTTGTAGAATCTAGAATATCTAGTTACTTTTTACATAGTGAGGAGACACATATAGATAGCAAAGTTCTATTAATAGATTAGGAAATGAATTTTTAAATAAAATTTAGAAATAATAAGAATGAAGAGCATATTCAATAATCGACATTTCAAGTATGAACTATTAAATGTGACGATAAGAAAAGAATTCTTCAAGTATTTTATCCAACGTCAAATAGACATCACTATTGAGATAAAATCATATAGTCGATAATAGAAGTTATTTAAATGATCGTACAGACCGTCGCAGGCGTATGGCTTAGTGAGGATGCATCGAATATCCACATCCCACGTACATACACTGTCTAACATCAAAGGTTTGCTAACAATTCGTTTTGAACCCTAAAATGAACTGCGACGTTATTCAATATTATATAGATTTTTTTAAAAATATTATAAAAACTAGACTTGATTCTAGTTTTATTTATATAAATAAAAAGTTTTTTAAGAGAATTTATTTTCTTGTCTAATAAAATATTTATTGATTATTCTTGACAATTGATTTATCATAAACTGATATAATATCAGTCAATGATGAAACTACGCATTTAGTTTATTTTGTTAATAGTCTATCTTTTTTTCTTCTCAAAAATGACTTGTTTCGTCAATTGCGAGTTGATATTTTTGAGTGAATAATTGAGATGCTTTTAGTAATTCATTAGTTGATAATGAGATGGAACAAAAGAAGTAAAAATGTAACAAAATACAGAAAACACGTCCTTCACTATTCATCTCATATATTTTGTCATACTGTATAGACAAAGACAAAACTACATATATACTTTGTAATTCAATCTATTTTTTCAACTAAATTTCTTCCAGTACATGTCAAGAAAGGAACGAGTCATATGTGATAATTTAATGTGTCGTATTATTTCCATTCAATTTGTTAATATAAAGTTAGCAACGGAAAAAAAATTAAAATAAAGATAAATAATAAATTTTCTTTTTTTTTTCTCTTTCGACTAAAAGGTTGATAACAAAAAATGCCATTCAACACATTCATTTAATTGTTTGATCAACTAAAATAAAATGAAAAAATGTAAATAGAGTCAAAGGAATAATGTATTGATTTTTGACATCAACAAACTTTATAAAAATTTACAAAAATCCTTCGAATTTTATGTTTTATATGCATAATTTATAGATTATGGTTTCAAAAACGAACAAAAAAAATTCAGTTATCTTACAGAAGAATGTTTACTTATAAATTATGACTTTTTTATGCATGAGTTTATATGAAAAAAATTTTTGTATGTTATGTAACAATTTGATAAGATATCATAAGAGAAAAAAGTAAAATCATTCTCGTTTAAACAACGGTAATAAAATCATTCAAATCACTTGTTATATCTTTGAGTATTATTCAAGTATTGCAAGAATTGTCGTCTACAACTAATCGTTAATTCTATAGTTTGATGAGAATATATTGTCTTAAATAAATCACATGATACGATTTATAAACAAAAAAAAGAATACTTAATGAAATGAATAAATTCTCTTTTAAATAATTAAATTTAATATGTTTCGATTATTATAATCGTTGTGAATTCATAGGAAGATTTTTTTTTTGTTCTTTCAAATTTATTTCTAGTTTTAAATACGATATAGGGCAGAAAAAAAAGAAACATTAGATATGAACGTCGATAAAAGTATTTCATACACAAAGATTGAATTCTTTTTCTTCAACATGCAATTATCATCTCTGCAATGTTTTTTTTTTCAAAACTGAATCATTAATTAGACCAACAGTAATGTATATAAATATATATTTTCTTTTCTCTCAAATGTTTTCTTAATTTAAAAGCATAAAAAAAGAAGTTTTTACTTTTTTTTCTTAGTTCAAAGTACAGTCGAGAAACAATATAATAACTTTTGTTTTCCTTTCATATGTTAGTTTTAAATTAATGTCAAGTATGAGATATTGTATTTTTCATCTTGTAATTTTAATGAAGAACACTAGAATGTCTGTATACTTATACATATTTCAAGCATATACTCTTGAACTAGTAGATTTCTTTTTTTTTTTTATCTTTTAGTCTTCACAATGCAAACGACAAATAAAGAGAAAGAAGATAAACAATAGTCGTTTGCTCGCACACATGTTGCTCTTACCATACATCTCACCTTTCTACATTTTTTTTCTTCTTCTTCTTCTTCTTGTTCTTCCTACCAACTCTCTCTTTTTTTTCCAGATAGATGTTTGACGACATCGACAACGACTGCTGCAGAAAGAAAAAACGCGAAGTGTTTTTTCATTTTGACTAGAATTTCTTTCGCTTTCTTATAGACTCATACACATACACTCATTTTTACATCTATACTCTCGTATATATCTGAAATCATCATCATTATTGTAAGAACAACAAATTGAAGTCGCTGATTGTAATTCACTTACTCGACGAAGCAACTACAGAACAGTCATTATTTTAAAAAAAAAGAGAGAGAAAGAGCAGCTGTTGTGTTCGTCGTTCATCGTATGATGAAGGTAAGCTCTTTTCTTTTTTTTCCTATATTTTTTATCGAACAACAAAAAGAAAGAAGTTCGATATATAATTAGTAGTAGTTTCCTCGATTTTCCATGTACGTTGCAAGGCAACAATAAAAGACTTCACTGATTTCTTTTTCTTTTACATACTCACCTATTTTTTTCCCTTTACGAATGCATTTTGAAGGATTGCTTTTTTTCTATGTCTATATAAATTGACGGGAGTAAACATAAACTTACAGATATTCTAACAATGAATCATATTAGTGAATCAATGCTACAATAATAAATAAATATTATTTTTTCATTTGTTCTCAGTCAATTGTAAGTATAGATAGAACTTGTTAGAATTATAATTCAGGAAATAAAAGATAATGATTTCCGTATATTTTAAAAAAAAACTTTTCTTTTAGAACGATACTGTTATAATACAACAACATCAATCAATACCAACTAATTCTCTAGTCAAGTCGTCTATGTCAAGAACATTAGTTCATCAAACGAATAAAGAATTCGATAAATGTGCCGAACTTTTACGTAATATTCTTAGTGCTCAAGGTAAAATTAATAAATCTTATGAATTTCATAACTAAATAATTTTTTTTTGTAAAATAAAGAAACACGTCGAAATTCAAAATCATCGGTTATTGGAGAAATAACTCGAAAAAATCAACAACAACCACCACAACAACAACAGCAACAGCAACAACAATCTCAAACAAATACACGATTGAAGAAACAAAATACAAAACCAATTGTTACAAAATTGTCTTTCATTAAAACAAGTATTTTTCATTTTAATTTTTAATTTAATACAAAAAATATTTTATTCTATTTACAGATATTAATAATAATAACAATAATAATAATAATAATAATAATACAGAAAATGTAGAACGTCGTTCATCATATTCACCAACAAAATCATTATTATCATCAACAGGAGTAGGAACAAATGAGGTTCGTAGAATATATATATGAGTTTATATACTACTTCAGATACCATGTTAAAGATTTATGAGTATCATATATATTTAATATTCAGGAAAGACAATCTTCGTCTTATTATTATTTTTTTATCATATTAATATGAAAGGTTTCATGTACTTTTCTTATCTTTTAAAGGATCAGTCGTTATTAAAAAATCGTCTAAGTCCAAATAAATCTCGTAAGCATCAAACACGTTCTCCATCTCCAACGCAAATAGTTCATCAACGGATTATATCTCCAACAAAAAATTCTCCATTGATAAATAATAAATTTCGACAAAAATCTCCTTCATCACCAGTAAGACGTCGTCGACGTATTCAAGATCAACAAGATCTTGTACGAAGTTCATCTTGTGGTGATTTACCATCGGCTAGTTTTATACATAAACAACAAACACGTTTTATTATCGATCAATTCGTTACACATTTGACACGGATTCGAACGATTTCAAAACAAATTCGATCAAGAAATATTAATATAACTAATGGTAAATTTAGAAACCACAATCTTTTTTTATCTTCAACATTATATATTTAGATCCGGAATGTTATCATCTATGGAATGAACTTGAAAGTTCACTTTCATCAGCATTGGCATATGCGAATGATGATATTCAATTGCAATTGGCATTAGAACCTTTAAGAAATGAAATCTTGGAACTTCGAAAGTAATTCATAAAAACTTTTTTTTCGATAATTTATTTTTTCTTCTTCTTTGAAGGCAACTACAAACAACTAATGTTCATTTACGTGAATTTGATAATCGTCGTAATGATGAACAATGTTAGTTTCATTTTTTTGTTTTCTTAGAAATATTTTCATTCTATTGATAAAATAGATGCACATATGCAAAAGAAATTTGAAACAAATCAAATTCAATGTTCGCAATTATTAATACACAATCAAGAACTAAGATCAAAATGTGATTTATTACAAGAAAAACTTGATAATATAGAACGAAATAATATTCGTCTTATACAACGATGGACTCAACAGGTAAAAATTTCTTTTTTCTATTAATTAGAATGAAAAATATTTTTTATTTTATCAAAAAAAAGGATCTTCGTTCACTTGCTGAACGTACAAAATGGGTTGCAACTGATAATCGATTTCTTCTCCGAGAAGAAAATTTATTATTAAAACAAAAATTATATCATGTTTATGATGATTTTGCAACAGTTCTCAATCGTAATCATTCATTAGAAATGTCCTATGGAGAACAAAAACAACAATTAATATTATACAAACAGCAATTCAAGTAAGATATTTAAAGATTAAATTCATATTGATATATTATTTATTTATAGTGACTTAAAACAAACCGCAAAATATCTTTTACTCGACTTAGATAAAAGATCAGCAGATGATAAAATTAAACGATTTTTAAATAATATTATTCTTGATCAACAATTTACTGGAATACCAACTAGGTATGAAATTAAAGCTAAACCCATCAGATATAGGAGTCATAGATAAACAGTGGATATTTTCGTTAGGATACTGTTTCTATTTGGTACAAGATTCTAATAAGAAATGTGACTTTTGCATTCATATCATCGTATTAATTATAATTAAAAACTAAATATTGAATATATTTTTTTCTAGTCATAATACATTTCATCAAACACATATAACTCCAACAAAAACGAATCCATCAATTGTTAATTCTTCTTCATTTTTCTTTGAAACTCCTCATAAAGCATCAGCACCACCACCACCATCTCAACCAGCTACGACTCGAACACGTGTATCACCGGTTGCACCAGCGAATAAACTTCGACCTAAATCACTTTTTGTAACTCCAACTATACTTAATGATACAACAGCTCTTTCAAAATTACAACAAAATCGAAGTCCAACATATGATTTAATATCACATACACTTAGTTCATCATCAACTATTTATGATGCTGAATCAATCTTAACATCATCTTCATCATCTTCATCACTTCAACATCAACAACGAAAACGTATGACTTTATATAATAGTTTACCATCATTAAATGTACCACAAACAATTGATATGACAATAACACATGATCAACAATGTTTTAATGATAAAAATAATAATAATAATAATAATAATGAAAGTGGTCCTGAACTTGATCAAATATCAGATTTAACATCGAAAATGTTTAGTTCAGGTGAAGAAGATGAAGTTGAAGAAGATGAAGATGTTGGACTTGGTATTAGTGGAACATCAACTTCTTCATCATCGACTATATCATCTGAAGCTGAATGACTCATACAAATGTAAATAATATCTATTTATTTATACATATACATATACATTTATATATATATATATATATATCAAAGTCAAATAATAATAAATGATGATAAATCAAATATATATGATAGAAATCAATTCAAACATAATTCATAGACAATCTTCTTTTTTTCTTCTCTTTGTTTGTTACTGATCAATTCTTTTCATATCGATTATACTTAGTAAAATGGTGATTCTTCTAATTCAAATTTTCAAAACAACACTGATGTCTTTTTGTTTAACATGTAGTATTAACTATAAAAAAAATGACGAATGATGTGTTGTCAACGATAATAAACGATGTTTTTATTCAATAATATAATGTCACAAACTCAAAATCATTTTCAAGAGACAGACATTGAACTACATATTAACTAAATATCAAATTATAATATCGAAGAAATTTATTTCTAATCGAATAATATCCCATGTAAGAAGAACTCGGAAAAAATCCGATTCTTATCGATCTTTTTTGCGATTAAAATGAGACGATTATAATCGATTATTTGACTTTTAACCAATTATTCTCTTTTAATCGATCTTAAACAGTATCTTTAGAAATATCTACGTACGTGTTTTAGAATTGATTAGAATTAGAACTAGAAAAAATTTTCATCTTCTTTGGCTAGAAAAAAAATCGAAAAAAATAATTTCGAATGAATAGAATTGTTGATACCATTTCTTTCTGAATGTCCTGTTACTTATTATGAATTTATTTATTTGTTTTGAATATCTTCTTAGAAAATTCAACTCTCGGATCTTTTTTTTATTTTTATATTTGATTGAATGTATTATTTGACATATATTAATAATAAATTCTATATCATCAATAATATAAATATTAAATACATAATAATATTTCGACAAAAGTTTTTTTGTAAACTGAAAATATTTTATCTAAAAATAAGGAAAAAAATTTTCATCGATATCAAACAAGTTAGCGCTCATCCTACGGATTCGTTCACCCTTTTCTGTAAGAAAAATTGAGCAGAATGATTATTAGACAAATCTTTGACTAAGAGTATCCAATATATCTCAGCCTTCTGATTCGAATGCAAATATTGGAAGAAATCATCAAACATTTTCCAAAAATCTTGAGAGTGGGTGTAGGTGTAAATATCTATTCTCTCGATTGATACTCATACTCACATTCACACCCACACCCAAATTTAATATTAAAAATAAAGTTAATTTTTTAGAACCGTTTTATTTTAATATGAGCAACAAAAACAATTAAAGCCAAATTTCACAATAAGAAATGTGAACTTTCAATCTTTCACATTAAAGGTTCAGACTAATAAATTAAATTAAATATAATAGAGATTATCATTGTCTTATCATTCTCATAAATCGTTGTCGTAAAGTGATAATCGATTGTTTAAATTGTCTTTTGTAAAAACTCGATGGTAGAACAAATATAACAAAGATGAAAGATGATGGAATGAAGGATATGAAATATCCACAAAGATATAACCAAGGATTGCGTGATGCTTTAACACATGTTGATAATAATGAAATAAGAAAACGAGGAAACAGTAAAACAGCTAATAAAATCGAACTAATAATAAGTTGTTTGTGTTCATTGATTTGATTAACTAGTTGTTGTCTATAATTAAATTTAGTTCGAGTGGTCGTTCGTTGTCGCGCAATGTTTATAATAATATAAACAGCTGAGAATAAATTTATTGCACAAGGAGCAACAAAATGGAAATATTGAATAATTGTAGTATATTTTTCAACTGATTGAGAATACTGAAGTATACACCAAACACGTTGTTCTTCATGATCATCATATAAATCACGATAAATGAGTTCATAACTCATTGAACCCAAAATAATAAATGGTAAGAGGAAAAGTATCCATCGTGCAATACATTTACTTCTTTGTTTGTTAAAATTGATTCCTTGCAAGACTGATATTGCTCTTTCTATAGCCACACAAGTGTTAAGCCAATTACTCATATTTAAGAAAAGACGAAGTAAAGGTTCAAATACTAAACATCCAACTCGAAGAATATTACGGTTGATCAATGGATTCATATACGTATCTAATACAAACCAGAACTTTATAGTTAACATAATAACAATCAGAATAGAAATAATTGATGATAATCGAAGATAAATTCCAGATCCTACTTTACGAGAATCACGATTAAGGAAAACTAAATAACTAAGAAAACCATTGATTAAACCAATGAGAAAAATAATCATGACAAATGTTGCACTTAATTTAACTACCAATGATTGATCATTTAATGTACTATTAGGTCGAATTTCATATCGTAATAAATCATCTAATGTTAATCCAATACCCTTAGCATAAAACTGACATCGATCACCAAAGAAACAATCGCTGCATATACATAGAATACTATAAAAACATATAGGTCGATCTTGTAAACATGTTCCACCATTTTCACAATAAACATTATCTTCACAGATAAAACTCGATTGATGATCTAATGGAAAACAATTACTATGATGTTCTTCTGTGCATAGACACATGTAAAATTCATCCACAAAGCATTGCAAATTAAAATCACGTTGACATGGAATATGATAACTTTTCAATCGTTGAATTCGTGGCAACGAAACTAATTTAGTATTCAAAACTTCATCAACGGAAGCACATCGTTGTGCAAGACTAATCGATGTTGTTATGTTAGATCGTTCGTCTTTTTGAAGTACAGCTAAATAAAAACGAGTATCAATTTTGACAAGAATCATTTTGAACATACGTTGAGAGTATAAAATAACATGATTCTGAAACATAGTCATTTTTTTGAGTATAATAGATGTTGGTATTGATTGTTCAAAACTAATCTGATTGTAGATATAGACAAGTAAGTGTGATGGAATGTCAATATTCTTAAGAGAAATCTCTATTCTATGATTGACGTTTTCGCATCTTGGTCCATGAAATTGTTCTGAACAAAAGCATACATAACTTTCATCAATCATTCTCTCATCGATTACGACACAGCGGCCATTATTTTCGCAGAATCCTACTGGACACCTTAGTTTAAGACGACAAAATGAACCGAACTTATCTTGAGGACAAACACATATTGACCGATTCTGAATCGAACCAATACAGATTGAATTTGGTGCGCACATACTACAATCGATTGGAATATGACATTGTGCACCGGACCAACCTGAATCACATTGACAGAAGTATCGTTCTTCATTATGATATTTCATGCAAATACCATTATAACATTGCAGATTACAATGATTAAAATTGAATGATCGAGAAATTGGAATAGTCAAAAAAGCACTCAATCGATTAACTGGTAAAAAAATAAATGGAATCGTTAAATGCCAACTTAATAGATGCGTCATTGAACTCTTGTCAAAGGTGTCAATACGAATGCTATAGTTTTTTGAATTATTCTTGTCTCGTGTTGTATATAATAGATAAACATCTACAGTTTGACCACAAAATGTTTTTGATTCATAAGTAAATTGATGGTACGAATGAATTTCTTGTCTGTCGTTATCATCTTCGATTAAGGTAACAATAATAGCATAGACAATCGGTTGATGAACTGTTGCCAATACGAGAGTTAAACTAACACGTTGATTTTGATACTGACATTGATCACCATAATAGTTTGGTGGACAAAAACAGAGACTACTGTAATTGCCGATTCCAAGTCGATGATACATATGTAAACCATAATTACAAACATCTGGCTGTATGATATTTCTAATCGGCAGTTCTGTCTTTTCGTCCGTGATCTGGTTTTTCATAGAATAAGTTGGACTAGTTTGTGAGGTTGGATAAACTAATGCAGTATCTAATAAAAAATACTTATCATCTATATTAATAATTCGGCATGAAATGTCTCGCATATCACTAAGATTATCTAGAGCATAGCCATTGCATAATTGTAGACGGTCAACACACAACTGATAGTTATCATACTCTATACAATCTTGGTTTTTATTGCAAGGATTTTGATCATCATCTACACATTTCGTGTGATTCGAGCAAAGAAATTTATTCGTTTGAAAGTATTGAAATTCATCGAATGATGTTCCAAAGCAAACGACGGTGTCATCAATAACTTGGCTGAGTGGTAAACACATCTGTGTATAATTCTGCGGTGAAGTGCAGAACAAGAAATGACTTAATGTGGTTGGTTCCACACAATGTTCTTCATCCTCTCCATCAAAACAATTTCGAAAACCATCACATCGTGTATAGATATTATTGCATTGCCAATCTTCACAATCAGTCTCATCTGAATGATTTCGTCCATTAATCAATATCAAAGGCAAATCCGTGATACGATCACATATTTGATAAAATAAAATTTCGTCATAACTTATTTCTATTGGACGAGAGCAGATATTTGGTGACATTAAAAGTGAACGACATTGTTTCTCATTTGGACATTGAAATCGAAGTGTTTGATTTAATAAACAACTCAATTCAAATACTTGTTCATCATCTTTTAAAAAACAATCTGGTATACCATCCACGATTCGATATTTAGAGATATATTTTGACGAATTCTTACAATGATATAATGATGAATAATGGGAACTGATGTTCTGATAACGTTGATTGATACAACCAATAAAGTATGGTTTGACTGAGTCGATGATAGATTTCCATGTAGTTAATTCGACATTCAGGTCAAGGCCTGTTTGATTCCCGTATCGACAAGTGAAGTTTTTATGACGAAATGTAGGTGTGAGAAAATCACATAATTGCTCATCATAACAAACATAATCAGGTTTAAGGGCTAATGTTGTATTAATATTGTCAATTTCTTTTCGATCATATAAAAATCGTACATGACCAAAGAGTACAGGAATAACGGGAAATTCAAGAGGAAACGTACAATTTTTAAATTCTTCAATAATTTTAGAAGATTGTATGAACTGATCACATGTTATATTTCCGATTTTAGTCATGATTTTGCTAAGACAAAGCATAACTATCCAACATGAATAGGATAAATTTCCTTGAACACTAATTGATTGAGTCAATGCTAAATGCCGATTATTTTGACACTGACCAAAATCTTCTACACATTGTCCATCACCACACGTAAATTGACCTTCGTCAGGTCCACATACATATTCTTGACATTCGAATAGATGTGGTCGATAATTAGCTTCCAGAAGATGATTGTTCTTAACAATTTCATCCGATCCGTCAAGACATTGTGCGTCTGCAAATTCCATTTTTAGAAATTTTTTTGGAATACATAATCCATTATGACATCGATACTCATTCTCATTACATTCATTCATTTCTAAATTGAAACATCCAGTTTCATCAATACCATCATTTAGACAATCGATTCGACCGTTGCATATCTCACGCCAGTCGAGACAAATCAATGGACCACCACGGTCACATTTTAAATGAATGTAACAGGTTTGTTGAAATATATTATCTGTCGAAGTCATTTCAAAAGAATTTCGAACGAATTCATCTTCATTTAATTTTAATGCGTATTGACATCGAGATCCACGCCATGGAGATGTACAATTAAGAAAAATTTGATCCGATAAATTAGATTGAAATGGTTGATCGAGATAATATTGATATTGTTCAGCAACATCAATCGATGACGACCATCGAAGAATTTCATCTGAGGTAATATTTCGATGATATAATTCATTAAAAGTAAAATATTCATCAGATATATTAATAAAATGAATTACTTTTGTCAAATTCTTGTCGTTATTTGGACGAATACAATATTTGACTATTCCAGAAAAGGATGATTTTGATGAAAAATAATGCAAGCAGTCAAATCCAAATGGATCTGTATCATACAAAGGCGATTGTAAACCATTAGATGTCCATAGAGAAAAAAACATAATATAAAGAGATCTCAACATTTTATTCAAATGTAACTTTGCACACAAATGACAATATAACATAATGTATAGATAGATTTAACACAACTTTTATAGTGAATATTTATCATTATTTGGTTATATTAATAGTGTTCACTATTATACGTGTCATTCTTTGAGACGTGATATATCAAAACACAACAATGCGATCTGATACTCCTTTTTATTTATGTATCTAGATGTGACACATTCATATGATAGAAAAATGTACACATTGTCAGGTATCTTCTTTTATTTGATAGAAAGTGAAAATCATGTATGAAGCATCTTGACTAGCAAAAAAAATGTTTCAGAAGCAAATATTAAGAATACCATGATTGCAGATACTATCATTTACAAGGTGGTACGTCACCCGAACAGTGGGCATCGGTTACATAGCCATGTTTTCCATTGGGTAATTCGATCTTAAACCATGTTTTCTTTTTACCCGAAAGTTTCTCGATTTTAGAGCAATCACATGGATAACGCTCGTCCGTGACAGCACCGCCAGCTACAGAGCAGCTCATTGATGCACACGAGTAAATAGGAACTCTTTGAGAACATCGAACATAGGTAGCCTAATCATATAAAACGAAAAATATTGCAAATATTAAATTATTCGATTAAAAAAAAAATTTACTTCGCATACTGCCAGAGCAATACCTAAGAGGATGAAAAGACGAATAATAGTCGAACACATTTTTGTTTTGGATTGAATAATTTCAGCAATGAAGACAACCCTTTATATACATGGATGAATACAAATATCATATAATTTATTGCACAGCTTGTGATAAGTGCAAATGATGAGTAACTGATTATGATATCGATGTCATTTTATTAGAAAAGAATGCAGTATTTGATTTGCATATTGCGTTTATTGTTTTTTGATTGAGACAAAATTCCTCTTTCTGAATCCTTTCTTTCTTTTTTTTTTCTTTTCTTTTCTTCTTTTTCTAATACAATATTTGGCTATATCAGAAAATTCTGACTTAGATGAAAAATAATATTAACAATCAAATCCAAATGGATCTGTATCATATAAAGGTGGTTGTAAACTATTAATTATCCATAGAAAAAAAAAGATAATATAAAAGAATCTCAACATTTCATTAACACGTAGCTTTGAACACAAATGACAATATATTGTACAGATAGATTCAACACAACTTTCACAGTAAATATTTATCATTATTTTGATTATATTAATAGTGTTCACTATTACGCAGGTCATTTTGCGAGACTTTTTTTCTCAATGGGACGTGATCTGATACTCGTTTTATTTTTCTATCTAGATATGGCACATTCATTTGATAGAAATATGTAGACATTGTTACGTATATTCTTTTATTTGATGGAAAATGAATATCATGTATCAAGCATCTTGATTAGCAAAAAAAAGTTCAAAAACAAATATCAAGAATACCATGATTGTAAATACCATCATTTACAATGTGGGACGTTGCCCGAACAGTGAGCATCGGTTACATAGCCATGATGTCCATTAGGTAATTCGATCTTGTACCATTTTTTCTTTTTACCCAAAACTATCTCGGTTTCAAAGCAATCACATGGATAGTGCTTATGCGTGACAGCATTACCAGCTACAGAGCACTTCACTGATGCACACGAACGAATAGGAACTCTTTGAAGACACATGACATCAGTAGCCTAATTATATGAAACGAAAAATATTGCAAATATTAAATTGTTTGGCAGAAAACAAAAACTTTACCTCGCATACTGCCAGAGCGATACCTAAGATGATGAAAAGACGAATAGTAGTCAAATGCATTTTTGTTTTCAATTGAATAATTTCAGTAATCAAGACAACCCTTTATATACATGAGTGAATACAAAAATCGTATGATTTATCGCGGAAGTATCAGTATGTTGGAAACTACATTATTGCGAAGCTTGTGATAAGTGCAAATAATGAGTAACTAATAATGGGCTCAAGGTCATTTGACTAGAAGAGAGGAAGTATTTGATTTGCATATTGCGTTTATTGTTTTTCGATTGAGATAAAATTTCACTTTCTGAATCAGCGATATATTATCATTCAGCATATCAGGATTCTATTGCCTAAAGAACCCGGAAGTGACATTCTTAATCGTTATTCAAAATCAACATTCTATACATTTGATAGAATTTATCATCTGTAAATGAACGAAACTCTATTGAGTCAATCTGTCTATATTTATAGCTAATAACGAAACTATCATTATCATCCTTTTTTCAACTTAGTTTATCTATGCAAAACAGAACTATTTAAGATTTCTAATGTTCATAGGCAGAATGTTGAATCATTTATCTATTATCAGTTATGAAATTAAGAGCTTCACTAGATTATCTTTGTCTTCAGACTATTTCTTAAATTCAACTAATTCGATTCTTCACTGTTCTTTGATCAAGATGCAAAGAACTTGATGTTGTTTTTTGTACATCGTTTCAACGACGTTATTTAATCATATGACCCTATTTGATAAGAATGATGATATGCACTTGTATGAATCATTACATCAAAGATTGTTTTATGGTGCAATGATTAGTTTCCAATTTAAACTTTTAACCTTCAATATTTTGCTCTATTGATTCTTGGATATTAGCGAAGTACACGAATATTAATTATATATTTAACTTTTATTATACATGCATTAATCTTTGAGGATCAAGTAGGCTTAGCTTTTTGATATTAGTATTGTTGTTAAATATTGAATCAATAGTTTTTTCCGAGAAAAAACTACTACTTCCTTGTCACACGATGATTTCGAGCAAAAGGCTTAAGTTGATTCAAAAACAAACTACAATGAGAGTGTGGGCGAAGCGAATAAAGATATTTGATCTGTCACACACAATTACTAAATATACGTTGTAAACTGTATATGCGAAAGTCTTTACAACTGGCACTTTTATAAATGATGTTGAAGTGAACAAAATAGTTTTTGCTTTGAATTATTAGATGCAGACAGATTTTTGAAAAGTGTTTGTATGGATGAAACATTAATACAGCAAACATGTCATGCTTACAGTGGTATAATCAGTTGTTATGTTTATTTTTCAAGTTTAAAGCACATTTATTGAAAAAAACAAAGATTTTAATGAAACTTTGAATTTTATGAGTGCCCATCACATACGGTTAGTATAAAAAAATATCTGATTCAGTACACGGTATAAGTACGAAATAGTTTAAATTTGTTGGCTTGACAATATGAGTAATCGGTGAAACCAAATACGATCAACTTCGGTAACTTACAGTACGCGATCTTTGACTATTAGGCAAATTATTTTACAAAAATATATTAATAAAACATAAGAATATGATTGACTGTTGCGACAATTCAGAGAAGGCAACTGGACTGCAAGTAAATGGATGAGGTTGAGAATGTGATATTCTGCTTTACCTTCACTCTCAAGAGGGTCGACGCTTGAGTATGGATGAAGGTGCGTTCAATTCTACCATCGTCGATCTGGCTCCTACCTTCACCCTCAAGACATATTTTTTGTGATATTGTATGCAACATTATTGTTGAAAACACATACAGATGGTACATTTCGATTTAGTGTGTGTCATAGTTTATTTGTAGCTATATTGGAAATTTCCAATTAACAAAAGCAACTACTTTTCCTTTGTAAAATATGAATAAGAAGAAGAAACATGATCATAGTTTATGTAATTCAAGAAAGGTCAATATATAGTAAAAAAGAAAGAGAAACCGATTGTTGAATTAATGTTTCTCCCTTTCATTCTACTATCTGTTTCAACAGTAATTAAGTAAATAAAGAGGAAGAACCTTTGAGAAAAATATTGTTATTAAGCTGCGCATATAAAAACAAAGTACTTAGGTCAATTGCGCAATCGATCGCAAAAACACGTTGATATTTACTTACAATCAACAAGGGTGTGGGTGTTGGGTGTGAATAGAAAGAGTAGACATCCACACCCTCAATATGTACAATTCTATTGATTCGTTAATTGGAATCCATCAAAGAATAAAGTGCTTCATGGTTATACAATTTTTTAAATATATACGTAAAAATTTCATCTGGTAAATCATCTTACTAAATCAATAAATCAGTCATATTTATTTGTCTGCACAATATGTGCTTTCTTAATATCTTAGAATGAGAAATATTCTATATAGATAACTTTAATATTTCATCGAATAATTTAGTTTATATTAATTGTAACAAGTTAAACGTTCTAATCTATTGTCATGTGTTTTAATTGCATATAGATCGATATATATGTAGATGGAATCATATGTCTTCTCTTGAAATTTACTATTAACAACTAGAGACATCTATAATGTAAATAAATAAATATAAAAATAAATATAAAATTTGTTATTGAAAATAAGACACATGTGACTTTTTAATTTAAGAAAACTTTTAATTAAGATTATCGTTGATTGGATCAATTATAGATTAAAAATATGTCGTAAATAAAAATTTGTCTGAGCAACACATATTATATATTATTGTTATTTATTACATATTAACATTTTGCTTCGTCATTGCATTGACGAAAATAAAAATATGCGTCAATTGGATACTGAAGAAAAAGCTGTACTTCTTCTTTCATCAGCTGATGATGATGATAATCCAACAACTCAAACTTCATTAAAAGTACAACATGACAATTTTCCAGTCGTTGCCAAACGTCCAAAAACTTATCAACGTCGGCGTACCACTAATACTCATCCGATGTATTTCTTTATTTTTATATTAGGTTCATTTATATTCGGATGTCTCAGTGGTGTTGCTATTATGGTTTATCGAATGTCTCAAGATGCTGAACAATCTTCATCATTTATTAATTCACCTCATTTAACAAAAGTTGATTTAAGTATAAAAACAAAACTTGTACAATCAATTACAAAAACAAATTTTGTTAATCTTACTCGGTAAAAATTTTTCTTTTAAGTTTATTTATTTTTATTTCTATTTATTTCTTTTTAGTTCAATTGAATCTGAAAATGATGCTGCAAATAGAGTCGAACAAAATTGGCAATTATCATCGAAATTATTTACACGTGTAAATAAATTTTCATATGATGTAACTCTTTCAAAATATGTTTCATCAACACAATGGAGTGGTATTAAATTAATAAATAGAAAAACTGATGAAGAAATTATGAAATTCAATCTTTTAACAACAGATGATTATTTAACATTCTCATCATTAATTAAATCAGGAAGAATAGATGCAAATTATATTTATTATGTTAATTATGGTCGACATGAAGATTTTGCTTATTTACTAAAAACTAATCAAATACAATTAAAAAATAATGATAAAACAATTATTTTTATGAGAAGAAAATCAACAATTATCTCTCAAACAGAACAAATTCGTCAAGCATTAGCTTATGGATTTGCAGGACTTGTTTTATTTGATTATGATGAAATAAATTCTCAAATAACAACAACAAATGATCGACAATCATTTTCTGAAAAATGGAACAATGATTTCTCAGAAAAAGGTAACCATAGAAAAATATATTGAATAAAATTCTTTAATATTTTTGTTTTTTGAAATATTAAGATCGACAACAACTTCTTGATGGTACTTCAAATGAAGATGATCGTCAAATATCTGTTTTAATTCTTTCATTTTCTGATGTTGAAAAAATATTTACTTCAGAAACAAATGTATGGTCATCATGCCCATCAGAATGGCATAATACGACTACATCACTTAAATTAGGTGGTTTACTTCAAAGCAGTAAACTTCGTTTCATAACTTTTATGGAAGAAGTACCAGTACATTTACCAGTTGTACTTGGTTATATTCGTGGTACATTGGATCCTGATCATTTTGTTATGATTGGTTATCAATTAGGAAGAAAACAACAAGAAAAAGTTGTTCAGGAAATTATTCAAGCTTATGAAAATCAATTTAAAAATGGTTGGAAACCAAGGTGAATTTTTAGTTGTAAAACAACAAAAGTGCTAGGGAGTCATACAGGTCTCATCGGACTCATAAAAACCATTGAAGGAGAAGAAGCTCTTCATTACATAAGAAAATCTACGTATTCTAATACATTTTTCAGTAATTTTACTAAAGAAATCTTGTAAACTATTTGCCGAAAAGGATCTTTTAATATCGATTTAGTTCATGTTTGTTGATATTGTTATTATAATATACCATGATATCTCATCGTATGTTGAGTATACAAATATAAATATGTTTTATTTTATTTAGACGTTCACTTATATTTTGCGCTTGGTCAGGTTTATCCTATGATCAACACACTAGTAAGTTCAAAAACGTTCTGTTATTCATAAAATAAACTTCATCCTCTTGGTTATATTTAGTCCGTCAATGGATTTCAGCTAATTATCGTCTTATTGATCGAAATTTAATTGCATATATTGATCTTGGAAATGGTATTATTGGAAATTCTACAATTAATCTACATGGTTCACCATTATTTCAACAAGTAGCTCAACGTGCTGCTGATACTATTGTTAGTCCACTTGTTCATGATCATACATGTCATAATCGTCAATCACAAATGCCAATGTCGAATGCACATATTCATCATCGACGACGACGACGACGACATGGTGATGAACATGGACAACATATGCAAAGCAATGAGCATACTGAAGAAACTGAATGTGAACCACATAAATTATTAGATGAATGGATGAGAGCTAGTAAAAATCGAATTGGATTAAATAAAAGTTTAAGTATTGTTCAAATGATTGATACGGATTCATCAGCATCATTATTTCAATTACAACGTGGAATTCCATCAATACTTATTGAAATGACTGATGAACAGGTAATTTAGAAAAAAAATAGCAACTGATATTGAGTTATCGAAATGAGACTTAACGGTTTGATTCTGATTAAGGCATTGCTATTTATTCATGACGTGAATATTTTAATTTGATATTTCGGTAAGGTTATAGAAGTGTCGTTCTTTTTTTGTGTTCTCGTATTGCAAATATAACAGTATGATGGTGTAGCGACAAATTTTTTTTTTGTCGATACGCATCAGTAACACTGATGTTTTATACTTTTTTGATTTTCTTCCTTCTTTTTTGTCCTTCCTGACTAAATAATATTCTCTTCTTGTCTGGAAATTTTCAATAACGAACTTCTTTGCTTGATTGCGTACATAATGTTTTCTTTTCAATATTAGACCGTTTTATATATTCACATCAAAAAATACTTTTTTAAATATCACGTCTACTGTCTATGAAAAAAAAACTCAATTGTTTTTTTTCTTCATTGACTAAAACAAGACTAATATTTGTGGTTGTTTTAGGCATTAACAAATAATACTTTCTATTTACAAAAATCGCCTGCTGTTTTCAATAATGAAATTCAACCAGAGGTTTGTATTTCTTTCTTTTGTGCTTTTACAAAATAGATCTATTATTAACAATAGGTTGTTGCTGCATATACACAATTTATATCAGAAATAGTTCGACAATTAATCGATGAACCATTAATTCCATTTAATTTAACTGATTATGCAAATTTGATTGAAAAACAAACAAATGATTATATTATACATTATGAAAAAGAATATCAGTTATTAAATGCTTATCTTGGTGATTCAAGTAAGAGAAAAATTTTGAGATTATGAAATTAGAATATAATAATAAATTTAGATGAAATGACAAAATTGATCTCTGATTTAATAAAATCTATTCGACAACTTCAAACACGTATTGATCAAGCATCGAAGAATAATTATGTTGATATTCAATTATTAAATGAAAAACTTATTCAATTTGAACGTTTATTTATAAATGATAATTCTTTGCGTCAAATAAATCCAATGGATAAAACATACAAGTATAGATGAATATAAATTATTTTGTTTTCATTATTAAGAATATATTTTTTAGACATATTCTTTTTGGACCTGCTTTTGGTCTTACAAATACAATTGTGCCATATCCATCGTTATCAAATATTCTATTTGGTATTAGTAATTATCCAAAAACAGAATTAAACGATGTATCAAAATTATATTGGTCAAAATTTAGACAACATATTCAGTTAATTACACGCACATTAAACGGATTTGATGGTCTACTTTCGAATCCTTGAAAACTTAATAGAATCTTTTTTTTTCTCATTCTTTGTTATTTATTTATTTCTTGGTGCTCAATTCAAACAGTATTGTTCTCATTATGTGTTGTCAGATGTATACTTTAGGTTTCTTTCTTTTTAGCAAAACATAACAATTTCATTCCATATTAATCATATTATTCTCTCAAAAAATTCTTGTAAAACTATTAACACTAAATCATTATTTTATCGTTTTTTTGTTTCTTTCTGTTCTACAAATTTGATACCGTTTATCAGTTTCGTTTTAGATCATTCACTCATTCTCTTTTTCTAAATAAGCTCTCTTGTTCGTGAAAAATTATAACCTATCATGGTTAAAGATACCAAATATTATGATACTCTTGGTGTTCAACCCAGTGCAACAGTTGATGAAATAAAAAAAGCTTATCGTAAATTAGCTTTGAAATTACATCCAGATAAAAATCCAGATAATGACCCGGAACAATTTAAACAATTATCACAAGCTTGTAAGTTTTTTTATTTTTAATAAGAAAAAAGTAAACTAAACGAATGAATTATTCAGATGAAGTTTTATCTGATGAAAAAAAACGTTCATTATATGATCAAGTTGGTGAACAAGGTATGAAAGATGGTGGTGGTTCAAGTGGATTTCATGGTTCAGATCCATTTGATATCTTCAACATGTTTTTCGGTGGTGGTGGAGGTGGCGGTGGTCCATTCGGTGGTCGACAAGAACATCGTGGTAAAAATCTTGTTCATCAATTAGCCGTTTCATTAGAAGAACTTTATAATGGAGCTGTAAGAAAATTAGCATTACAAAAAAATGTTGTTTGCGACAAATGTGAAGGTAAATTTTAAACAAAATTTTTCTTTGATAAAAAAATAATCTTCAATTTTATTTAGGTCGTGGTGGAAAGAAAGGTGCTGTTTCAAAATGTGGAACATGTAATGGTAGTGGTTTTGTTGTTCGTATTAATCAAATAGCACCAGGCATGATACAACAAATACGTTCACATTGTTCCGATTGTGATGGTCAAGGAGAAAAAATAAATGCTAAAGATAAATGTAAAACATGCGATGGAAAGAAAATTGTTCGAGAAAGAAAAATTATTGAAGTTCATATTGATAAAGGTTATTAAGAAAATTTTTTATTTATTCTTTTTTCAAATAATTCTCTTTTTGTTAATAGGTATGGAAGATGGAAAAAAGATTACATTTAGTGGTGAAGGTGATCAAGAACCAGGTCTTCAACCAGGTGATATTGTTGTTGTTTTGGATGAAAAAGAACATGCAACATTTAAACGAGATAAAACTGATTTACATATGAAAATGCAAATAACATTAACTGAAGCATTATGTGGTTTTCATAAGGTTATTAAAACACCTGATAATCGACAATTAGTTATTACGACATTACCAGGTAATCTATTGTTTTATGACAAAATTATAAAAGAATTTATTTGATTTTTAGGTGAAGTTATAAAACCAGGTGATATAAAATGTGTTTTAAATGAAGGTATGCCTGTCTATCGAAATCCATTGGAAAAAGGTCGTCTTGTACTTCATTTTGATGTAAAATTCCCGAATAAAAATGAATTACATTCAGAAAATGTTACAAAATTAGAGAAATTATTACCAGCACGTGCACCAGTTCAAATACCTATGAATTCTGAAGAATGTGTTTTGGTTGAATTTGATCCACGTCAATCTCAACGTTCACACAGACATGAAATGTATGATGATGATGACCCACGTGCACAACAGGGTGGACCAACACAAGTCAATTGTGCTACACATTAATTGACTTATAACATTTAAATCTTTTTCTTCAATTTACCATTCATGAATTATTTTTTTTTGTGTGTGTGTATGTGAATACGTAACAGTAATGGGAAATATCTTGAAAAAAATAAGAAAACACGAACCTAATAAAGAAGAGAGAGTGAGAGAAAATATCGAGAATATTTTCTATTTTTCATTAATAGAACTTTTCATTAGTAACATCAAAACGGATTAAACGCTGCACTTAGTATTATAACTTTCAACCACTTCATAGTTTGTACTAAAAAATAAAATACGGCACAAGATGTATCATGAAAGACTTGATCTATCTGACGTAGCCTTCATATTTTGCCTACTAAGATACATCCTTGCAAGCGACTTTAACATTCAACAGTTGTTGAATTCCTTCCAATACGAAATCTATGTATAGTGAAAAAATTGGTTCGTTGTGTATTTAATTTATTTTTTTCTCTCAAGTTTTACTTCATTATTTTGTTTTGTTTATACAGAAAACTTTTTATGACATGTTGTTATAAAAATGCCCTCAATACATTGTCGTGTTATTCTCTTCCCGCGGAAGGTGATTGGTCGAATTTGTTATTCAATAATGGCTATCTTTATCTGCTCGTACAATCGATTGCTGTATTATTTCAATGTATATAACCTTGCTGTTTCGAAAACATTCAATGATTCTTTCTAATATATTTGTTTATATTAAAATTTATTTATTACTTAATGATAATCGTTATGTACTCCAAACATGGAATTTTTAATGAAACCAATGGAAGATTAATATAACAGAAATATTTTATGATCAATATATATTTTTTAAGGTTTTATTTAAGAATTTACATATTATAGGTCGTATCAAAAAAATATAATGAAAATGATTTTATTGCTTATTTAAATTAGATATCATCGAATACGAACTCTGTATTAGTAAAGGTAAACAGACCAAAAGAATTTTTTGGCTCACGAAATATCAAGAATTGTTTCATAGATATGGTGTATGATTAAGAAATTTTTTTTTATTGTCCTACATATTGTTTAGAAATTTATTAGAAGAAAATTCGTTCAGTAGATAATTTTCTAATTTGAATTTTAGATGTCATCACAATTCTCATTATCAAATCTTCGTATTCTTCTTCATCCTCATTATTCAATCAATATCTTTCTATCTGTTTTCTATGTTTTATTAAAACAATTAATTCCAAAATCTTATTCTTCATATATTTTTTTAAATAATGAAATAACAACACAAGATACTCAAGTATTATTACTTCTGGCAACAATAATAACAATACGAGGACGAAAAGCTCTAACATGGTTACATTATGTTGATAACGTTTGTAAATATTCAAAAATGGCAAATTGTCTTTTATTTTATCGCGAACAATCTTATGTTTCATTGATATTCTATGCTGTTTTATGTTTTCTTCATTTTCTTTTTCTTGCTACACCTGAACCAACAGGTAAAACAAATATTCTTTATTATCGTGCAAATAATTTAGATAATGAAATACATGCTGATCCACGTTTAACATGGTTTGTTTGTTTTTATGCACCATGGTCTCCACCATGTCAAAATTTTGCAAGTGTTTTTGTTGATTTAGCAACACGTTTTGGTGATTTAAAAACATTTAAATTTGTTAAATTTGATGTTAATCGATATCAAGCTGAAGGAGCAAAATTTAAAATTGATACATCAACATTTTCGAACCAATTACCGACTGTTGCTTTATTTCAAGATGGAAAAGAAGTTAAACGACGACCACAAATTGATGTTAAAGGAAGAGTTTTAGATAAATCACGTTTATTAACTGCTGATTATTTAATTAATGAATTTGGTTTAGCTGAAATTTATACAAGAGAAGTGAATAAAATTAAAGCTAATAATAAGAAAGAACAATAACTTTAGGTTTCTTTTGTTTTCGTGTTTTTTTTTGTATTGCTTTTGTTAGAATATAGTTTTCTTTTTCTCACTATCAAAAAAAAAAGTTGTTGCAAGCAGTGCACTTTATTATCTATTAGAAATAAATGAAAAAAAAATCAATATAGATTCTCTTTATTTTGAAAGTCTTGAATGCGTACTTTCAAATGAATTAGTTTCGTCAATATCACTTCTTTTCAATGATTTAAATAGAAACTAAAATTGATCGTATATACTGAATTGTGTTCGAGTGAAGAGTAAAAGTGACACTTTAACCTTATCGAATAAATTACTCTACATTATTCAATACATTAAAATAGAATATTTTACTTGACTTTACTCGGTAAAGTAAAGTAGAGTAAGTATACTTTATTTGGTAAAGTCAAACTCTTATAGTCTATTTAATCGAGTAAAGTAAAAATAAAATGCTATTCTTAGTTAAGAAACATTATGTGATCTTTAATCATAACTTCGAATAGATAATATATGACATGATATTTTAATAGATAAATTTAATTAGATCTCTGAGAAAAACATTAGTATAAACAAAAAGTGTATCACACAGAGTAGTTTGTACTAAAATTTAACATTTGTTTATACGCATACGGTATTGTAAAACACGAACTAAAAGGAGTGTCAGTGGCAGAAGTTTGCTTCCTTCCCTCACCGTCGTGACAGCGAACGTAGCAACGATTCGTTACAGACACTGACAGATGCGGAGTAGAAAAGGTGATAAGTATGATTTATAACTACTATAAATCGTGAGAGATATTATAACAACTATTCCGTGTTTCATATTTTAATCCCGCAGAGATTGCGGTAATAGCTTTTTTTTATAATATACTGTCATTGGTACTCATTTTTTAATGTAAGTTCAATATATCTTAATGGAAATACTGCATCAAAAGGTTGTTAGAGTTCATATATGTTTTTATCAGAAGTCATTTTATTTTTATTACCACAAACCTTTGTTTTTCTTAATTCAATCTCTATAAAAAATACAAGTCATTTTTACAACGATGAATTCAAAATATTATAGAGTATGAAAACTAAATGTTTCTTTTTAATGCTTCATTTAATTTTCATCATCACCATCATCAAATTTTTGATATTGTGAATTGTATGGAAATCGTTCAAGACCAACATTTTTAGCACAATTTTGCATAAGTTTATAACCACAATAATATCGTGCACGAAATTCAGGTACATCATCTAATCCACTCACACAATTTCTCATTGTTGTTGCTAATGCATCTATTGAAAATAAACAAAAAAAAATCTTATATATTTTTCTTTCAATCTTTCTCACTTACAAATACAGGCTGGATTAATTTTATTTGTTGCTTCATTAAAACATTTACCATATTTCTGTGGTATATTTTGTAAAGAATTAACAGTATCATAACATACATTTACATAATCATTTCGACGTGGAAATTTTCTTAAACCCTATTTATAATATAATTTCAAAAACACAATTATTTCTAAGAATAAAAAAAAAGTAAAACTTGCATAATAAAATTCCTGACATGTTGCAGCTCTACAATGAAAATTATCGAATGCCATTGCATCAATGGAAAATATCATTGACAATAAAATTAATGTTACACAAAGCTTTTCCATATCTCTATAAATTAATTCTAATCTTTTATAATAGGATTATCTTATCTTTGGTATGTAAACATCTACGTGTTTAAAACAAAAAAGACCGAGTGATATAAATATGTTCAGGGATCAATAAGACTAAAAACTCATATAGCTAATATATATATATATATGAACCAATAGAAATAAATTGTGCTAGTTTTAACGTGTATCTCTCAAACGAAAGTGTGAAGAAGTTTCTCTTTTTTTTCTTAAAAGAATACTCATGCAGAAATAAATGATGACTATTCAAGAAGTTTCTATTTTCTCAAAAACAAATTTTTACATGATCTATATTTTTATGAGTTGAAGAACTATATGATGATAAAACGTTAATAGAATGGTATTTTATGTTTTCCACACACGCACTTCATTTATTATTCAATAAAAATGGAATAATCGGTATAGTATGATGCACAATTAACTATGAAATATATGCTTTACATTTATTTTGAACATCAATACTTGAATACAAATGATATAGTTATATATATATATATGAACATCATATATCTGGTTTATTTTATTCAGTAATGAAGATTTGTTATTAACAATATACAAAGATTAGAAATTAAATCACATTATTCAACACAAAAAAAAAGAGTATCGTATTGTTTTTAGAAATGTCATAATATTTAAAATCACTAATCCTGTGGAACATTCTGAAGACCAACATATACAGCACAATATTTCATTAATGTATAACCACAGTAATGTCGAGCGTCTTTCTCTGGTACACCAGACAATCGTTTTATACAGTTTTTTATAGTTTCTTGTAATGCATCTTAAAAATAACATAAAACAAATATTATCTAAAAACAAAACTAGTAAACAATTAAATAGACATACAATAGCATGGTGGATTATGTTGTTTATTATCATCAATACATTTGCCATGTTTACTTGAAATATTTTGAAGAGCATAGATAGTATCAGTATATACTTCTTCATATTCTTGATAACGTGGATAATGTTTTAATCCCTATGATATTTGAAGAGAAGAAGAAAAAAATAAGATTTGATTTGTTGAAATAAAAAATATTCGATTAATTTACATAATAAAAATCTCGACGTGCTTGAACGTTACAACTAACATCATTAACAAACATCGTATTTATTAATGAGATGATAGTAAATAATAATAGTAAACATAATAATAACTTGGCCATCTTGAAAAAATATTATTTTATTTAGACTTGAAGCAAACAATGTATATAACTGACAAGTATTTGATCTACAGTCTTATATAGGAGAATAGTTTATGCGTGGAATGTATCGATTTACGTGCAAAAGGGATGGGAAAAAAAGTTATTACCATATTCATAAAAAACGTCTAAATATCAAGGTTATCAAATACGAAAGTAAACAAAGTAGTAGTTATGTGGTCTTTTTCATTTGAAAAAATGTAATATTAATCATATCGTACACTGACTTATAGATAATTCATTTTGTTTTCTTATTATAGTTCTATGGGAAGAACCTTTTCTAATTCTTCATTCCCATACGGTTCTTTAAAAAAATAAAGGTTGGGAGAAATAAGTAAATTTTATACACATTCACTTTGCCTTAGTCATATCAATAGCGTCATCTTCAGTCGCTCATACCGATACATATTTATATCAGCATTAGAAAAACTATTTTTATTATTAATTTAACATAAAAAATCCAAAATAAGATAGAACGAATTTTGAGAACATTAATTTTATTTTTATTCGTCTTTCTATGACGACAAGAATAAGGAAAAAAAGGCGTTTCCGTTAGATATGACTTCCCATTTTTGAGTAGATAATTATTTCCTGAATAATTGTATTTATCTAAGAAATAATTAGAATAAAATATCTGTGTTATAAAATACTGAAGGACGTTGTATATCAATGACGTCAAATGATATTATAATTCAAAAAAAACAAATGAGCCCACTCAATTCAGGTTGATATTAAATTTGCATATAGATCAATATGTAAACTGCATCTACTAATAAATAATTATTTAATTTAATTTTTATAAAGTTTCGTTTCTTATGAATGAAATTTTGCTATTATTTCCAATTTACTGATCGTACCCAATTGTTGAAGTCAACTTTAATTAGAGAGAACAAATTGTTTGCATGAATTTTTTTAACAGTGATTAATCATGCGTTGGTCTTCAGTATTCTTCATGTTAACAAATGTACTGAAAACATATTTAATTTTAGTAAAAATGTTTTTTTAATCTCTATCATCAGTATTATGTTTATAAATAACTTAATATGTTAAGCTTTTGATCGTTTGGAACACACAAAATCATTAAAGCTATTCGTTAAATATTAAGCCGATTTTTGTACATAATAATTATGTTGATGATTAAACCTGATTTTGCATGTTAAACAGCTAACATCTTCTAGTCTATTTTTATAAGAGAAAAGACCTTGCATATAGTTCATCTAATCTTGTGAAATTTAAGTCCTTTTATAAGCATATGTACTGTAGCTATTGAAATAGAAAAAAATTGGTTGAACATCTCATTATAACTGAATGTGTCTTTTTTTGCTTATGCTATAAGAATAGTATTCATATTATTTAATAATGATAACATTTAAGTATTTGTCGTTTATTTTTTAAATCTGATCATCAACGAATGTTAAAACAAAATAAACAATAGTTAAATAATAAAAACTTTGTTTTAAATTTTAAAATAAAAATCCATGTATCCATATAGAATTTTTCTCTATTTACTAAATAAAATTCAATGGAACACCTTCAAGACCAAGATGTACAGCACAATATTTCATTAGTGTATAACCACAATAAAAACGAGCATCTTTTTCTGGAAGATCATACATTCGTTTGATACAACTTTTTATAGTTCTTGCTAGTTGATCTTAAATATAAAATAAAAAATAAATGTAAGAAAAACAAATAAATGAAAACTAAACTTACAAATACATGGTTTATTTAATTTGCCTGTATCATCATGAATACATTTACCCATATCACGTGGAATTGCCTGAAGAGCAAAAACAGTGTCAAGACAAATTTGTTCATATTCTTTACGACGTGGTCGATCTTTTAATCCCTATAATAATAATTTAATAGATAAATAAAAGATAAAAATATTTACATACATAATAAAAATCTCGACATGTTGGTATTTTACAATGAAAATCATCAATAGCAATACTATCGACTGACCATAAACTAATTGATAATAACATAAATAGTATTAACAAAACAATTCTCATCGTTGAAAACATTGTTTATAAATTTATTTCTATGTAGTATCGATAGACGACAGATACAGTTTTGTTAACCTTAACTATTTAGTTATGGAACAGTACACCGTGTGACATAGATCTATGTTTCAAAAGAAATATAACAAGAGAGAGAATTCAGAAAATGTTTGTTTATATAAAAGATACAGAAGAATGATCGTAATATCTAATGTTATTATTGTCTAGAAAGATACGCGTATGTACATGCCGTGTGGATATACCAGCATAATCATTCATTAACCTCGTGTTTTCGTATTATATAATTTTCGATGTGAACTGTTAGTTCGATTAGTGAAAGAATAACATCATTTTTTTCAAAGGTCACTATCACCCAATTTTATATCAACGTATTATCTATTATATAATCGATATTTTAAGTCAATAAGTGTTAATAAAAGTTTACTACTAAATTCTTATTATCTATAACTTCATAAAACCAAAAAGAGAGCACATCGGTTTTTTACTTTATTATAAAGCTTAATCTTTTAACAGGTGAATTGTGACTAGGTAAGTTCTGTCAATACTGATAACATAGTCAGGTGGGCCGTGATCAAGACTATCATGTATGAGGATCAGGTTAACAATACTGGAATAATTCACGTGTAGTATGATTGAATCAAAGATCGTTTAGAACATTCTCTCGACCACTAACGATTTTAAAAAATTCTCTTTCACAAATTCTAGAATTTACGGATAAATTGTTAGAGAGCGCTCTCTTGCAAGATATATTACATTCTCTATAAATGTATATGTATATGTATATGTTCTTGCTTCTTTCTTTCTTTCTTTTCTTCTCTTCGGATTATCTATATTCATTATATATATATCTAGACCATTCTTTGTTTTTCGTTCATGAGAACCATTGAAATTCTCCTTTTCTTTCTTGTTCTACTTTTTCTTTATTTATTACGCAGTTAGAAAAAGAAAATACATGCGTCAGTTTTGTTTGTTATGTTACTTAAACTTAACCTGGAATAGTCCGACATTGATCCCATCTATGCAGTGTTATCACAATTTCTAACAGAATCACTATCTCTCGTTTATTATAGTTATATAATCAGAAACAGAAAAGTAGAACATCTACGTCCTCCCACCCATTGAAGGATTAGTTTCAAAGAAAATTATCAAATAAAACAACACAAAAACTTTTCCTCAAAATCTTCAGATGATGATAAATGAAAAAACTTTACCTTTGAAGCTTGATATAGTTTTTTGAAAATCGAAAACCTATTCTATGTTTAACAAAATATAACGACTGATTTTTTTTAGGTGTATCGTTTTTGTACAAAAGTAAATCAGAAGAATAATGATTATATTTAAAATTTATGTTAGTAATCGAAATGGAATTCGCTATCTGTACTCAAATTTACATAGCAATTTGATTGCATACATTTAGGTAAATATAGTCAAATAACTATGAGTACATAGATAGATAGATAGCATGAATTAATTTGTAAAAATGAAATTATATCAGTCTTACATACATTTAATTATTAGCATATGTGAAATATCTTAACTTCATAGTAGTTTTACTTTATTAGTTCGTTATGACATCCGCAAAAAAAATGCATAAAATATGTATTACAATTGCGTATAATATATAGAAAGAACTTAATTTTCAATAAAAATCAAAGCAATTTACAAATATTTCTTTCACTGAAGAGCGTTTAATATTCAACGAATTTACGTTTTAACCATTTAGTGTTAAATTAAGAGCAAATACAATCAAATTAGTGTAGGTATGTATTATAAATGGACTCATTTAATCTGCAAGTATAAATAAACAACAGCACACGGAAGATTAATTATCGTCTTTTCATAAAGAGTATTACGTTGGACTAAGTGCTGATTAATCTTATACGTTTTACAGTTTATATGCAAGTTAATTGTGAAAAAAAATATAGTAATTTTTGTTCTATAATTAACTAATAGAAAAAACCTACAATATAAAGGTAAAGTAAAACGGTTTTTCATATATGCGCAGTTTGTACTTTTTTTTTGAATATCATAAAGAGAGTATTATCTTTATCTTAGTTTTAATCCAATGATGTCTATTTATTGACTCTATTTAATATTCGATTATCAAAAAAGAAGTTTAATTCAATCTCATATTAGTTTTGCTACAACTTTTTCTTATAGTAAAATATATGTAGCGTTTAAATGATTGAGTCAATTTATGGATAACAATAACAATTTTATTAACGAGGAAAAAAAATAATAATATTCTAATACAATGATGCATGTGTTTGATTTGATCTTGGTTTTTTAATTTTCTCTAAATTTTTCATTAGAATATCATGAACACTTGTCTAAAAGAAAAACAAAATATATAGTAAATATTAGAAATGAAAATTTTGTTTCTTTTACATAATGATTTCGAAGTTCCAATGCAATGAAACGTAATGAAACAAATTGTTTCTCATCTAATGATTGAACACTTCGACGATAATCTTCTACATGTGGATATTTCACAACTTTTTTAATAAGTTCACCACGAGAAATTAAATATTTGCATGTTAAATCAATATATTGTGTTACTTCAGTTTCTGATGTTCGAACTTCAGCTAATGAATCCTTAAGAATTAAAATAAAAATCTTAAATAACAAATTTTTCTTTTTGAAAATATTTACTTCTTGTACACCAACACCAAAATTATTTCCATCTTCAACTTTGGGTATCATCAATTGTATCCATAATTTAATAACAGCAACCTAAATAGCATATTCATTTAATTAAATAAAATATAATATTTATATACGTACACTATCAAGAAAATGAAGAATATATGGTCGAAGTTTATCTTCAAGAATTGATATAAGTGGATTTGATGGAACTGTACCATTAAACACATAAACAGGTGATTGAATAGTATTATCTATTAAATCTGTTTTATGAGATTTTTTTGTGCCATTATTATTATTATTTTTCGCTGATATTGAATGATGATGATCCTTTAATTAAAAATATAAAACTCTTCTCTACGAGAAAGAGAATAAAAACTTACGTCAGTTGAATTTATATTCTTGTTATTTGTTAAATGAGCAATAATATCATCAGCTGTTGGTAATTGAACTTCAGCACGAATCTTTGATACTTCATTAAAGGATAATGCTTCACTCTGAAAAGAAATAAAATAGGAGATGCAAATGAGAAGACAAAAATATTAACAAACCGAACAAAGTGTATCAAGTTCAAGTGCTTTTTCAGGAAATTCATTTCGAATCAAATGTTCAGCTGAATCCTTAATTTTTGTTGCATAATCATCCATTTTTTTAACACTTGATGATTGCCTAGGAAAAATTTATCTAAAAATAGAAAATTATTTCTTTATTTCAACTTTTGTTTTCAAATGAAATCAAACACAGAGATAAATATGAACTGTTATAGAACGAAAATGAATTGACATTTCGTATTTATTTATTCATTTAATTATTCAGTAGTTTTCTTTTTTCTTCGTTGAGCATTTTTTTTCTTAGTTTTTTTTCTTTTCTTTTTATCTTGATTATTTTTTTCTTCTTGTTTAACAATATTTCGACGTTTTCGATTTGCTGGAATTGTTATATCAATATCAAAACAACCTTCAATAAAAGAAATTTTAATTAAGAAAATATTTTTAAATAAAAATTTTTATTACGTTTATTTCGTGGACAAAATGTTAATGGTATACGTTCGAAATCAACATGGTATGGTAGTAGTAGAGATGGCGTTAAAGGAATCCATGGTACAGTAAGACAATCAGATTCAACGAGAAGAGCATTTGATTCAAATGGTTCAGAATGAAGATCGAATGTTTTTCTAAAGTAAATAATAAAATCATTTGTTTGATAATTAAAAAATGCTGTAGAGATACGCAAGTTTTCTATCAAGATTAATATTTAAAATTTATTCAGTGGCGGATCTAAGATTTTGGCTAAAAACTATTTTTTGAGTCCAATCGAAGTAGTGTGAACCTATTTTCTCGTTCATTTCTGCTGCAAAAAATCGAAAAAGTTTTCTGAAGGAGGGGGGCGATCGCCTCCCTAAATCCGCCACTGAATTTATTAGACAAGTTGAGACTATTTGAATAATTATATTCTTACTCATTTGATTCGTTGGATGCTGTTTGATAAAGATAAAGTTTATCTTCATTCAATGGACATGATAATAAATATTTTTTTGGCTCTAAACTAAACACAAAAACAATCATAGTTTTATCTAATTGATTAATTAAATAGATTCTTCATACCTTTGTAAACCATATAATAATCCATATATTTTCGTTATTGCTTTTAACATACTAAAATAATATATAAGATAAAGAAAAACTAAGTACTGAAAAAATATCTTACTCAATCTGACATTCTTTAAGATTTTGATCAATATTTTCATATGTCATTTTTTCTACTCTGAGTAATTGTTGAGTAAAAACATTGATTCGTCCTAATAAAACACTTGCTCCATGTCTTAAATAAGATTCAAACCAAATTAATCGATATTCTTTATCTGTAATTTGTTCTAAACCAAATTGTGGTTGATATTCAAGTTTTGAATAACATGTTACTAATTCATCATCAGTATTATTTGAAAGATTATTTTGACAATATCCATGATGACTTGAACGTATTAATATTTGAAGTGTACCTAATTGCCATAAACAATACTCGTAATTACCTTGAATAGGTGTTGCAAGTTTAACAGAACTAACAATAGGTACTAAAAATAAATAGATATTATTATTTATTTTTGTTTGTTTTATTAAGAATTAAATAACCTGGTCCATTTTCAAGATCATTTGTTGAATTGTCTGAATTATTAGTTTCTCGGTCTTGAAGAATAGGTGCTGAATTAATTATTTTTTGTTTGGATTTAATAAATAATTTTTGTTGTTGTTCAATATCACCATCTAAATATTATTTTAATTTATGATTAACAAAAAAAGGATTTATTCATTTACCTGTATCAATAATCATTGCACCTTCATCGTCATCATCATCATCATCATCTGTTATTTCTTTTTCTTCTTGTTTCTCCGTTGGTTTAACTGATGATTGTTCATTAGTTTTAGTTTTTATTTCCGTTATCTGAAATTCGGTTTTATTATTAAAACTAGTATAAATAAATGGATTATCAGTTGTTTCTCGTTTTCCTCCAGTTGTTGATAATAATAATGAACGAAATGATCGTTGAAAATATTTACTATTTAATTCACGTTTTGTATAAACACGTTGACGTAATGGTTTATCAATAAAAATAACTTTTTTCTTAGTTAAATTCGGATTATCTAATGTTTCAAATTGAAATTCTCGAATTGATACTGGTAGAGTCATAGGTGATGCTGATGAAGATGTAGAAAACAATTCAGTTAACAGATAGAAACTTGATTTTGATAGAACAACATCGATCGATGGATGTTGTGATAGTATAGCAAGAAGATTTGGATCATCAACTAAATTCTTAAAATTAAATTAAAATCATTTTTCAATTAAATCTTATATCTTTTGAAATATCTTACAGTTAATCGATACTGTGGATTAAAACGATTTGTTATAACTCGATCATGATTGTCACTACATTTAACATTGAGTTTTTCAATATTCTCTGGAATAGTTAATAGAGGTATTGTACCCTAAAGTAAAATTCTATAATAGATAATTTTTTTAACAAAATAGTTTTGATATACCAAACGTAAAACAGTTGATAGATTGACGAATGTAACAGGCGTTAATGAATCATATGAATTCAATGGAATAGTCATATGATGTGAATATAATTGGTCGAGCGAACTTGTTCGTTTAAGTAATAGATCTGTTTTATGTTGTAACCATGTCTATAAATATTAAAAATAATATGAAATTTACTAATAAGAATTAATTAAAAACCTGCATAAATTTTTTAATAAATGGTTTAATTGATTCATAATCTCTAGTTAAATGTTTAGTTGCATATTCTTTGGCAAATTGATTAAACATTCGATGTTCATTTAGTAATAATCCATTCATTCTCTATGTAAATGAAAAAAAAATATTTATCGATTTATTTTTGATGTAATTTACTTTCATATTTTTTCCTCGACTTGTTTTCTTCTGTGATTCTTTTTCGACATCATTAATTAAATATCCATTATTAATATCATAGAAAACATATAAACCCATTCGTTGTTGATCAAAATCAAGTGTTGATAATTTATCCGTAAAATAATCCAAATGAAATGGATATATTCGATTAATATGTGAACGAAATTGTGCTGCAGAATATAATTTTATTTCACGTAAATCTTTTTCAATCGTAGGATCTTCTGATTCTTGATTAACAACTGAATTAGATTCGGACGGATTTTCTTTTGGAACAGTTGATACTATCGGTAATTCTATAAATAGATCAAAACAATAAATTTAAGTAAACTATATGAAAATAATTACTTGAAATATCGTGAGTAATTTGTCGGAAGGATATTGAATTTGTAATCCATTGATCATGATGCTCAGATTTAATAGATGATTCACTAATAGAATAGAAGAAAGAAAACGATTAAGAGAAATAATTCTAGAAATAATAATACTTTTGATCTTTTCTGTTGTTATTTTCTTGAAAGATACGAACAATATTATCAATATTAATCGTTTCAGATGAATCCGCCATTTTAAAAATAAAAGAAACATTGCAAAACTTGATGACATTATATAGAAGGACGACTATGAAATATCTTTGTTCTCTTAAATTTAATTTTCCTATTCGTCTTTTTTACTATTGGCTAATTTCTATGTAACAAATAAAATCAAAAGACTAGTTGTCGCTTTTAAATAATTGAGTTCTATTATCAACCTATTAATTTCGATACATTAGACATCATTTAAAGCATACAGATTAATGATTTCAAACTATGGGAATGTAGACCACTTGACAGTAGTGTTGCTCATCGAACCAAATTAATGTGTATATTTTCATTGAAGTAGTTTAAGAGGAGAGTACATGGACTCGGTCATATCGTAGCTCAATTTAAATATTGTAACTTACTTTGATCCATCAGATTTTCTTTAACTGAGTCGAATAATCAAAAGTTTTTAGATACAAAACCTATGATGAGTATCTAGAGATGATAATTTATCATTAATAAAACTTGATTGAATATTAACTAGGATATACCTCTTCAATATAGCAACTAAAGTCTTGCGTATTCATCTGACACAGATGAGCAATTCTACAGTTCAATCTAATTTTACTTTTTACCAGTTTTTGACACTCTACGAAAAGGAAACATGAAACGAATTAACTATACAACACAATAAATTGGCATTGTGATGACTTCTGTTAATAAAAAAAAGTTTTACAAGATCTAGTTTCATTTATTCCGACTTCCTATTTATTCATGAATTATAATAGCAAAATACATAATAAAAAGCGAAAAAATTTAATTGCATTTTTTTATACAAGAGGATAACTTCCTGTGCTTGCGATACCACATTGATTATTTTTGTTTCGACTCATCCAAACATATCCTTTCATACCCCATGAATCTCCCCAGGAATTTTTCACAATATAATAATCTTGATTAGTTGTACCATTATTGAATGTATCATATCCCACCACAACAAATGAATGATCAACATTTGTTGTTGAACAGTTAGGTTCATCATAGACACCTGATGAATAAAACTGAAATGAACTTCGTGAAGCATCAATTGCTGTGGATATTGGACCTATTGTAGCAACAGCTATTTGTAAAGCAGTTTCGTTTCCTACTGGAAGATCAACAAAACCCTATATGATAAAAATAACAATCAATCTTAAACAATATAAACATAAACTACTAACTGTATCAGTAGCTCCTATAGTATCTTTTTTAAAACGACATGCTCCTTCTACTGCTTCATATGGATAACTATCCGCTGTATCTATACCACCATTTTCTTTAATGTATTCGAATGCATAATCCATGAGTCCACCATTACATCCATAGTTACCAAAACTTTGTGAACAATCCATCAAGTTCTGTGCTGATAGATGTACTAAATTTCCTGTTTTAATGGCATGTTGTCCTTCTAAAGCACCCGTAGCAGTAAAAGCCCAACATGAACCACATTGCCCTTGATTTTCAATAACTGTAGTCACTGCACCTTTCTTTCTCCAATCTAATGAATATCAAAAGACTTAATCCTAACGCTTTTTATAGTATTCAAAATACTCACCAACTGCAGCTGGTATATCAACATTTGATGGTGGAGTAAATTTTTCCGATGAATGTTTCTCAGAAGATATTTTTAGACCACCTAACATCGTTTGAACAAATTCTTTATGTGTCTAAAAATTAAACAAATTGTATCATATATCATTAAAATAATAAAATTAAATAATATACCATATCACCAAATTGATTGATTTTAAGTGTATATGAATGAAGACCTAAATCAGCTTCAAAATTATGTCGATTAATCATATCTACATTGTTTTTGAAAACACTCAGACTAAATATACACATTTTATCGTATTTCAACAAACAAATTTGATTATTCTTACCGATATTGTTCTTCTCGAGCATTAACATAGTTTTTTTGATGAATACGCTTAAATAAATTCCAGATCGTTAATGATTGATCACCATTTGTTGCTTGGATACTACCAATGACAACAATGAAGAAGAATATTAAATGCATAAAAACAGAATGATATTGCAAAACTAATATTTCGTATAAAAACCTTTATTTTATATATGTCAGAGATAACAAAAAACTGCAGTTTCAATATTGACTATCATTATCATCGTGAGCTAGTTTTGAGTATATAATATTTCTTCACAATAAAGCAATTTTATTTATCATTTTAATACAAGAAATATTTAGATCGAAAACAATGATGTAGTAAAAAAATATTACTGCTAGACATTGTTACGTTATAGAGAAAACGAGAATAGTTGATAATGATTCATAATGACGATAAATAAAGTCAATTGATAACAATACCAAAATGTAGGTCTTAAAACATAGTTTCATTCTCACAGACTAATCGTTTATTATGCATTTATATTCTTCTAAAATTATGATCAAGAAATTCTTGTCTATTAAATATTGTTCAATTTCAAATAATTTAATTATAATCTATTAAGAAAATGTTTTTTATTTAATGACATATGATTAACACTCGTTATCGAAACAATATGTTACTTGTTTTTATTACACATGCAAAATAATAATTACGAATCTATCATAATATTCTCAGAGTAAAACTATTTTTGTTTATGATTTGATTGATAAATAATAGTATCTTGCCAATTTGAAATCAATAAAATATGTGTTAGTAATTCATTGATTAGAGATAGGAAAAATAATTTATGAGACAATCATAAGAAAAAGACTTTTATCATAGTAAGAAACGATAATATTTATTTTATCATTTATAACTAGGTCAATTTTTTTTTAATGGATGATTGAAAAGTATTTAATAATATCATATGAAAAAAATCCAAATAATTTACTTTTTTTTTGTTATTTAAGTGATATACATCGTCTTTTGAAGCTTATAGAAATAATAAATGCAGTCGATTGTTCTGAAAAAGAAACTATTAATTTTTCATTTACTTGCCAAGAATGATAGAATATAGGTTAAGCATTAGATTTGAAATATTACGTAGGTTGTTAATTTACAATGTTCTTATGTTAAGCTGCTAAAGTTAATAGGTATTTATGCATTAAACAATTTTAAGTATATTATATAGTTCAAAATAACAGATTTTATATAAGAAGATTTGTTTTCAAGTTGATTGTTTTCTATATAATTGAAAATTTAACTAGTATAATGAGATAGGTCACCAGACAATACAGGGAGGATTGATTTTAGCAGATCTGAGTTAGGCAAGTACGAGAACGAGTACTAACTCTCTGAGGCTTAAATACGAATTTCTGGAGGGGTTGCTCAGGAAAAATATGTAAAAAAATTAATAGCCAGTATTTTTTTCAAACTATTGTTATTGTTAAGTTTCAAAATAAAAATATTATAACGAATTATAAATAGTCGACGACTTTTCAGTACAATGTTAAAGAGTAGAAAATCATATAAGTTTCTAGTAAAATATACTTCATTGAGAATCTCAAGTATTTTACTCTCGACTGTTTTGTTTACTTATGTAATACATACTTCTATCTTGAGTTTTAAATACCTATATATGAAGAAAATGAGTTAAAAATTACTTGAAATGTAAGTATTTCTGAAAATATTTCATTCAATCAGATACGGTTCTATCACCGATCTACAAGAGTATATAAAGATACGAGGATTATAATTTTCGAAATGAATGTACTAAGTTATTTACAATTTTGTATTTTTAGGAAAATAATATTCAATTCCTAAGAGGATTTATCATGATATTTTTCTTATCAGATAATTCTGTCGCAAATAATATGTTATTAGCAGTTTAATTGAAAAAATAATTTTACAATCGATTTATATCGTTTATTCTGAAAAACAAAATAACTTTTTTTTTCAAGATTACTATTCAATAGATATTCAACTATTTTCGATTGGATTAGCTCAGTTCTATTTACTTTGCTGTAAACTCTACTCAAGCAAACTTTAATCTTGAAAGTACTAAATGGCATTACTTATGATTATATATTTATCAATTAGCATTTAATAGGTTTATATGAAAAATCGTCTTATATATTATCTTTATTAATAAAGCTGTTACGGATTTATATTCTATATATTAATTAGTTTCGATCCTATAAAATTCAGTATTCTTTATTGATTCTCTAACACATAATGTCTTCATCAGCAAATACAACTGTCGATACAGCTTCATTATCTCCACCACAAAGTCGAATAATTGTTTTCATTATTCTCATTATATTACTCATCCCTTCTGTTATATGTTCACTATATTTATTTTATCAATTTATTCAACGACCTGAAATGCGTCGACGAGATACAAATCTTGTTTTCATCTGTTTAATTATTATTAATTTTTTGCAAGTATGTTTACTAAAAAAACAAAAAATGTAATGAATAATAAATTTATTTTTTTAAACTTTCTAGGCTACAGGAGAATTACCATTGACATTAACTTTTCTATATACAAATCAAGCTGCAATATTAAAACCAATATTTTGTCAATGGTGGGCATTTTTAAGTGCAATACTTTATGGTACCGGTCTTTGGATTATGGCAATGGGTAGTATCGAAAGATATCTATTTATTTTTCATTCACATGCATTGAAAAAATATCGTATTCATTTTCGATCTATTTCATTGATGATTTGTTTTATTTTACCAATTGGTTTATATATTTTTCTTGTATTTCTATTTCCATGTACAAATCATTTTATTTATATTATTTTCTGGTGTGCAGCACCTTGTTATATGACCCAATCATTTTGGCAAGTTTTTTCTTGGTTAATCGATAATGGTATACCAATGTGCATTATTGTCATTGTTAATATTTTTCTTCTAACGAAAGTTTTATGTCAAAAATATCGTATGCAACAAATTAACATGTGGTCAAAAAATGCACGAATGCTTTTTCAGTTGATGAGTGTCGCAATTTTATATGCTGTTTGTTGGTTACCATTTTTAGTTTCTGGACAAATTATGAGTTATACTCAAGATCTTTCGTCAACAGCAACAATGCTTTACCTAGAATATTTTGTTTATTTACCATATATTAGTGTTACACTTTGTCCATTCGTATGTCTTTTTAGTTTGTCGAAAGAAATATTTAGAAGACAATGAACTATAATTATTATTTTACATCTTCATCATACAAAGTTTGAATTAATCGCACCGTATTAGTTAATAAATACTGACAATAGTAAAAGAAGATTTTATCATCTATAAATATAATATTGTTCAATGTGAATTCTATATAAAATATGTTATTAAATAAAAGAAAAATAAATTTAAAAATATCTTTTAGATTTTGATTGTTGATATAATAATAATACTATCTTAATCAGATGTTATAAATAGAACAAAACAAAAATATAGTTATAATATACAAAAATATTTAAATTTCTATAGAATTTGTTTCTGAAGGATTTGATAATGTCGTTTTTGATTTATTCATATCTGGTGTGTTTTTATATTCTTGCAATCCTTCACGAATAGATGTTTGGACGTTTAGTTTTGTTTTATAATTATCGGTATTTGGATTAACAGGTTTTGATACAATTTCACCGCTAAAAACCAAATAAGTAAAATTTATTTATTTCAAGAAATTGAAAACTTACATAACATCAATAGCCCAATCTCGAAAGAATGGTAGAAGTTGATCATCCATAGCTGGAAGAACAACAAGACGCTAGAAATAAAATAATTAAAACAAAACCAGCAACATAGAATTAAATTTCAAACTTTTAATTCAGCTCGAATTTTAGCTGAAAGTAAATCTTGAAGTAATGTATAAGAATATTGATTGGCACCATATGTTGGTATAACTTTAATATTAAGATCAGGCATTTCTGGAAAGCCCACCCTAAATAAAATTATTTCGTTCATTATATGAATAAAATAAATAAATAGATAATTTACCAAATTCGATCACTTGGTGGTGGAGGAATGTTAAGCTAAAATTTTATCAAAATTAGAATTATTCTATAAATATGAATGGATATATTTACTGTGAGAACACCACTAAAACTAGTTACTTCAACATCAACACCAACTTCTTGTTGAGAAAATTTCTCGAATAATGTTTTTATAAATGGTAAATTAGCAAAGAATTGAAAATATTTATTTAAAGCTAAATTAGTTAATGCAGTTCCAAGTTTTCGTGTTACTGCCCTAGAGAAAAAAAATAATAAAAATGAAAATTATTTATTTTCTTTTAAATCTTCCATACATTTCTGGTATTTCAGGTTCTTTCGCCAAAAGTTTTTGTCGTTGAATTAAATCATTTTCATCGATATGTTCATCATCTTTATGGACCATTTGTGCTGAATGATGTTGAGCAAATATTGGTTTATCTGTTTCTGGATCATAATTGATTAATTTTTGAAGTGCAACTCGTGTTCTTACTGATAATCTGAATCAAATGATTATGAAAAATTTATCTATACACAGCTGTCATATGTGAATCATAAAAGTTAAATGTCAATAATTGAAGAAGATATCTATTATTAATATTTTAAAGGCATCCGTATGTTCACGGATACTTTTGCATAATGGTAAAAATAAGTAAATTTATAGGACTAAGTGAAGTCTAAGAATCTTTATACTGCTGGCACGAAAAATGACTCAGAAAATATATTGATTTGTATTAGATAACAGCGAACTGACGTCATTATTCTATGAGAAATTAGGAGAAATGTTTGTGTATGATTTTCATAGCTAAAAATCGACCATATGCTTAATATTTTTTAAGAACTAACATCAATTATGTATACTCTGCATATATAATTTAACTATAAGTTTTATAAAGCAACCATTTCCTGATTTTATCTAAAGCTTTAAATCATTCTCAAGGACATGGTTAAACATGATTTTATCATCAGTTAGAATTAGATTATGTTGTGTTATTCAGAAAAATATGATCTTTACTCACAAGTAGTACTCTAAGATATTTTCTAAATATATTTAATAATTTAACTTACTTGAAACTTCCACGATAATACAGGAATAAATTGAACCAAATACCTTGTGTATTCCATTGCATTGGTTCAATTTTTAATATAATAGGAAATGTATTGCCTAAATCAATGGATACAACACGAAGATTTTCAAGAATTGATACCTAAGAAAAATATATATATATATTGGAATTAAAAAAAAGATTAACTTACAGCAAGTTCTTTTAATTTCATTTCAACTTTTTCTTTTAATAAATCTTTAAAAACAGATATATCAAACATATCACACAAAAGTCGTCGAGTCATGAAATTGATTGTTATAGCTGCTTCATCTAAACATTCAGGTGTTTGAAGAACTTTCTGTAAACTAGTTTCATTTGGTACGAATTTTTTTGATTTTCGCGCAATTGTTCGACGTGTTCCACTAGCATCTTTTTCAATATTTTCTAATTGTTTTTTCTTAAATAAAATAATAATAGAATGTATTAGATATTCAATTCATGAAAACCAACTTTTGCTTTTTGTTGTAATTTTTCCGCATTAATTTGTGTTTCAATAACTGAAGCACGAATATGAGATTCCGTAACAAAATTTGAAATAAGTTCAATATCAGAATCAGTTTGAGGTTGTCGACGATAGAGTGATGAATTACTTATAGTTGATGATAATTGAGATTTACTATTTGCACGTAAATTATTAACTCGTTCAATTTCTTCTTTTCCTTTCAGTAAAATCAAAGCAAGTCTAATAAAAAATACAAAAATATTTATTCTATAGAAATAATATTATAAAATACTAACTTATGAAACCATTCTTCTTTTTGTGGACCAGTTTCAAACCAAATTGAAATAATGGTTGCATTATTCGTAAAAAAATCATTTATATGAGCTTTAGATTTTTCTAATTGTTGTTTATTGAAAATTTGTTTATCGAGAATTTGTAAATTTTGTATAACAATAGGATAATCATTCATCCAATATTTACTACGTGTTAAAGTTGCTTCAGGTACGAGTATCATTCGAGCCTCTAAAATTTTTAATTTATTAATATATGTTTTTTTTAGTTAAATCTTTACCTTTAACAAGATATTCTCGACATCCGATAAATTTTATTTCTTTATCAGGTTTTTTATCATCACTCCATGGTTTACTAGCAAGTTGAATAATCAGACGATATCCATCAAGACGAATATCACATGGATAACGAACAAAATCATCATCACGATCAGCATCATAACTATGAAAACTCATGTAAGCACCAGTTACCTAGAAAGAAATTGTTTCTTAGATGTTAAATGATTTTATCAATCGAGGTTATTTTGTTTTTCTTTACTTTCATTACCGGAAATTATCGAATTCAATCAATAGTCTATTGTTTTATTTTTACAAAAGAAAATGTCGCACAACTCACTTGTATATTGGTATTTTTATCTTCTTTATCGACTTTCGTAAGCATGGAATCAAGTGCAGGAAAATCGATCCATTCTTCAATGGCAGTTTCTTCAATTTTATCATTAATAAACATTTGAATCCATATGTAAACAATAACTATAGCAAACAAACTACCAACAATAAGACCAGCAAAGTAAGGTGAAATTGGTTTCCATAATGTAATAATTAGACAAATAACACCAACAATAGTCTATTGAAGAAAAAAATAAGATTAATAATTTATCATGCAACTATATTTGCACCTTAAAAGTACTATTTTTTACACCTGATGAATTAATAATTATATCATTAAATTAAAAAAAATTTTTTTCCTTCATATAAATATTATCATAAGTTCTTGTTGTACTTACCGAAACGGAATAAATAACATTACTATTGATTATTGATTTATTTTGAAATGTTTCTGTGCAATTTAAACGAAATTTCGGTCCAGCTAAAAGTATAGCCGATCTTTTCATAGCATCTTGTGATACGAGAACCGTCGTAGGTTTTGCAGTCATTTCAACAGGATCAATTTTAGTAATAAAACATTCTTTTACATTGGAATCTTCCATAGGTGTAGATACATCTTGAATTGATTCTAATTTTTGTTGTGAATGTGAAGGCGTACTATGTAATGGAGAATGATTCGTCGTCGAATTAATTAAAGATATTGAATGTGCTGAAGTGGCGGTTGATAAATTTGATGAACTAAAAAAACTTGGCTTTATGCCACTACAATTTCTATGTACAGTCAATGAATCTAAGGCATGACGAGATGATGATGCAAGAGATGATGTTGAACCAGTATCGCCTGATAATATAATAAAGAATAGGAGTGTAAATATAATTTGTTATAATGAAATATAATATTCTAATAACTCGAAAATAGATCATTTACATTACTTTTACATGATTAAAATTTTTTTTCAGTATAGTTTTCTGTGAAATCTTCTAAGTTTGAGAACTAGTGCTATAAATATCAATGTCAATCTAATGTACTCATTTAATATATATATGCTAGCAGAAGTAATAAAAATGCATGTAATAAATCTTATTAATGTACGTTTTTTTATTATAAAAAATAAATTGAAGATAATTAGATTTATTATTTTAATGCAATGATGTTTATCTCAATTCATTTAATATACTTTTCCTTTTTAAATTTATGAAAAAATAAAACATTAAAAAAAGCCTAATATACATTTATGCTAATGACACGTTTTATTATAATCTATAAAAGATTTGTCGTGTGTTATAAAATGAGTTTAAAATAGACAAACAGTTATTCTTGTTAATTATTTATAGCACTGTCACGTTAGTTTTAAATTAAATTTTTTAACAATATATTTACCAGATATTTTGAATGATTGTTTGATTTTTATTGGTATTGATATAGATTCATCATGAAATGAAAATGCACTACTTGTCGAAGACATTGAACTATGACGATCAGATGAAATTGAACGACTTCGTTCTTTAACAGCTCCAGTTATATCATCTTTAATTGCAGAAATCTTATTTGATAATTTATCTAACATATTCAGTGATGTTTTGGAATGATGTGATGAATCTTTAATATTCATTTCGCTTCCAGTACCATTTACTTGTTTTATTCGAATGACACTAAGTATAAAAAAAACGGTCTGCTTTTACGCTTTTTCTAAGTATTGTGCTCGTGATGAGTTGTTGTCGTCTAAGGAAGTGAAGAAGATAGAGAAAGAAAGAAAAAAAACTCATACTAGAATAAGAGCGAGAGACGTTTCAAAGCAAGAAACGAACAAACTAAGTAATAGGAAGAATGAAAAAAGTTGCCGTTACAGCAGAGTAGGAACGGGTACATTACATAAAAAAGAAAGAAACAGAACAGATATAGGATTTTTCTATATTAGTAAAAGTAAGGAAACGACAAAATGGTCAGTGAGTGTGATCACCAATAAATGCGTGGCAAACACGTGTTATAACATATTTAACCATACTATTCGATGCCAGCTAGAGTTCAATTCTTTGTTCTTCTAGTGCAAATCGCGTGTCTATAGTCATATATAAAGAACAGAGTAAAATCGTTCAATAACCAAAAAAACAGAATAGCACTTTCTTTTTTTGCCATATTTCTTTTTCTTCTGAAGTAAGTAATGTTTAATTCAATGCACATTAAGATTGTCAAACATTAGATATCAATTATTCTTTGATACAATCAATTTTTCTAAAGAATATAATACAAAAGAATAATTGCTTTATTTGAAAATAATACTTGTTACGAATGTATCTTTAAACGTCAAACTATTGATAAAAAATATGAGTTATATTTTTATAAATAGATAATCAATTTGTGAAAGTATGTTAAGCGGAAAATATCATGCGTCCTCATTATAAAGACTTTGTTTAGGAAAAATAATAGAAGAGGCCGAATAGAAAACAATCAATGGATAATATATGAAAAATGTCTGGTAAATTATGTAAACTATATTTAGAATTATTTTACTCCATTTTGTTTTTTCGTTATTACATGCCTTCAAGTTGATTTAATAATAATTTTTTATAAGTGACAATTTCCTCCCAGTGCACTATCAAATTATTCTATTAGATGTCAAGATGGCATTTAGTTAAATTTTATTTCTTCTCTTTCTCTTATTGCATAAAAATTGTTGTCATCAGTTCTTCAAATATATTGCACTGAATGATATCCTATTTTGGAATTCTAATATAAGATGAAACAATCATAATTGTTATTAGAAAAAGATGTACGTTTTATCTAGTTCTCAACTGTTTGATGTTTTAAAATAACACATCCAATCTCATTCTCTTTTTCAGTCAATACAAAGAGGTTTAACTATCATAATGATGTATCTTGTCGATTGAAGAGTTGTTATATATATATATATATATCCTTTAGATTATCGATCATGTGATGACAAGAATTATTATAGGGCAAATAGACCAGCTTGCTTTTCTATATCTAATGGTATTTATGGATAGTATAGGTCATTAACGAATACTCTGGATTTAAGAATAAGATATTATTCTATGACGGTTTTATTACCATAGATCAAAAAAATACCATTGATTCTGAAAACGGAAGTGTCTGCACTTAAAAAAAACATAAATAATATCGTCAGGTCTTATTATAAGGAAACAACAGGAAATTGCATGAAGCTCAATTTGACACATCTACTATATTTAGAGAAAAACTAATTTGACGAGTTTCGGCAAAGCATGATATGAAAAAAATTATATCTCGTAAATATTATTACGCAGCAACGTATTTAATTATCTCAAAAATATTAAATAGCTTATCATATAATCTAAAATCAGAATGAAAAACATAAGAAATGAATGGCTGTTTACTCAAGTTTCTTGTTCAATCTAATTGTATCATATGGGAATTATATTACTGAAATTTATTAGAAAGTTAGACGAAAAAAAAGTCGTTGTTTTCACGAATTTTGTTGATATATTACATTGATAAAGAATACTAAGAATTACCTAGTAATGAGTAGTCAGCGATATTGAAGACAGAACAAATCTTATTAGATACGATTGATACAAATATTTTTCTAAGAATGTTTTTTATTACAGATGTCAGAATAGCTTAGATAATTACATCATGTGTTTTTACAGATGAGAGATCGATTATTAAAAAATGAAATCTAGCTAGATTCTAAATTTGTAATATATATAATGTGAAAAATAGATTAATTCGTTAATACTGCTGTAAATAGATATAATTTTTTTTTTATTTACAATATTTCCATAAAGAATCTATAACATATCAGTAATATTAAGAGTGTTGTTAATAATGCTTTTCAAATACGAAAACTCTCTATTGCAATAAAAGCAACGATGTACAATTATTTCCTAAAAATAGAAAACAAATCGAAAGCAAATTATAACACAATGTGAAGTAACAACATTTGTTTTTTACCTTTCTTCTCAGTCTAATGTATTGAAAGGTGAAAAGAAACGCAAGAAAAAAAACGTTCGTGCGCTCGTATGTGTATGTATGATGATGATGATGATGATGAAAAAACGAAAAATAGACATGTGCGTATCGATATATTTCATTGGTGTCATTTGCTCGAAGAAAAAGAAACGTGAAGTAAAATTTTCCGATTAATACTTGCATGCATTAATAAAAGGATATTTCAAAAGAATGTCTTCTCTATTTGCAAAATCAGCGATTGAAACTGAATTTGATAAAATTATCAAAGGTATAAAATGTATTTTTTATTCTATAATTATTATCATAGTTTTATATTTTTGTTAGATCTTACTGGTGACAATAATGTCGTTGAAGAAACCGAAGATAATCCTATTTCTACTGTAGATATTATTGTAAGTTTAATAGATTTTCGTTTAAAATATTTTAAATCTTATTTTTTTTATTACTAGGCTGAGCAAAAAAGGCAAGCAGCTGCGGATCAAGAACGACAAGTAAGACATGCTAAGGTCGAAAAAGAACGTGAAGATGCAAGACAAAAAATTCGTGATAAAGTGAGTAGTACTAAATCATTTCGACACAATATTTTTGTTCTATGAAAATTTTTTCTCTATATCTATTCTTCTAGTATAATCTCAAGAAGAAAGATGAACCTTCTACTTCTGCTAACAGTAAAACAACGAAGATCTCAAATCAAAACGAAGTAACACAAGTACATGAAGCATCAAGTGCCGAAAATCAGGGTAAGTCAATGGAACGAATAAGAGTACATACACTGATTTCATAGTAAAGTTGGTCATTTTATATTGTATAGAGTTCAATGACTTTTTTGTGACTCTCTAGTTTTGTCTTTCTTTTTAATTAGCGTTCAATCCAATGCAAATGGCATCAAATACATTTAATACTTTAAAGAAAAAATTCGGATGGAAATGACATTTTCTTGATTCATTGTATGCGACTCAATCTTACTTATTTTTTTATAAGTGCGTGAGCTTTGATTTGCTCACATATTCTGCTTTTATTAATTATCTGTATTCTTTTCTTAACTTGACTCTTTTCATACTTTATTTATAAATTACAAAATCTTATATATATGTATTTTTTTATGATGATGTATGTATGTCAAAATCTTTTAAATGTGCTGAAAAGATTGAAACATGACATTTAGATGTTCTTTCAAAAATGAGACGATATTAACATTTTCTTCTCTAAATCAACTACAATTGAAGTTCAGTATATGAATTATCTTTAAAATATTTAAATACAAACTACCGCTTTCTCGATTTTTGGATGATCGACATTCGACAAAGCTTTGTATCGCATTTTGTAGACGAGGATCGACTCGTATGCCATCTATTAATTGTTTGAAAATGTGAAAAAACAAAGTACAGAATAAAAATCGTTTCTTCCGTGGTTGCTGTACGAAAACTAAAGCTTTTATTTAGAACTGGAAAAGCAAAGAAAAACAACTTATGGAGAACAATATAATTATTATGTTTCGCATTGAATTAACAATTCAACTAATTTGAAACTATTCATGGAAGTATTTCTAAACAATGAAAGTTGTAGATTTTTTTATGTGTCTGTCATACGATAAGAAAAATTCGAGCATGGGTGTAAAATCATTATAGTATTTACAGTTGTACTCACATTCAAGAACATCCACACCCATACCGACCCTTTTGATTTTTATGAAACGCGATTAAAAATAAAGAATTTTATCTTTGTTTTTGTTAAATATAAGAACTATTTATTAGTATTTCTATTCATATATGACTTACTCAATATTGTGAAATAAGTCGTAAATTTTATTTTATCAAATAAGTCATTTGATCACATAAGTAATCAAATAGGTCTATAAAAACAAAAAATAATCTTATAAAAAATAGAATAGTACAAGTCGAATTCTATCAAGTCAAAATCATCAAAGGTAAAAATTATCTTACACTTTATTCTTTATGATAATTAATTAAATAAGAGATTTTGTAATATTATAATTACTTCGATATATTCAACAAAGTGAGAATATTTTTGATAATTTTCAATTGGATGTTCATGAAATATATCTTCAAGAATGAATTTACTAAACGTAGCTATTTATAGTAACATGATATTTTAGGGTTGAGTTGGTTTAGGCCAGAAGATTGATTTTTGTTAGAAAAATATGTAAAATAAAATTGAATTCTCTCATCCATCTTAGTTCCAGAAGTAGAGATGTCTGTTTTATATACTTTTTTCCTAATGCAAATTTGCACTTGAAACTTTCACTATCAAGAGGTCTTATGACTACTACTACTTATATGCTATTAAAGTTCAAAAAACCCAGTAAATCAGTCATAACTTCCTCCCAAAGGATGGAAGTGGGTGGGTAGGTCCGAGAGATGGATAGAATACCTACACCCACACCCATATCCTTCGCGAGCAAGACTTGTTCTTTCTTTTTATTTCTATATGATTATATTTTATATCAAGTTTATTACTACGTAGAGATATAACATAAGAGTTTTATTGAAGAATGATATACAGGGAATATTGAAATAAAAGTCTCATGTGATATCTCTACTTAGTAATAAACTAGATGTAAAGCATGATTACAGAGGATTAAAGACGAAGAAAACATTTTGTCCAATAATATAATATAGATAGGTATGACGCTTATTGTGCAACATATATTATAGTTTGAGGGTGAGTGTATAGAATTATATTCCACACCCACAATAAAGAAAGACTCTTAAGTAGTATTACCTTGAGAAAAAAACGAATTTGACTGAGATGAATTAGTGAATGTTTATTATTTGAATAATAATTTCTATGGAGAGTAATAATTAAACTTTGTTGAATTTTTATGAATGTTTTTTTTAGAAATCATTGTAATAATTACAAACAAATTTGACTGATGAAAACAATAATAATAATGTCAATATTCTTGATTTTATTATTAATAAATTGTTGTTTTGGAGCTGAGGTAGGAATTTATTTTAATACTAAAAAAAAACAAATCGATATTTTATAGAAATTATCAAAATATAATGCTGATCCAAGTGAAACATCTGTTTCTGGTTTATCTTCTGGTGCTTTTTTTGCTACACAAATGCAAATTGCATTTTCTGAATCTATAAAAGGTGCTGGTATAGTCGCTGGTGGACCATATGATTGTGCAGCACAAACGAGTTATACAAGTTGTATGTATTCTAGTAATCCATCTATAACAAAATCAATATCAAATACAAAATCATGGAGTGGAAATAAAATTGATGATATTAAAAATCTTTCAAGACAAAAAGTTTATATGATATCTGGAACTTCAGATACAACTGTTAGTGTTTCTATTATGAATCAATTATATAAATATTATGTTACAGAGGGTCAGTTTATTCCAAGTGAAAATGTTGTTTTTAAAAAAGATTTAAAAGCTGCACATACATTTCCAACTGATTTTGATAGTACTGGAAATAATCCTTGTACAACAGCAAGTAGTCCTTATGTTAGTAATTGTGGATTTGATGGAGCAGAAGCTATTTTAAAACATATTTATGGACCTTTAAAAGCAAAAAATACTGGATCATTAACTGGTAAATTTATTGAAATTGATCAATCAGAATTTTTAACTAATCCAAGAAGTTCTGGAATGAGTATGACAGGATGGGTTTATGTACCAAAAAGTTGTGATAATGGAGAAGTTTGTAAATTACATATTGCATATCATGGATGTTTACAAGGATATGAAAAAATTGGAGATAAATATGTAAAAAATACAGGATATAATCGATGGGCTGATACAAATAATATTATAGTTCTATATCCACAAGCTGTTGCAACAACTACAAGATCTTTAACAGATCGAGCACCATTTCCAAATATGAATGGATGCTGGGATTGGATTGGATGGTATGGAACTGATTTTAATCATAAAACTGGAAAACAATCAGCTGCAATGAAAAAAATGATTGATCGTGTTGTTAGTGGATTTAACCCTATTGATCCACCAACACAACTTAAAATTGATAGTATTACTGATAATTCTATTTCACTTTCATGGAATCAAGTTATAGGTGCATCTGGTTATAATATTTATAGAAATGGACAAAAAGTTAATCAATTCATTATTACTGATAATAAATTTCTTGATAATAATTTAAATTCTGGCTCAACATATACATTTATTGTTAAAAGTCTTTCATCTCAAGGTACTGAAAGTATATCTTCAAATACAGTTACGGGAAAAACAACAGGTGAATCACCATCTGTAGAAGTACCAAATGGATTAGCTATTACTGATATTACTTTAAATTCTATTAGTTTATCATGGGCACCTAGTTTAACTGCAGAACAATATAATATTTATCGTAATGGAAATAAAATAGCAACTGTTAGTTTAACAACATATAAAGATATTAATTTAAATTCAAATACTGAATATAAATATCAAATAACATCATTAAAAGATTCACAAGAAAGTGAAAAATCTCTTGAGGTCAAAGCAAATACACTTATGGAAAAAGTATGTTTTAATGATAATAACTATAATCATGTCGTTGCAGGAAGAGCTCGTCAGAGTGGTGGTTATGTATTTGCTAATGGTTCAAATCAAAATATGGGACTTTATAATACTTTTGCAAGAACAAATCTATGTAAAACACAAGATAATCATTATATTATTGGATAATTTTACTAGCAAAACAAACTAACTATAAATAATATTTTTGAAAAAAAAACATTATCTATTTCTATATGATCTAATTTCAAATAAAGATGAATTTCAAAACTTTTATTTTATTGTTTAGAAATAGTTTTCGATAATAATCTGTATCTATTTATCGATTAAAATATTATTAGATCCTATTATGAATAATGGAAACAGTAGATTCAACAATAATCACATATATTTTTAATTTTTATGTCTAATGATAGAAGAATCTATATTTAGTATTATTAATCATGTTAGTAATCATATTAGAATTCAAAGAAAGAATATTTTTGATTTACTTTAATGTTAATGAAACTTATATTAATTTTTATTTTATTTTATTTTAAATGTAAGTATCATTAAAAAAGCAATGAATATTATTTTCATGAAAGAAATACATTTGTTGTATATTAGTGGAATTATCAATGAAATATGAAAGTTGATTGGTATTAATAGGAAGCAATTATTTTAAAAGTCATATCATGCTTTTTCTCGTTAGTATCGTATAGCATACGAGTCGAGCTTGTATGTAAAAATATGGTCCAAAGCTTTTTCGAATTATCATAAAAATAGTAACTCATATTCTTCAAAGTGAGTTTATTCAATCAATTTTTTGGCGAACTACTGTATTGACCATTTCATTCTATAATTAATAAGTGTATGATCGTTTTTTGTACTCATGCCTTCTTTTCATGTATAGAGGAATAAGGTCTTTTAAAACAATCGGATTACTCCATTCTGTTGTTATGAAAACGTATCTATGTTCATTTTTTTCCTATTGTTTCTCGATTATAAATTATAAACTGTAGATCGATTCAGTTTTTGTTAAAAAATTAATTTACTCTCTTTCATCGAATTAAAACACTCGATAACAATGATCACTGAATCATGCTTTATTTCTTTAAATGTATTTATGAATTCATACAATACATCGATCATTATACTTGCTATACTTTTCTATATTTTATCATCTTCATTAGTATATACCATACAATTTTCAGAATATTTGTAGTCAATTCATATTTGGTTGCGTGTATTGGAATATGTCATATTTACTATGACCATCTTGAGGGTGGGTGTGTGAATATCTGCATCAGAATACACCCACAACCCTTCTATTATTATAACATTTAACGAAATCTCTTTCTAACTAAAAGATTTGAGACCATTGAAGAACTGTATTTTCGCAAGAATTTCAGCTTTGAATTAAAATTGAAAAAATCTTGAATGTAAGAAATACCAAACGAATAAAATTCAACTGATTCTGTTACAAGAAAAATATATTCTTTCTTCTTCTAAGTGTCATCCTTGAATTCTCTCGAAACCGCACACAACATTGAATGACTATGATCGAACGATACATCAATGTTTTATGTTTGTGAACAAGTTGACCTATTCAATTTGACAATGGCGCAAAACGGCGAAACAGAATGAAAAAAATACAACGAATGAAAACTAACATAACGAATAAATCGTCTAAAAAAATTTATTTAACTTGGAATAGACCAATCACGTTGTTTATTTCGTGCTATTTTTTTCGCTTTGTTTAAGGTCAAAGTGTTGAGATGCAAATAATGAACAAATATATATGTATATAAAGCTTTATCTTAGTCAAAAACATCATAGTCATAATAAATTATGAACCGATCAAATGTTCATCTTCTGGATTTACCTGATGAAATATTATTTGTTATTTTGAAGAAGTTGGACAATATTGATGTACTTTATTCTTTATTCGATATTAATAATGGACGACTTAACATTCTTGTACAAGAAAATATTTTCAGCAACATTCTGAAGTTTGTTTCCATTGATAACACTTCTATAATCGATCGATTCTGCATTGATATATTACCAAGAATTCATCATAATGTGAAATGTTTTATTTTTGATCCAGTTTTTATGGAACGTATTCTTCTTGCTACTGACTATCCGAATTTAACTAAACTTAAAATTGTTGATTTCCAAAAAGAAATCGCTTTTAATTATTTTACAAGTAAGTATTTAATATGAATTTGATTAGTTGAGAAATAATAAAGATGTTACAAAAGAAGAGACTATAGTATGTTTCACTAAATTGGTTTTCTCCTTTAGATCAATCATCGCTTCGATCTATTTTCCAAGAACAAATTACAAATCTTATCCTTATCAATAATGATAAAGGCGGAAGGAGAGGTTCATCGGACATCTATGATGAAGGCCGAATGGAATGTTCACCGAAAATCTATACTAAAGATGTATATGATCACATCTTGACCTTCTTCAAAAATTTAAAAAAATTAACTATCATAGAACCTTCTGTTATGTTGTATCCACCTTTATCACTTCATTATTTGCCATCTACTACTTTTTCATCTCCGATTCTTACTCATTTATATATCAATATCAATGGTTTACATGATTGTCTTTGTTTACTTGATGGTAGACTTACAAAACTGACAACATTGTGTGTTAATGTCTATAATATAGACATAGAGATATCTCCAGAAATCGTTCACAATATGGTAAGTTTGTACAAATAATTTTATTTATGACATAAAGATTATCACTATTCTAATGTAGTTAACGGTTGATCTCAGAGACTTCAAATAAGAGATCAAATGGTTTAGTTTCACGTTGATAAGAAGGAAAAACTAATAAGTGTTGAGAAATATGCGAAAATCGTTGACATTCAGCTTGTACTTACTAGAAATCTCAATTTAATAAAAGAATGAATGAAATTTGTTGCTAGCATATTATATTTATATAATACTTTATTGAATAAGTTTCACATAGAAAAAAACTAGACTATTCTGTTTGATGATTGGTTAAATATTCTCATATGTGAATAATCATCAACATAGAATGGAATGAAAGTTTTTCTATAATAACAATTTTTTCAATAATTGATATATGATTGAAAATTTGTCTGAAACTTTAATTATTCTTTCAACACTGATTTGTTATGCTGTAAAATGAGGAAAATAAACTGATAGATCTGTCGTTTGTGGTCATTCTCCTATATAATATAGATTATACACTATGTGTAAAATAATGATGCCTATGACTTGATTTTGTAGATTATCAAAAAAAAAACATTTGTTGCTTTTTGTAGGATAAATCATTTAATCTAAAATGTTTCTCATTACAATTGTTCTGTCCATCTCAAGATTATGATGAAATTGTATCACTTCTTCGTCGTATGTCAAATCTAGAAAAATTAACTCTAAATATTTCTATATACAATCGAAAGAGATTCATTGATGTCATTAGTGGTGCTGATGTTCAACATGATATTTTGAATTATATGCCACAACTTCGTTCATTCACCTTTTATATTTGTACTTATGTCGGCCCAGTTACTTCACCCTACAAGTTATCTAGTGAAGCTATTCAACTAACATTAGCAAACATTAGACAACCACATATCAGTAGTATGGTTAATTATGTTCATAGTGTTGTCCATTTTGGTGAGGGTTTCAGAGCTGCATGCTCAATCTTCTCGCTTCCTTTTCAATTTGATTATCTCCAAGATCTTGGCAATCACTTTCCAAATATTATATTTAGTTATGTTACCTATTTACTTTTACGCGATATTATTCCATTCGAACATGAATTCCTCGTACGAATTGCCCGATCATTTCCATCACTGAAGCATTTATGTATTTACAATAAAAAATCACAGGTATCAGATGGTCTTATGACATTATCATCTGACAATTGTCAATTACACTCAATTATTGCGTATCCTCATCTGACTATACTTGATATCAAATTTTCACATAAAGATTATGTTGAACAATTTCTGAATGAAACAAAGACATTTGTACCTTGTCTGACGGAATTGGAAGTCCGTGTTGATCATTTAAAAGACATAACAAAAAACTTTACAAGAGAAGAAACACGACGCAATTGTTCCAACGTGAAAAAATTATCTACGATAGGCCCATTTGCACATTCGGAAGGCTTATGTCATTATTTTCCTTCACTGTATAAGTAGACGCATTTTCGTTCTGATTTATTCAATAAACTGAAAAACGTGATAAATATTGTATTTATAGCCTATAGTAATATTTCTCAAATATAAAGAAATATCAACTGTTAATGATCATTTCTCATTTTATAGAAAAAAGAATCATACGACACTATCTGATGCTGCAGAGTATATGTACAATGAAAAATAAAAAAAAAGCTTGATCAGAACGAAAGTTGAATTAAAGTTTATTTTTTCATAAATAAAATTTTTTACATAACTAGCATATCTCAACGAGAGATAAAAAAAAAGAAGAAGGTATGTAAGGGTCTCATCATTCAGCTGATCGTACAATAGAAACTTTTTATTTAATATTTTTGAATCAAATCTTTCTTTTATCTTTTCAAGTATTTATAAACAGCAAAAAGGAGTGAGAGGGACAACACACATACACATAATAATGAGGTGAGATACATTCACATAAATATTTTAGACTAATTAATGATGTAGTATCATTATCGGAAATATTTCCAAGCAGTTGAACAACACCATCTTGATTATCAACTGGAAGTAAATCACCTGATGCACTCTTACTATCTTCACCAATGAGATAAATTTTTGAAATAAAAAGCAATTTGTGCGAAAAAAAATAGATAAATGATAATCAAATAAGTTTATCATTCTGTTTTGGTGTCACTAGTTCCATCTGTTCAATTCGGATCACAGCACGACGATTTTGATGTAAGAAATGTACAATGCAAACTCCATTCTCAAAAAGGAAGTTTTCATTGGTTTCGTTTTTTTTCTTTAATAAAAAACTTACAGATATAGTTTGAATAACACCAATCATTCCAACACGAATTGGTTGATCTTCAATTGAAACCTTTATTCGAACATATAAATCTCTTACATGCCAATCATTAATTGATATTGAATTAAAATTTATTCATTTAATTGTTATATTTATCAAGAGAAGATGAAGAAAAAACTAATCAAACGAAGTTGACATTGGTGCATTTTGTGCACTTGGTGTCACAGGTGTAATGTTTATTGATGGTAAATGAACATTATTTCCAAATGAAGGTTGTTCAGATGGCCTATTATTATTTGATGATGAAGAAAAACAATCTCTTGATGCATCACCACATCAACTACCAACTAAGTCAGAATTTGTAGGAGAAGTTTCCGCACATATCTACTGTTTGACATCATAGTTATATAATATCTTTTTTATTTGACATTGAAAGAAAGAGAACGAATGCATATGCATAGAGGTTCTTATATAATACATGTTTTTCTACTTTGTTCTTTATATAACATTATAATTTCATTTTTAAGGTGAGAAAGTGTAAAACTATTCAATGACAGTAGGTGAAACATTTCGAATTGCTATAATTGG